GGAAACCAAATGGGTCACTACAAACCATTAAGATGTACTAGCTAGCTAGTAGCTGAAAATAAGCATGAACCATATCATGGTTGTTAACAAGAAATTAATTCAAGAAAGCCGGGGACGGTATGAAAACCGATGAAGATCATTATGAAAATGTTGTTGATATTGACAACGATGCTGAGCATGGTGATGCTGACAGAGATGACGGTGATACTCGGATATTAGGAAATTCAATTTTGTTCGGTTGTAAATTATTTCTTTGCCAGTCCTTTTTCCTGGCGTTACAACCGCTCAAAGGCTCCTTCCCTTCGTCTCTTACTATACATCTAGACACGTTGTTACTCTTCTAAAAATTAAATTATGAAGCCGAACGAATTCCCCCCAAGATTCCCATCTGTAATTTTGTTAGGATCATGCTATGATCTTGTATCATTTTATCTTCCATTTCCACCTTCGTTTTCACCTCAGTGTTTCTCCTTTAGTGACTGATATGACCTTTTCTTTTTTTTTAAATTGCATCTTTGAAACTACTGCGCCTTTTTCTTTATCATAAGCGTAATGTGTAAGTGATTTCTGCCGATACAAAACGTCGGCCATTACCTGGATCAGTTCCAGAGGAGCTTCGCGTGCATTTGGAGAGTTGGATCGAAAGAGAAAGCGACGAGAATCCTGTTAAACCAGTGGTCGTATGCAACAAGAAATTTTGCGGCTTCTGTTTATCTTAAGAAGAAATAAGTTGGGTTTACACGCTGAAAAATAAACTTGAGGGTTTTAGACGTCACCTTTGTTCCCGATTCAGCTTCTTCATGGCGATTTAACTGCACTGAACTGTTGTTAGAAATAGTCAGATCTAATTGTTTTAAAACCTTTTAAAACGATGTGCACTAATTAACATGAAGCATTTCTGTCAATTTTTCAAAATCGGAATCGAATTGAGCGCAGGAGCGACCCTTTTCCATTACAGAGCTGCCGTAAAATGTTTGTTAACATGAAACGGATGAATTTTACATTTGGTTTGCGTTGATCATAACCACTTTATTTCTCTATTGCCATTTGCCTAATTCAAATTACTGAAAAAAAGAAGATAGTACTAAATTTTATTTTCAATTTGTATAATTGTTCTGAATCGATTATTGTGAAGGCGATGCATTTTTGTGGCGTAATCATTTCAACACTTTTGGAAAGCGGAAATTATATCCTAGTGCCTTTTAAAATAAAAGTCAGTAAAATTCGACATCAATATAATAGTATTTGAAATTGGAGAAAAGTCATTCCGTCGGCGCTTTTTGTATTTGAAATTGATCTTATTACAATAAATTTTCCCAAAACTTTGCGTGAAATAGAATTAAATGCGGTTTATTCCTTGTGAGGAACGTACTGGAATTATCTTTGCACGTATTAAAAGCCTGAGTGTTTCAAGAACCATAGGACGATTTAATGAGTTTTAAAAACTTGTATATTGAGGAAAATCTATTTCGTTTGCAAAGATTCGTAATGATAGTTTACATATTGAGAAATGCGGCTACTTGTATTCATAAATTTTTTGTTAAAATTTATTTCTCTGGCATCTGTCGCTTGGAATAAATTGTGGAGCACATTAATCAGAACCGCGGTCAGTTAAAGTTTCGTTTTGTACAAAACTATGAAACTGGACTTAATTTCAGTTTTACTCAGTTTCTGACCTACTCTTGGAATGGCTTCTGGTTATGGTTCAAGTTGTTAAGACCGAGTTACTAGAAATCTAAGGCAATGAGGCAAAATGTTGTTGCCTCCCTGTTCTTCATTACAGCTTCTCTCATTGCTCTCCTGTTCGTAATCTAATTCGTTACGATTGGTCGACGTCACAACGTGACTGGTTCTTAAGCAACCACTGTTTGATGACATGACAATATTTTAGGGTATCGTTCTCTGTTTAAAAAAAAATGCCCTGACTTTTCTTTTTTTCCTTTTTTCAAACAAGCTCATTCATTACTGACCATCTATCTATCTAATTTTTTTTTACGAATAATCGATTATCGATTTCAGTTACTTAAAGTTAAATTTTAGCTTGGAGCAACTGTTAGGGTCACAATTTTAGATCAGGTCCCAGAAAACATTTGACTTAAAGTCCTGAACTTCTGTCTACAAAATGATTACCTCACGAAACAGCCCTACTCGATGCAACACACGTTAGCCTGTCTTTCTCACCTTCCACACCAGCTCAAATCCTTGTTCAAAGCGAGGAAATCAACCATCAATCGCAGCACTAATGGTGCTTTCAGCTACCCTCTACTCAAGGAGAGGTGTATATTTAATCGATAATATTCCTAATCATTTTAATGGCAACACTCAATAGTGTTTCCGTTGCAAACTATTTGCATCAGGTATTAAACATTAAGTTATATCGGTTTCAAATTACATATGAAATCAATATCAGTTATTAATTGAGCATATGGCCTCTATATAATTTGTTCCCACACGTTTATAGAAAAAGGTTATAAAATTTGCATAAACCTCTCTGAATGACCGCTAAAATCGATTCTCGGTCATCACCTGTCTAACGATCACCATTCGCCATTAGGACCATTAGCGATCACCATTCGCCCTTCAAATAGTGACAACATCACCCGTCAATGTAGTGACAACATCGATCAACATCACCTGCCTTAATCAGAGATGAAGTTTTCTTCCTATCTGTTTTCTTGTTTTTTTTCTTTTCGGCGGAGTGAACAGTGTTGAGTTAGGAAAAAAAGACTTTGAATTCTTGCATTATTTTCTTTTCGGGTGCCATTAAAGTCCTCCCAATTAAATCATGAGTCATCATCGTACGCTATCGTTAATTACTACTCAAATATATAGGGCCTTTCTGACGCCTGAAGCTGTTCAAGAACCGTACTTATGATAACGGTTTAGACCGTCTAAAGGCGAGAGGAAACGGTGAAACATGGCGGAGAAACGTTTTTTCAATGGGTTGCCTTTTCCTATAGAAATCATTAGATTGACATAGTCACCTGATCCCGCAAAGCGTTCTTCCTTGCTTTTATTAAAGATTGAATAAACTGTGTTCCTTGGTTTTTACTGCTTTTAGGTAAACCAGTCCATATTTCCTGTAAAGGAAAGACGGAATGCTGATATATGGCTGAAAAGGGCTACATTTATGAGTTGCCCGTTTGCATAGGCAGCGAATTGTCACAGACACTAGTTCTTGATCCAAAGCGAGCTTATTTGCTGGTGTTTAGGAAAGAATCAATTGTGTTTCTTTGATCTTTACTGCTTTTAGGTAAACCGATAGTACTTCCTTTAGAGGTAGTGGTTTTTCTTTGAGAAATAGAACCGCGTGGAGTTAGAAAAAATGCAATGTCATTTAAAATTACAGTATCACTTTCACCTCGTTTCTTCAATGGTTGAAGTTCTAATACTTGTCAATTCTGGGTTTTTTTAACTTTGACGCTTTTAATCAAGAGTCAGACCAATACTAAAGCGAAAATTTTCAGATTATTGGTTAAATTGGCACCTTAACTAATAAGATTCACTCTGAACCATTTAGATTTAATATTAGTTCTGGCTAATGCATTTTAAATCGTTCGTAACGAAGTGGCAAAGTTGGTACATGTGATGATATAGCCTGTAAGTACTGAGATACTCGAGATCTCAAGTTTTTAGCTTGAGAAGCAGCTTTTATATACCGGTTATTAAAGGCATCAGAGTGCTCTGAGCTCAATTTACAATTCCCATGAATGGTCATGAATTAACTCAGAGTCGACAGTTGATAATTTGTGCGTTAAACTGAGACTTGACAACTTTTTGATGTTTCGGAAGCACTTTCCCCATCAGTGTTTCACAACATTTTCTGGTTGAAAGAAAAAAGTTAAATGAAAATGTCTACAAAACGTCTACAAAAGTAGTCTAAGGATCGCACGATCACACCAATATTGTTGAAAACATTCAGAGCTTCCTCAAATTTTACTTAACTTGGAGTGAAAAATGTTTACATTTTTAGCTTATTTGTTAGCTTTTGAGGAAGTTAATGCCAAATTTTACCCAGATTTACACGCCATTGATTTTTCGTGGACTATAGCTTTTCCATTTTTAAGTTTTATTTATACAAATGCGAAGCAAGTATCATTCATCTGCATTTGCATTTGATAAAAACACGGACGGTCCAAAGTTCTACTCTTTCTTAGTCTCTTTTGACCCCCCCCCCCTCCCGCTTGTCAGTTCTATGATGTTTTGTTACAACATTTCCGTTAGACGGAAACATCTTTTCCCCTTTTTGTGTATAGACCTCCTTCCCGTCTCTCTGTTGTTGTTGTTGTTTTGGTTTTTACCAGCAAACTTTGGTGTCACGATTTAGGATAATCTCAGTGTCACATAATCGAAAGTAAAAATTGTTTATGGCACAAGAAAGTGGATCAGTTTAGAATGGTTTAAATGGCTAATGGACGAGCGAGAATGAACGTTTTTTCTATGGGCTTTTCCTGCTTGATATTATTAATTATCCACCCCTAGCCACTTACGCTGAGGTGAATATCATACTAAAACAGTAAGATAATATAGTTCAAAACTGAGATGATTTTAACTCATTTATTCCTACACCGATTACAATATTTTCGGGAGCAAATCCTTCGCAAAAATGCCCCGAGGTGAATAGCAAAGGATATTCAGAGCTTTTTGGCCAATCAGAGTGCACATTCAGCGTTATCCACTGTTTTAGTACCTACTAATAACCATTATTTAAGAGATGATAGACTCATCCTCTGTTAGTTTGCTACCAGAAGCGTGAAAGCGTCTCCCACTAATCTATTTTTGCAAAAACAAATCTCAACGTAATAAAAGAAATTCCTGAGGCCCTGAAAATCATTTTATCTGTGAAAAGAGGAAAATTTCACGACAATTCAATCATAACGATATAAAAACACATGTTAACAAAAGAACGATCAAACGGGAATATTGTCCTGGGAGTTCATAGAAGAGTCGCGCCTGTGAACAGATCAGCGGGTTCCTGGAAGGCGCGGCTACTAAGGCATCATTTTCACATGTCTGAAGTGTCTGAATTTGTGTGAGTGTTTTAAGTGCGGTTAACAGAAAGATTGGAGGATATACTGTAATATAAAGTTCCTTATTGAGAACTGCTATGGATAGGCATATAAAACAGAAGAAGAGGAAAGTGCTCAAACGAAAGATGCGTCCCAGTGATTCAGCGATCGAAAAAGGTAAGACTCAATAAGCCGGTAAACCACATGTGTTTGAAATGCAGTTCCTGTCGTGTTTTGTCCGAGTCTATATAATTATAGTTGATATTTTATGGTGATTTACAGTTGCAAGGGCTAAAAAGGTGAAAGGAAAAAAGGAAATTCGAGCATTCAATGTATCTGAGGGAGAATCGAAGACGCAAGGCTGCATTGTCTCAGAGGAAGAATCGATTCCCCAAGGTAACTCTCAGTAGTTATATTTAGGACGCCGTGTGCCATTCACCTGTGAAACTACATGTTTGGTGCATGTTCTTGTAAAGTAATGCTCATTTGACTGATTCATCGCTCTATGCATTTAAAAGTAGTTGAGACATGTAGTTACGACAAGAGGTAATTGTTCACCATGTGATGTATCCCCACACTTCCCCCCTTTGCAATGTTGTTAGCTAAGCAGTACCAAGTAAAAACTAAACTTCGATGAACAACTTTGAATCGGGGGCAATTTTAGTTTTTGCCCTAGATTTCTTCTTGTCCATCTGATGAAGATTGTATATGTGCTTTTTATTTATGCAACTGGTTTTTAGCTTTTGTATTCAATGTTGTTGATGCACTTGCTAATAACTTAAGTTTTGTGGTTTGAAATTTAGATACTGATACTGTACTGCCAAATGATGATGGCTTGGAGGCTCCTGTAGCGAAGAAGAAGAAAAATTCATATGAAAGCGTCAGCTTACCAGAAGGTAAATTATAATGTTTACTATACTCAATTGAACACAACACATGTTACAGTAGAAGTATGCATGTGGCTTAAGTGTGAACTCTACTTGTACCAAGAGCATCTGAAGGTCATGGTCAATCAGTTCCATGTATGATATGCAGAATTAAACTTGCATTTTAATTTGTTCTTACTCATGATTTAATAGAGGACAGATGCATCTGTTGGAAGATAATGTCCTTATTAACTGTATTTTGCTTTGTTATCATATTATGAAACAAATAGTTTCCATGTTACCAAGGGTCTGTACAGTAATAGATCACAGAAGACATCCAACTGTGGTAAGATCAAAAAAGTGGCGCACAAAGTGCAGCCACATTTTTACATTTTCTGTGATCTAGTACTGAACAGAACCATAGAACACAAATGGATACCTGTACTTTTGTCTTCTTCAGACGTTTCAGTTCCAGATAGTACAGAGTTTCAGTCCCTGAAAGAATTTGTGAGTGAGAAGACACTTAATGCAATTACTGACATGGGCTTCACAAACATGATGGAAATCCAGCACAAAAGTATTGTACCACTGCTTAAGGGAAGGTACAGTATGATTCCAATGTTTGGTGTATAGTTGATACTTTTAGACCAGTGCATGTATTTCAGTGATTATTTCAGATTCAGGAAATGATTGAGGTTCAAGGTGCGAGTTTAGTTTTTGAGATGCTGATATGAAAGAGCAGATGAATTATCACTCATAATAATTGATAAATTCTTGTGAATAGAAGCTACATGTTTTTCATATATTCATAGTCGTAGAAGCTACTCTTATTTACTTATGGTCTACATGCATTCTATGATATGAAGTCTTTGCAGTGAGCACTTATGTTCACATAATTTCTGTGGTACATGCACATGTACATGTATATATACATGTTGAAGGTTGGGTAATCTAAAAGTCTTTAATGGGTCAAATCCATTTTATTTGGGTATGGAAAACCAGTGAAGTGATTTCAATTGAATTTAGAAAAAGGTAAGGCAATAAATACCTCTTATAGGAGGGTGAATTAAATATTCGAACAAACAGAGAAATTCCTGTGTAATGGTTGTGCATTGTTTTTCTGTAAGGGAAATTATGCTAGGAATCAAATATTAACCAGCTCCAGTTTGAGTTGTTAGCTATTTGTCTATGTACCCTTGTGTTTTAATTTTACTTGGATTTAAGATAATTTCTAGAAGAAAGTCAAAGATATTCTGGAGGGTCATTTGCAGTTCATGAATTCTATCCACTAACATTGTGCTCTGCAAGATTTTAATGCCAAGTTTCTTGTGTTAGGGATTTACTAGGAGCTGCTAGAACTGGCAGCGGAAAAACTCTGGCATTTCTCATCCCAGCAGTGGAACTGTTATACAAGCTGAGCTTTAAGCCAAGAAATGGTAAGCATCTACGTCTTAATGTTTGTTACGATAAGTGCCTTGGTCTTCATTATTTTCATGCAGTTGACTTCTTTGTACTTTTTAAGTTCTGCAATGAATTGTGGGTGGGATGGTGGCTCAGCAGTTAGTTCCTTAGACCATGAGCAAGAGGTCTGGGACTTGGTGGGGTTGAGTTTTGTTCTTTGGTGAGTAAATTTACTCTCGGAGTGCCTTTTTTCACCAAGGAGTATAACAATGAATGGGTCCCAACAAAGTTTCAAGGAAAATTGAGCAATTTCGGGGGGAATAGTGCTCTAGTCAAAAGAAATGCTTATACTCTTTAAGACTCTTTAAGCTATGAAAAGTAATGTAAGGTTCAGACATAAGAATCATCAGACCAATTTTTTACTTTAATATTTGTCTCTTTTGGCATTTAGGTACTGGAGTGATAATAATCTCACCAACAAGAGAGCTGTCTCTTCAGACCTATGGTGTGGCCCGGGACTTGCTCAAATACCACAATCACACATTTGGGATTGTTATGGGTGGAGCCAATCGCAAGGGTGAAGCAGATCGCCTACAGAAGGGTGTCAATTTACTCATAGCAACCCCTGGAAGGCTTCTGGATCACTTACAAGTGAGTTTTATAATTGATACTCAGCTTTATTGATACTCAGCTTTATGATTGCCCATTACAAAGATGCATCTCTGCCTCTCAGGTTCATGATTTTCAATGTTTGACCCCTGATCACAGGATTTGGTTTCAAGGAACACAGTACAATTTTGTGGTCTTTGGAAAGACCTTTGCCTGATAAGTGCCTATCTCCACCCACAGTTAGGTTGTGCAATATCTGTTCATGGTTGCTGTTAGTCTGTCTATGAAAACACATAAAAACACATAAACATTTCGATGGGAATTAAATCTGGGTCAGTATTATCAGCAGTCATTGCAGTTTTAAGAAATTTATTAAAAATAGTTGGAGATGTGGACAAGCCTACTGCACTGTGGATTTACTGGTAAACTCTCTTCTACAAGTATAAATATTTACCTATATGAAGCTCTTACTAATTTAATTCCCCTTGGTCTATTTCTCAGAATACGCAAGGTTTTATTTTCAAGAATCTCCAGTGTCTGATCATAGATGAAGCTGACAGAATCCTGGAAATTGGCTTTGAAGAAGAAATGAAACAAATTGTCCGACTTTTACCGGGTAAGATTCAATAGTTTTCAATGGATTAGCATATTTGACATTTAAAAATTAGATTATTTGCTCTTGATTTCTTTTGCCTGACAGCTGATGAAGGCAAAACCATAATCAACTCTTGTGGTAGAATATTTGTAGATTTAAAGAGTATATACAGTGAACCATGTTCAGTAGATGTGACAAGAGGAGGATGGTACACAAATTTATTTGATAGCGGGTTGATTTCTAGTTCGCAGGCAGACAGTTTTGTTTTCAGCCACTCAGACCAGGAATGTGGAGGATCTTGCCCGTGTTTCTCTCAAGAAGTCTCCCCTCTATGTGGGTGTTGATGATCACAGGGAAACATCAACTGTTGAGGGCCTTGAACAGGTAGAGAGATCATGTATTTGATACTGTTTTGTTATGCCCAAGTTTGTTTCAATTGTGCTCTGAACTCAGATCTTAACCAATGTCCTGTTGTAACAAGCTGTCTTTTTTACAATACAGGGATACATCGTGGTTCCTTCAGAGAAGCGTTTCCTAGTGTTGTTCACTTTCCTCAAGAAGAACAGAAATAAGAAAGTTATGGTGTTTTTTTCATCCTGCAACTCTGTCAAGTACCACTATGAACTGCTGAACTACATTGATCTGCCAGTGGCTCATATCCATGTGAGTACGTGTAACCCCCGTTAAAACGACGCCCCCCCTAGGACTTGAAAACGTATTCCTCTTGATAATCATCTGAATGATTGTGATACTTAATCAAACCACTATTTCTTTTAGGGTGAGGTTGCTTTGAAAGAAACTGTGGTGCTGTGTGGGGGGTATTTCAAGATAATTATTTTGGTTTCATCAACCATGTTGATCACGGAAACTGGCCACCGTGAAAATTTCTAAAGCTGACGTTCCGTGCATTCGCTCTGACGAATATATCAAATTCTTATACCTTGAAGGGAAAGCAAAAGCAACAAAAACGTACCACAACGTTTTTTGAGTTTTGCAATGCTACATCTGGAACTTTGCTGTGTACTGATGTGGCAGCTCGGGGCCTGGATATACCGGAAGTGGATTGGATTGTTCAGTTTGACCCCCCAGATGACCCTAAGGTAATGTACTATTGTAGTCCCGATAAAGGGTTAAAGCGGTTTTTATTTTTGTAATGTTCTCGTACATTATAGGGATTGATGGAAAGAAGTAGAGTTCCCTTGACTGAAGATTGTTTGCACTTTTTCGCACGTAATTGCACTTTACAGTATCTTTCTATTAACTGGGGTGTGTTTTTGTCTGCTAGGAGTACATTCACAGAGTGGGAAGAACAGCTCGTGGAAATCAGGGGCGTGGTCATGCCTTACTTCTCTTATTACCTGAGGAGCTTGCATTTCTACGATATCTCAAGCAGGCCAAGGTCAGTTAGATTTTAAACGAGAGGCACATGTTCGTTGGTGTTCCGTTTGATATTTGCAAAATAAGGGTTGGTCGGTCATTCAAACGAAGTCTAACTTTGGCTTCGACTAAAGGCAGTAAATCGACATACTGTGAGTTTTTGAAGAAATTAAATTTTATTCCAGTGTCTGCTACAGGGTTTCTCGACACTGTTCACAAACTCAACGTTTGCACCGTTGATAGATGTGCTTGTTCAGGTATAATTTGGAACTAAATATTAGATGGTTTAGAAAACTGTTTTGCTAAACAATGGCTTAACTTTAAAATGAGATAAATAGATAAAATAACTAGCTTAGTGAGTATTCAGTAAGAAGTGGCAGTTTTTCGTTTACAGTTTAATTACGGTGGAGATACTGCAACTTACACGTTGTTAACGGGACACTGACTATTTGGTTATTTTAAACATAAAAGAGTTAGGTTGATTTTTGTTTTTCTGTTCAAGGTTCCTCTCAATGAATATGACTTTTCAGCATCTAAAATATACAACATTCAATCCCAGGTAAAGTAATTTATTTTTATTTATTTACGCACAGTAATCATGGTTCGAATTAGATGTCCATTACCTTTTGAATACCAGTAGCATTGCTGTTTTACACGAGGATCGAGTATGCTTTGTTGTTGTTGAAAATCGTTGCTAGGTTACACGTAAACATAAGCCTTTAAATTAGAAAAAGCGGGAGTAAGCTTTGCTACTCTCATAAGCAAGTTTTCTATTCATACATGTAAGTCGACGTCAAGACCTGACGAAAATTAGCAAAATGCAATTCGAACGTCGTGGTTTATATCATTCGTTAGAGGGCCCTACAAACAAACGATTTTACTTTATCGTGAGACCGACTCTTTTTCATTGCTTTTTTGTTTTTCCAACCATTTATGAAAGTTATTTTTCTCACAGTTGGAAAAACTGATAGAAAAGAACTACTACCTCCATAAATCGGCTCGAGAAGCCTACAGATCGTATTTACAGGCGTACGCCTCGCATCAACACAAGAGTATCTTTAACGTGAATGCTCTCGACCTTCAAAGAGTAGCTCCTGCCTTTGGCTTTGTGGTCCCTCCGCGAGTGAATCTAAGTATCCTTTCATCACCATCAAAACTCTCCTTAACATATCCCTCAAGGTCTTTATTGTTTAATTCGGGTGAGGTTAGTGTTCTAGGCCAGTAAAAAGGTCCTCACAGGGACTTGGGACTTTTTCTTTGTCCCATACTAGTGATAAGACGAAAATCCATCTTCCTCGATTGCATCACCGAGCTAACAAATATATCATCTCTCTAATTCTATTCACAATCCATGTTAACTTTTACTTCCTCGGCATCTGATTTTAACTTAGTACTTTGCACTCGTAAATGAGGCACACCCCGAATTTAGGGGAAAGCGGGGCAGCTTAAACGCCGGTGTTTACGACACTTTGTATATTCAGCCTTAACAAACTCTACCAGATGTCCACAGCAGTAAAGGAGAGAGAATTCAGAGACGCGGTGGCGGCGGAGGGTATGGTACGGGATATAAAAGCTCGAAGTTACAACAGAAAGCCAAGATTTTTAAAAGAAAGACCGGTGATTCGAGACAATTCACCAGATAAAAATGGAAAGTTTACGGCTTTGACTGCTGAATAAAGTATAAATCTGAGCATGTCCCTGCTTCTTATAGGAAACATACATTTGTACGCTGAGTATACTGCTGAGTGTATTCAAGAAGCAAATTATTTATTTGAGAAATCAGAATGGAAGAGAACTGAAAGACTGGTTTAAATTTTGAATCGTTTTGTACGTCATGCAAAACTACATGTATCTCCATCAAAAGAAAAAACAAAACATCTGTTTCGTAAGATAGGAAAACAAAACATAAAACAAAACGAGTTCATCGACGAGGATAGTGAGAAAGATTGTGAATGGAAACGATTTGACAGTGATAGCAAATAAAAACTTTTTTTTAAGGATCAACAAACCATAATGTCAGACTCTATTAATGATGCAAGATTAAGAACACTGATCGCCTCGATTTGATAACATGCCATTTACATGCCATCCACGCGCTATCTAAATTTTGTAGGTTGCACGAGCTACAGAAACACGTGTGATATGGGGCTCTGCTAGTGCGCTTTACATACTATAACTCCGCTAGAGACATTATTATTGTTGTTGTTGTGTTGTTTTTCAAATTTTACAGCTGGCGAAATTTGTATTAGTTACATACCTAGGTTGGCTACAGTTTGGTTTCCATTTCATCGTTATCAAACCTTAATGCCACTTCATCAGACTCGTTGTGACAAGCTCTTAGTTTTGTCTCTCCTCTCGAAACGGTTTCGTTGTTTCCTTTGATTGTAACTATTCCCGGTTTCATTCCAACTCGCTTTGTGACACAGCTGAGAGCTAGTGCTTGTCGAAACTCTGGAATTCTCAATGCATACATAACTGGATTTATAAAAGCATAACAACAATTGAGAGCCATAGCAATAACGACCCACCTCATCGGTACTGAAACACTCTCATTCAGGGCACCGAGCACAATATTCAAAGGGACCCAGCAGAACGAATTAAGAATAGAAGAAAACATTAAAGTCTTCGTCAAACGAACGTTTTTCTCGTCCCTTTTTTTCTGTTGTGAAGTGACGTTTCCGTGGCGGAACTTTCTCCAAATGGCGATGTTGCTTCCGCAAATAATACTTCCTGCAGTGACACCGTATGATGAACGAGCATGACTGATGAAATAGTTGTATGATCGTAAATAAAAAGGGGCAGTGGCTTTCAGAAGACAAAGTGTCCATAAAACAAACAAGGCAACGTGGTATGTTCGCGCGGTTAGTGTTCTGTGTTCGAATGGCCAATATACGGCGTAAAACTTCTCACATGATATGGAAACTGCAGATGTCAATGAAACCCAGAGTGAAATTCCGTATGAGAGCCCATAGACACGAGCCAAAGTCGAATTCACAATCTTCAGCGAAAACTGATAACCATTGTTAATTGAGACATAGATGTAAAGGGGAAGAGCAAAAGCCCCTAACAGCAGATCAGCCAAAGCCATATTGATCACAAGGTAAAGACTCTTTTTACGAACTCTTTTGTTAGCCGCGAAGAGGACAATTGTGAGGAGGTTTCCAACAGTAATAAATAAAGAAAGCAAGGAGGAAACAGTGCACCATGCAATACCTTCTGGCCCCGAAAGAGCGCTTAAGGACAAACCAGGTTTTACATCTATGCTAACATTTGCTGAAGATGTGTTATTCATCGTGCCATCTCGCGCAAAAGGTTATCTTCTTTGAAGATTAAGTCTACCACGCTTCATAGGAAAGCTTTTCGAGTTTGCGCCATTGTCATATTTTAGAGTAGTGACCAACCTGCCTTGATCTTTTTTGCAGCAGATATTTTCATTGTTGCCAATTTTTAACTGAGCGATTGGAACTTTCAGTCTCTACCATAAACAAGATTAACAATCGCTACCAGACTCTAAAGCTGTGGTGATATATTTCGGGATCAGTGGTATGTTTGCATGAGCAATCGAATCTCGGTTCACCCAACAAGGTCAGCTTGATTACTCATGCATTCAGTCGATTGTGGGTAAATCAACTGTTCTGTCCATGCAGAGAGAAATCGGCACAATTTTCAGAGAAGTATCTTTTCAATCAACTATTTCACAAAATAGCATTGAGTCTATAAAGAACAAAAGATTCTGTTATTGACATCCTTAGCGGGTTTGCTGACTTTTCCAATAATTTTCCTTACTAAACTGCAATTTAGGGGGTCAGTGATAAAAAAATCACAAGCTTTAGACAATTCATATTCTTCTTTTTTATCCTGCAAAGGATAAATAATTAATTAGAGCTTTTCCAAGGGGAAGATAAAGTATAAATAAAAGCAGAGTAAGTTTCGCGGAAAAATGAATAAAATGACGAAATGTTGAACTTGGAGCCGACATATACTAGAATTGTTAATTCTGCGGAATTATGCATTGAGAGAGTTTGAGTTTTTTTCTTTTCGTTATTCTGTCTCAATTTTAATTTGAAATTTGGCAATAAAGGAATTTTTTCAATAAATGCAACTCATTTCATCCGACAGTGCTTCTCTGCAAGTCAAATTAAAGCTTACTCCTAAAAATGACAACTGAACTGGTGTAATTTCAATCCATGATTATAACCAGTGACTTAAGAATAAAATAATTAATTTGTTAGTAAGATGCTATGATACGATCTACTTCTATGTGTCATCATCATCATCATCAATACCGCTACAACCACCGGCATCATCGTCATCATAATCATACTACCATGCTAGCTGGCAACAAATGAGCCTTAAAACATATTAGAAAGAGCTGTAAGAAAACCTTAATGTAAGTGACAATGATGATTTGTTGTTTTCATGCAGGTAGAACTAGTTTGGGAGTGGACTTATCATCCTCTCACTCGGGCTGTTTTCTGATATCTGCTTTTGGCCTCTCAAGTATCTTTTTCTATTATCTGTGATATTAACCACTGATGCGTTATTAGTGGTTGACATCACAGATTATTTCTCTCATTGTTCAAACTTTATTTATTTATTTATTTATTTTTTTGTATTTTCACAGCCATGCAGATCTCTATTTGTTTTATAGTAGGTAAACTACAGTTTGGTTTCCATAAAGTTTTTATGAAACTTAAGTGCATTGGTATTGGACTCACTCTGACAAGCCCTTAAGTGTGTCTCTCGTGACAAAACAATTGCAGGATTTTCTCCGGTTTTAATATTTTCTGGGTTCATTTTTTTGCGCTTTCTGACACAGCTCAGCGCCAACGCTTTTCGAAACTCGGGAACTCTCACTGCATATAGTAAAGGGTTTATAAATGCGTTGCAACTATTGAGAGCAACAGTAATAACGAACCATCTGGTCGGTATTGAAACACTTTCATGGTCGATACCATACACCGTAACTAAAGGGATCCAGCAAAGCAAGTTAAGTATGGAAGCAAACACTAAAGTTTTTGTCAAACGCACATTCTGCACGTCTCTGTTTTTCTGTTGTGAAATGACGTCTCCGTGTTGAAATTTTCTCCAAATTGCGATATTGCATCCACAGATGATGCATGTTACAGCAAAAATGCATGATGTATTGACATACCTGATGAAATCGTTGTTTGATTTTAAATAAACGTAGCCAATAGCATTCATTGGGACATTTAGCGTCCACGAAATAAAAATGAAAATGTGGTATGTTCGAACTGTTACTCTTCGGTGCCTGAATGGCCAATATATGGCGTAAAACCTCTCACATGATATGAAAGCTGCAGATGTCAGTGAAACCCCTAATGAAATGCTGTAAGGGATATTATAGACTACATTCGACTTCCAATTCTCATTTGTCATCGAAAGCTGATAACCACTGCTGATGATAAAGTAATTGAACACAGGAAGACAAAAACCTCCTAACAGTAGATCAGCAAAGGCCATGTTAATGGCAAGAAACTAACTTTTTTTACGAGCTCTCTTGTTGGCTGCGAAGAGAACAATTGTGAGGATATTTCCAACGACGATAAAGAATGAAAACAAGAAAAGCACACTACTCCATGCAATGCCCTCTGACCTCGAAAGGGTGTTCGTTGGTGAGGTAATTTCAATTTCTTTGCTTATATTTGCCGAAGAAATGTTTTCCATCGCGGCCATCTTGTACGAGACGTTTTCAGCTATGAAGACTAAGTCGAAAGCTCCTTCAGTTTAGCACAGCTAGTTTTAGTTTAAATTGAGCGTGAAATGGTCTTAATTTGAGTGATGTAAATGCTAGCTTGAAAGAGATACTTTGAATGCAAACAAATTATTTCAGAAGCTACATTACGCGTGCAGAAAAAAAGATTTCATTATTCACACTTATGCGTGAGATTTACCGCGTGCTTTGTTTTCCACGCCGTAGATTACAAATTGATAGCGCCGAAAAATGGGGAGACAAAAATATACGTATTGTCGGCTACCACAAAGGAAAGTAGATATTAATTATAAATTTTCCTACCGAGAAAGCAAAAAGAGTTAACATTAAAAAGAACACTATACAGCACCTTCTGTCCCAAACTTATTTTTCGCCTGTAGAGTCGGCGGGCCAAGCTGTGAAAGAGTTAAGTACTTTTTTTTGTTGTTGCTGTGAACAACTTTCAATTTGAACTTTATCTAAGAAAAAGGTGCACAGTTGTTAATGCTACAGATGTCAAGAGTCAAAGTAATTTGTTTAAAATTACTTCTCTGCATGTCAAAATGAAGCTTAAAAATGAAGACCAATCCAAGCTCAATTTCATCCATGATTAAACACCGAAAAAGGCAATGGTAATATTTATTTCCAACAAAAATTATTTAGGTCTCCTTGAAACAACAAATATTACCAGATGTTCATGAACTGGACGCTGATTCCAAAAGGCTCGTAAGAGAAGCAAAAGAAGCTTTCCGAGTCAGTCATCTCAATTTTTTTTTATTTCGTAGTGGCCTAATGGTCAGTGCACTAGACTTCGCGTCGAGAGGCCTGAGTTCGAGACCTGGCCGGGACAATGCGTTGTGTTCTTGAGCAAGACACTTTACTCTCACAGTGCTCTCTTAAGGGCAAACACTTAATTTGGAGCCTCGCTCTGTTGTGTGTTCCACACCTTCATGGTGAAAGCGATTAAAAAAAAAAAAAGGACGTATTTAAACGTGAAAGTCTCAAATCATTTATTCGAATAAGCTGGGACAGTGAAAAACAAATCCACGGCTAAGTTAGAGTGAACGTGAAAAGCAACGAAGCTGAAACAAAACAAGGTAGCCTTCTCATCGCGAGAGACACGGCTGAGAACTTTTACACACAGATTTAAACAGCCCTCGACAAAATTTTGATAAGAAAGCTATGGATACGAAGATGTAGTCAACGACTTGCATATGAAAACTTATTTCTTAACAACATTTCAGACCGCTTGAGACTACGCCGGACGACATCGTCAAAGTAGTTCAAGCAAAGACGACAAAATGTGCAACAAAATGCGCAGTACACATTCAAAATCCTCCGCAAGATTTTCCTCAGCAAAATTTTCACGAAAACGCACATCATACTATGTGCTACAAACTTTAAGTATCTCAAACTGCCAAAGCAAACGTCGCACAGCCTTTCGGTTGCCGTGTTTTGGCCTTCAAATTTTTTATAAAATGTTATTTTATCTGAGACGTTCTTGATGTAAAAAACTACTTTCACATTGGTAATGATACTCGTTAACTTTTTTTTTTTATTCATAATGAGTCAGCAAAAGTTTATTATCCAACAAAACTTCTCTAAAGTTATGCAAACCCTCGACTGCTTCACGGGTGAAATTGAATTGAATTGCAAGTAACAATAGATATTAAAAGTTTTTCTGACCTTCATGAAAACTCCTCCAGGAAATTGTAAGAAGTTTTGTACATTGTAATCAACAACATCTATTTGATATTTGCACGCTCAGCGGACCTTTCTGTTTACTTAACCTCAGTGTTACACTCCCTTACTCTTACATCCAAGATCAAGTAATGGATACAGCACAATACAGTGTGCTGACCATAAAAATGGAAACTGATGTGGTGATGATAACAGCAAAGTTCACTGTTTTACTTAATTCCGTGTAGTATTTTTTTTATTTATTTATTATTATCATTTACAACATAGCAAAAGTTTTATTGCGTAATCTTCCCTTAACCCTCAGGTAAGACTCAAATTTTTATCGGTTTCATACCAAGGGTCACTACAGTTTGGTATCCATAACGCGTTCATTAAACTTGCAGTGAAGGTTACCGAAATCAGTGTGAATTGTTGGGAGTGTCGTCTCCCCCTTTGGAATAGCTGCCGTGTTCCTTCGAACTGCAAAATTTGTCTCGTTCATCGATATCTCGGCTCGTCGTTTGATACAGCATAGAGCTAACGCACGTCGTAACTCTGGAATTCTTATTGCATACAAAACTGGATTTACAAATGAATTGCAGCTATTAAGGAAGACGGCAATAATGTGATATCTACCTACTCTTTCACCCCGTAAAAATCTCACAATAATCAGGGGCAGCCAGCAAAGCAAAGTAAGAATAGAAGCAAACATTAAAGTTTTTGTCAATCGCATATTTTGCGCTTCTCTGTTTTTCTGTTTTGATGCGACGCTCTCGTGTTTAAACTTTCTCCAAATGGCAAAGTTGCACCCGCAAATGATGAGTGTGAAAACAGCACCGAATGATGTAGAAATATACCTCGCAAAAGACTCGAATGATTGGAAGGCGGAGCCGATTTCCCATAGTAGAGAATGTGTCCATATTATGAAAATGACAGTGTTGTATCCCTTCGTTGTTTTTGTTCTGTGCTTGAACGGGAAATGTATAGCGTAAAACCTCTCATAGGATATCAAAGCCGCAGACATAAGTGACACAAACAACGAAAGTTTGTAAGAACTCCTAGACACATAAACCAAAGTCCAATTCATCTTTGGTGTGGAAATTCGATAGTAATCAGTGCTGATAAAAAATTTAACATAAAGTGGAAGACCCAAAGTTCCTAACATCAGATCAGCGGAAGCCATATTGATCACAAAATACAAGCTTTTTTTCCGAACTCTTTTGTTAACTGAAAAGAGAATTATTATGAGAAGGTTTCCAACGACAGTAAAAAAAGAAAGAAAAGAAAGTGAAATGCACCATGCTATGCCTTCTGGTCTTGAAATAGGAACCGTTGCCAAGTCAAGAACATTGACTTTGCTTATATTTCCCGTAGAATTGTTTTCCATGGTTTCAACCTAGCGTAAGAGGTTCTGTTTGGTGAAGACTTAGTCAAATCGAGGAAACTTTTGACGGAAGCTTTTCAACTTTAAAATGTTGACTAATCTGTGTGACCTGTAACTTAGTGTTAATCACCTCACAACTGTTCAGATCCGCCGTTAATAGAGTACCAAATTGAATCTTAAAACTCATTTACCAAACCCATCTCTGTTTACAATGGAAATATGAGCCAATATAATTTCACGAATTATCTTTTCAGTTGAAGAACAGAAGGTGCTATTATTGAGACTCATAGGATTTGCCGGCTGTGCTCTTTTTCATTTGAAAGTTTAACTTTTTTCTGCTACCCAGGGATCACCACCAAGGATCATGAAATGAACCATAGATTAAGCTCACTTTTCTTTGTTTTTCAGAGAGGGAAGATAACACATTCGGTGAACCCTACTGACTCGGATGGTAAGAACAGTCTTTTTCCATTTTTTTTACACAAGGTAAAACTGTGAGACAATTTATATGAAAAATACCTCTTTGTCCATACTCACTTCTTACTGAGGCAACTCAAATGCTATTTTAAACCATTAATAAACTGAATAGAACTTGGTGTATACTTAGATTTATTGTAGCGAGTGTTTAACAGTAAATTAGAACAGATGTTACTTGATGAAGAGAGTCAGAAGAAGAGGAAAGTAAGAGATTTCATTTTTGAATGCGTTTATTCCGATTAGATGTAGCAATTCAGAACTTCTCGCAGTCTTATCTTCCTTAAGATTTACTAAGGCGTCTGAGGTCTCAAATTTTTCAGCTGAAAAGTGGCGGCGATGAAAAACACAACTGCGGCAAATATAAGCAGAGAAACTGCAATCCATTTGCAAGCCAGTCCTCTTTCTAAAACAGAAAGCATGATATGGTCCAGTGTTTTTTCCGTGGCTTCCGTTTTAATCGATTAAACTCTATCGTGAGACCGACTTTTTTTCATTGCTTTCTTGTTTTTCCAATCATTTATGAAAGTTCTTTTTCTCACAGCTGGAGAAACTGATAGAAAAGAACTACTACCTCCATAAATCGGCTCGAGAAGCCTACAAATCGTATTTACAGGCGTACGCCTCGCATCAACACAAGAGTATCTTTAACGTGAACGCTCTCGACCTTCAAAGAGTAGCTCCTGCCTTTGGCTTTGTGGTCCCTCCACGGGTGAATCTAAGTATTTATTGGTGAATTTAGTGTTCTGGGCTAAAAAAAGGTCCTCATAGGGACTTGGATTTTTTCTTTGTCCCATCCTTGTGATAAGAAGAAAATCCATTTTCCTCGATTGCATCACTGAGCTAACAAATATATCATCTTTCTGATTTTATTAACAATCCATGTTAACTTTTACTTCCTCGGCATCTGATTTTAAATTGGTACGTACAAGTTGCACTCGTAAATGAGGCACACCTCGAATTTTGAGGAAAGTGGGGCAGCTTAGTGTTTATGACACTTTGTATATTCAGCCTTAACAAACTCCACCAGATGTCCACAGCAGGAAAGAAGAAAGAATTCAGAGACGTGGTGGCGGCGGAGGGTATGGTACGGGATATAAAAGCTCGAAGTTACAACAGAAAGCCAAGATATTTAAAAGAAAGACCGGTGATTCGAGACAATTCACCAGATAAAAATGGAAAGTTTACGGCTTTGACTGCTGAATAAAGTATAAATCTGAGCATGTCCCTGCTTCTTATAGGAAACATACATTTGTACGCTGAGTATACTGCCGAGTGTCCTCAAGAAGCAAATCATTTATTTCAGAAATCAGAATGGAAGAGAACTGTATGATGTGTTAAATTTTGAATCGTTTTGTACGTCATGCAAAACTACATGTACTTCCATCTGAAAGAAAAAACAAAACATAAGATAGGAAAACAAAACATAAAACAAAACGAGTTAATCGACGAGGATAGTGAGAAAGATTATGAATGGAAACAATTTTACAGTGATAGCAAATAAACACTTTTTCTATAGATAAACAAACCATAATGTCAGACTCCATTAAGTTATTGATGCAAGATTAAGAACACTGATCGCCTCGATTTGATGACATTCCATTTACATGCCATCTCTTAGTTAACGCGTTCACTAACTTTTGTCGGTTGAAAGAGATACAAAAACGTGTGATATGGGGCTCTGATAGTGCGCTTTACGTGCCCTGACTCCGCCAGAGAAAAAATTTTACAGACGGCGAAATTTTTATTAGTTACATACCTAGGTTAGCTACAGTTTGGTTTCCATTTCATCGTTATCAGACCTTGATGCCAGGTTATCAGGCTCGTTGTGACAAGCTCTTAGTTTTGTCTCTCCTCTCAAAAAATTTCATGGTTTCCTTTGATTGTAACCATTCCCGGTTTCATTTCAACTCGCTTTGTGACACAGCTGAGAGCCAGTGCTTGTCGAAACTCTGGAATTCTCAATGCATACATAACCGGATTTATAAGAGCATTACAACTATTGAGAACAGAAGCGATAACGATCCACCTCATTGGTACTGAAACACTCTGATTCCGTGCACCAAATACAACAATGAGAGGGACCCAGAAAAGCAAATTCAGAATTGAAGCAAACATTAAAGTCTTCGTCAAACGAACATTTTTCTCGTCCCTTTTTTTCTGTTGTGAAGTGACGTTTCTGCATCGAAATTTTCTCCTAATGGCGATGTTGCTTCCGCAAATGATGCTTGTTGCAATAACACCGTATGATAAACGAACATAACTGATGAAATACTTATGATCGTAAGTAAAAAGGGGCAGTGGCTTTCAGAAGACAAATTGCTTGAACGTGCGTGGAAACAACAGAAGATTTTATCAATATCTGCATCAGCAGGAGTTAATTATTGTGCATTTTAATTTCTTTCTGCAAATTGAAAGCGCTGGTGGATAAAAGAGGGTCTTGATTTTTTGCAGCAGATGTTTTCATTGTTGCAAATTTTTAACTGAGCGATTGAAACTTTCAGTCTCCACTATAAACAAGATTGACGATGGTTACAAGAGTCAAAAGCTGTGGTGATATATTTTGGGATCAATAATATGTTTGCATGAGCAATCGAATCTCGATTCACCCAATAAGGACTCATCAGCCTCAACTTGTAAACTGTTTTTTCCATCCAAAGAGAAACCAACACAATTTGCAGAAAAGTGTTTTCTCAACCAAATATTTCACAGAATAACGTTTAGTTTATATAGAACAAAAGATTCTGTTAGTGATATCCGTAGCGGGTTTGCCAACTTTGCCAATAATTCTTCTTACTAAACTGCAATTTAGGAGGTCAGTGGCAAAAAAAATATATCATGTTGTAGATAATTTATATTCTTCTTTTTTATCCTGCAGAGGATCAAAAATAAATTAAAGCTTTTCCAAATAGAAGAAAAAGTATTAATAAAAGCAGAGTAGTTTCACGGAACAATACAAAAAAAAGACGAAACGTTCAACTTGCGGCCGACTAATTTCAGGCTTGCTGTCGTTGTGGACCAAGCATTGAGAGAGTTTATTTTTTTTTAAAGTTTTTTTGATATTCTGTATCACTATTAATTTAAAATTTAGTTAAGAAAGGAATATTTTTTTTCAGTAAATGCAACGCATCTCGTCCGACATTGCATCTCTGCAGGTCAAATTTACGTAAGCTTACTCCTTGGAAATGACCACTGACCAGAACTGTAATTTCAATCCATGATTATAAAACCAGTGACTAAAGAATGAACGAGATTACTTTGTTAGTAAGATGCTATGATACGATCTACTTCTATGTGTCATCATCATCATCATCAATACCGCTACAACCACCGGCATCATCGTCGTCATCATCATCATCATAGTACCATACTTGTTGGCAACATGTACCTTAAAATAGACTAAAAAGAGCTTTCAGAGCTTTTTGTTTTCATGCAGGTAGAACTAGTTTGAATCCTCTCATTCGGGCTGTTTTCTGATTTCTGCTTTTGGCTTCTCAAGTATCCTTTTCTATCATCTATGATATCAACCATGACCAACGTTTATTTCTCTCACGAAATTTGTCGTGTATGTGAAATGCCGATTTCCATGCAAAACTCTCGGCTATCACGTGAAAAACAAATTATGTAAGCTTCATGAGTTACAATATCGACCTAGGTATTTACATGAAAATTTATATGTTAAAGTAATTGACACACCTTGGCGATCGATGACCAATAGCTTTATAGTGGAAATATCGGCAGTTTTCTATTTACTGAGCATCTTAAATTGCGTATAAATTGGTCTCCTTTTCTAAAGCTTAACGAACCTTTGAGTTCAAAGTCAATGCTCAGCTTAACGCAGTTAATTTTTCTTGGACAAATTATTTTACAATTTGCTTTTCGTGTGGAGTCAACAAAGGATTCTATCATTTTCTGCATCAGTAGGACCTGGTTATGCTATTTTGCCAGTTTCCTTTTTGCATATTGAAAAATGTCAGAAGACTTTTACAAGACTCCCTGAATACTTGGTGCTAGATCCATGCAAATCTTTATGGTCATCTCAATTTTATTAGCTTCACTTAGCTTTACATGCACTTGTAAAATTGTCATAAAGTCACTTTGCCGTAGGAAAGGTTGCTCTGTAAGAAAATCTCTTGAACAAGATGATATCAGTGAATTAAACGAGTGCAACTGATTTCCTAAAATATATTTCACAAAGCTGGGATCATTGTTCATTAAAGAGAAAGTGTCTCGAACATTTGAGAGTAACACGGGCGTCCTCATGAGCAGTGAAAACAACTTTGCGTGCTGCATTGATTTAGCAAGGCTGGAAAGCGGAGTTACAGTTTTCTAATACTACATCCTTTTATTTCATCCGAAATTTCCACAATGTAATTTATCGACAATGAGAATTCTCTTCTTCACATAAACCTTCAGTCATCACGCGTAAATTTAATTTTGTAGGCTTCATCAAGTACACTGTGGTATCTTGAATGTGGGGCTCCGCTGGCGCACTTTGCAGGCCGGAGCTCCGTTTAGAAACAGACATGCAATCTCTATTTGTTTTATAGTAGGTAAACTACAGCTTGGTTTCCACGAAGTTTTTATGAAATTTAAGTGCATGGGTATTGGACTCGCTCTCATAAGCCTTAAGGTATGTCTCTTGTGACAAAACGGCTGCGTGATTTCCTCTGGTTTTAATGTTTTCTGGGTTCATTTTTGCGCGCTTTCTGACACAGCTCAGCGCCAACGCTTTTCGAAACTCCGGAACTCTCACTGCATACAGTAAAGGGTTTATAAATGCGTTGCAACTATTGAGAGTAACTGTGATAAAGAGCCATCTCGTCGGTGTTGAAACACTCTCATGGTTGATACTACCCACAATAGCCAAAGGGATCCAGCAAAGCAAGTTAAGTATGGAAGCAAACATTAAAGTTTTTGTCAAACGCAGATTTTGCACGTCTCTGTTTTTCTGTTGTGAAATGACGTTTCCGTGTTGAACTTTTCTCCAAATGGCCATGTTGCATCCACAGATGATGCATGTTACAGCAAAAATGTATGATGAAATAACATACCTGCTAAAAGCGTTGTTTGATTTTAAATAAACGTGGCTAACAGCAGTTAGTGCAACTGCTGGCGTCCACGAAATAAAAATGAAAATTTGATATGTTCGAACTGTTACTCTTCGGTGTCTGAATGGCCGATATATAGCGTAAAACCTCTCACATGATATGAGAGCTGCAGATATCAGTGAAACCCCTGATGAAATGGTGTAAGAGATTTTGACTGGAGTGATCATCCAATTCACATTTGCCGTCGAAAGCTGATAAAAAGTGCTGAAGATATTGTAACTGTACGCAGGAAGAACAAAAGCTCCGAACAGTAGATCAGCAAAGGCCATGTTAATTACAAGAAAAAACTTTTTTTTCCGAACTCTCTTGTTAGCTGCGAAAAGAACAATTGTGAGAAGATTTCCGACAACGATGAAGAATGAAAGTAAGGAAAACACACTGCTCCATACAATGCCTTCTAGCCTACAAAGGACGTTCGTTGGTGACCTAATCTCAATTTTTTCGGTTGTATTTGCCCATGATGTGTTTTCCATCGCGGCCATCTTGCACGAGACGTTTTCAATAACACAAGGTGAGTCGAAAGCTCTTTCAGCTTAGTACAGCTAGTTTTAGTTTAAATTGAGCGTGAATTGGTCTTCATTCGAGTGCAAGCTGGAAAGAGATACTTTGAATGCAAATATTGGGAGAAAGAAATACTTATTGTCGGCTACCACAAAGGGAAACAGATTCTAATCATAAATTTTTCCTACCGAGAAAGCGAAAAGAGTTAACGATAAACAGTGCACCATATAATGCCTTCTGTCCCAAACTTATTTTTCGCCTGCAGAGTCGGCGGACTAAGTTGTGAAAGAGTTCACTTATTATTATTTTTTTTTTGTGCTCTGCTTTGCATGACTTTCAATTTGGACTTTATTTAAGAAAAAACTGCACAGTGGTAAATGCTACAGATGTCAAGAATCAGAGTAATTTGTTTAAAATTACTTCTCTGTATGTCAAAGTGAATCTTAAAAATTAGACCAATCCAAGCTCAATTTCGTCTACGATTATGCGCCGAAAAAGGAAAAGGCAATGGTAATAATGATCTCCAACAAAAATTATTAAGGTCTCCTTTTAACAATAAACATCAACAGATGTTCATAAATAGGACACTGATTCCAAAAGGCTCATTAGAGAAGCAAAAGAACCTTTCCTTTGAAGCGCGTACAAGTCAGTCATCTCAATTTTGGAGTTCTTTTAATTTTGTTTTCCTGAAGAGTTATCTAAACGTGGAAGTCTCCAATCGTTTAGTCGATTAAGCTGGGACAATAAAAACAAATCCACGGCCAATAATTAGCCTGGAAACTGAGTTTCGGTTGTCGATCAATGTTCTCTCGTAGACAGAAAGCATCTTATAGTGCAGCGTTTTTTTCCGTGGTATCCGTCTTAATCGTCATACGAAACTTACCATAATTTTCTTTTACAATAACAAGAGACTTCGTAAAAGAAAGTTTACTCTTTGTCGTCAATATGGCTTTCGCTGATCTAATAATAGAAGCCTTCACTTTCCCCGTTTCTGTTCACTCATTACCTAGCATGAACAACTATCAACTTTGGATGGGAAATGTGAATTCATTGTGGACTTTGCCTTACTTCTGCTTAACGTCTTAGGTAATTTCCCTGAAAGTTTCATTGACCTTTGCGGTTCTAATATCCTGTGAGGGGTTTTACGCCATATATGTAAGAGATTAATACCGACGTTCGAGGTATTTATCTGACTTTTTTCATGATATTATTTGTGAGGAATCTTTAGAGAATGATTCTTTTCTTCAAGGGGCCAAACACCGGCTAATTAATACGGTCAAACCTTCGTCAAATCAAAGCAGATACCAGGGACCGCGCAGCAAGTTTTCGAGTGGGGGGGGGCTAAAGAAGAATGCGTGAAGGAAACTTTTCTTGTTAATTTTTTTTTGTTTAATTTATTTTTATTTTTGCAAAAAAGTGGGGGGGCTAAAGCCCCCCCAGCCCCTCCCTCAGCGCGGTCCCTGGATACAATGAAAGCAACCTGATGTCTGCGTTTCTCACAGGAATGTGAAAAGTTGTTGCGAATTCCTCCGAGACAAGCGCTAGACTTTTTTGTACTTTGATATTTTGGCGAGTCCACAAGGGACTTAGCATTGCATTTTCTTTGTTTTTTGTTTATGTGTTCTATTGTTTGATATTTTGTTTTTGTTCTTGTTCACAAGTTTTTCGGTAAATGTGTACGAACGTTTTCCAACGACTTTTTCTGTTTTTGTGCTGTCATTATGGACGGCATGTATAGCGACGAGGAGCTTTTTCTTACCCAAAATAGTTTTTCGAAAGAAATATTACAACACAGTTTTAGTATTGATTCTATTTCAGACGGCCTAGTAGTTAATGATGAGCCTGCTCCACGAAATTCGTGTGCGGAAGAATTAAAGCAAGCAGTGACTGAGGAAAGCATCAACGATGGACGGACGGACCCATTGAATTGCTCAGAAGCAGTAAGAAAGATTTTGATCGTTGACGATGGAGAACTTGAGAAGAGGAAGGAATCTCGAATACTGCTAAATACAAGAATAAATACATCGTGGGCAGTTCGTACTTGGTCTGAATGGGCAGTGGAGCGAAACGGAATGATCGCAATCAAAGGTGAAAGTGGAATTACACTTTCCCCAGTCAGACCCGACAGTCTCAATATCACCGACAACGAGGGACTTAATTATTGACTAAGCAAATTGGTTGTAGAAGTTCGTAAGAAAAAGGATCCAGGCTCTGTTTACCCGCCAAACACTCTTTGTCAACTTTTCTGTGGTCTTCAGCGACACATGCGAGACAATGGTCGGCCTGAGCTAAACTTCTTCACCGGGGATTAATTTGTAGAAATTCTAATAAATCCTTCGCTCAGGAATTTATTTGTACAAATCCCTGAAACGAGGATTTATATAGATAAATCCCTCATTTACAATCAAATTCAAATTCAATTCATCAGCCACGCTCTTCCCTGCTACATTATCAAGCCTTCCCCGGACTTTCGGTTTGTTAATATTGAACAGGGTTGTAAGTTTGATAAAGGTTGTTGAATAACAAAAGAAAAGGTGTGAATCATGAAATAACGGCCGCTTAAACACCGAACAGTAACAGTACAAACGTCCCGCTTTGTCACTTTTATCGTGTGGACGATGTTTCCGCTCTTTTTCACCGCTGCTTACTTACAATACGGGGATTTTATCAAATATCTACGTTTATCATATGTTTTCAGCGTAGTAATCATTATTTGCGGTTGTGATACCGCAATTTGGATGAAGTTTAAACATGGAAGCGTTGCTTCTCAGCAGCAAAACAGAGAGGCTCAAAATCTGCGTTTGACGAGGACAATGTTGTTGGCTTCTTTACTTGCTTTGCTTTGCTGGTTCCCTTTGATCATCGTGGCTGGCTCTAAATATTTAGGAACTCCAATGTCGATTAGATATTACCTCATTGCTCGCTTCCTCGGTAGCTCAAACGCTATTGTCAATCCAGTTATGCATGCATTGAGGATTCCGGAGTTTCGACCAGCACTTGTTCAATACTGTGTCAAGAAGCAACTTGGAATGAACGTGGAAAGCATCGAAACTGAAAGAAACCAGGCAGCCTTCTCATCGAGAGAGACACAGCTGAGAACTTTATACACAGATTCAAACAGCCCTCATCAAAATTTTGATAAGAAAGCTATGGATACGAAGATGTAGTCAACGACTTGCATTTGAAAACTAGTTCCTTAACAATATTACAGACTGCTTGAGATTGCGCCGGACGACCTCTTCGAGGGAACTCAAGCAACGACGACAAAATGTGCAACAAAATGCGCAGTGCACATGTCAAGGAGATTTTCGCTTTTAATTACTGCAACAAAATCCTCTGCAAGACTTTCTTCATCAAAATTTTCACGAAAACGCACATCGCACTATGTACTACAAAACTTTAAGTATCTGTCGAAGCAAACATCGCACAGCCTGTCGGTTGCCGTATTTTGGCCTTCAAATTTTTTATAAAATGTTATTTTCTCTGAGACGTTCTTGAGGTAAAAAACTATTTTCACTTTGGTAATGATACTCGTACTGAGTTTATTATTCAACAAAACGTCTCTAAAGTTATGCAAACCCACGACTGCGTCTCGGATCAAATTGAATTGTACTGCAAGTAACAATAGGTATTAAAAGTTTTTCTGACCATCATGAAAACTCCTTCAGGAAATTGTAAGAAATTTTGTACATTGTAAATCAACAACATCCATATGATTTTTGCACGCTCAGCGGACCTGTCTGCTTGCTTAACCTCAATGTTACAATCCCTTACTCTTACATTCACGATCACGTAGTAGATAGAGTACAATACAGTGTGCTAACCATAAAAATGGAAACTGATGTGGTGATGATAACAGCAAAGTTCACTATTTTACTTAATGCTGTGCAGTATTTATATTTATTTATTTATTATTGTCATTTACATTATAACAAAACTTTTATTGCGTAATCTTCCTTCACCCTTAGGTCAGACTCAAATTTGTATCGATTTCATACTCGTTCATCGATATCTCGGCTCGTCGTTTGATACAGCATAGAGCTAACGCACGTCGAAACTCTGGAATTCTCATTGCATACAAAACTGGATTTATAAATGAATTGCAGCTATTAAGGAAGATGACAATAATGTGATATCTACCTACTCTTTCACCCCGTAAAATTCTCACAATAATCAGGGGCAGCCAGCAAAGCAAAGTAAGAATAGATGCAAACATTAAAGTTTTTGTTAGACGCATATTTTGCGCTTCTCTGTTTTTCTGTTTTGATGCGACGCTCTCGTGTTTAAACTTTCTCCAAATGGCAAAGTTGCACCCGCAAATGATGACTGTGAAAACAGCACCGAATGATGTAGAAATATACCTCGCAAAAGACTCGAATGATTGGAAGGCGGAGCCGATTTACCATAGTAGAGAAAGTGTCCACGTTATAAAAATGACAGTGTTGTATCCCTTCGTTGTTTTTGTTCTGTGTTTGAACGGGAAATGTATGGCGTAAAACCTCTCATAGGATATCAAAGCCGCAGACATAAGTGACACAAACAACGAAAGTTTGTAAGAACTCCTAGACACATAAACCAAAGTCCAATTCATCTTTGGTGTGGAAATTCGTTAGTAATCAGTGCTGATAAAAAATTTAACATAAAGTGGAAGACCCAAAGTTCCTAACATCAGATCAGCGGAAGCCATATTGATCACAAAATACAAGCTTTTTTTCCGAACTCTTTTGTTAACTGAAAAGAGAATTATTATGAGAAGGTTTCCAACGACAGTAAAAAAAGAAAGAAAAGAAAGTGAAATGCACCATGCTATGCCTTCTGGTCTTGAAATAGGAACCGTTGCCAAGTCAAGAACATTGACTTTGCTTATATTTGCCGTAGAAGTGTTTTCCATGGTTTCAACCTTGCGTAAGAGGTTCTGTTTGGTGAAGACTTAGTCAAATCGAGGAAACTTTTGACGGAAGCTTTTCAACTTTAAAAATGTTGACTAATCTGTGTGACCTGTAACTTAGTGTTAATCACCTCACAACTGTTCAGATCCGCCGTTAATAGAGTACCAAATTGAATCTTAAAACTCATTTACCAAACCCTTCTCTGTTTACAATGGAAATATGAGCCAATATAATTTCACGAATTATCTTTTCAGTTGAAGAACAAAAGGTGCTATTATTGAGACTCATAGGATTTGCCGGCTGTGCTCTTTTTCATTTGAAAGTTTAACTTTTTTCTGCTACCCAGGGATCACCAACAAGGATCATGAAATGAACCATAGATTAAGCTCACTTTTCTTTGTTTTTCAGAGAGGGAAGAAATGAAAGAAATTGTCAGACTTTTACCAAGTAAGATTCAATGGTTTTCAATGGATTAGCATATTTGACATTTAAAAATGAGATTATTTTCTTTTGATTTCTATTCGTGGTAGTTGATGAAGGCAGAGCCTCAATCAATTCTTGTGAAAAGAAATCAAAAGTGAAATACAATATCTGGTTGTTTTACCTTTAGTCTCCTACATGTAATAGTTCAAAACTTAAAAAAAAGGACACACTTATAGTTTATTTGATTAATGATACAAGCAAGTTAAACCAGGTGGTACTCATTTGGCGCATTTTCCACTTATGACTAAAGTAGCTCAGTTAATCACCTTGCAGCATTTGTGATAGAACATTTGAAGATCTACATTACATTCTTATTGAAGGTACATGAAGTTCCTTGTCACAACTAGTATATACATATACATTGAACAATGTTCAGTAAATAAGACAAGAGGAGGATAGAACACAAATGTATTTGACACTGGCTTGATTTCTAGTTCGCTGGTAGACAGTTTTGTTTTCAGTCACTCAGACGAGGAATGTTGGGATCTACCTGTAAGGGACGGCAACAGCAACAAAAACGTACCACAAAGTCTTGTGAGTTTTTCAAGTACTGATGTGGCTGCTCGGGGACTGGATATACTGGAAGTGGACTACATTGTTCAGTTTGACCCTCTTAATGACCCCAAGGTAATTTAAGAATGTAGTCTCAATAAAAGGGCAAAAACGTTTTCATTTTTGCAATGTCCTCGTACATCATAAGGATTGATGGTACAGTACAGACTCAGAGGAAAGAAGAAGAGTTCCTATGACTGAAGATTGTTTGCACTTCTTCGCATGTGATTTCTCTTCACAACGACTTTACAGTATCTTTCTGTGAACTGGTGTGTTTTTGTCTGCCAGGAGTATATTCACAGCTGGAGAAACTGATAGAAAAGAACCACTACCTCCATAAATCGGCTCGGGAAGCCTACAGATCGTATTTACAGGCGTACGCCTCGCATCAACACAAGAGTATCTTTAACGTGAACGCTCTCGACCTTCAAAGAGTAGCTCCTGCCTTTGGCTTTGTGTCCCTCCGCGAGTGAATCTAAGTATCCTTTTATCACCATCAAAACTCTCCTTAACATATCCCTCAAGGCCTTTATTGTTTAATTCGGGTGAGGTTAGTGTTCTAGGCCAGTAAAAAGGTCCTCACAGGGACTTGGGACTTTTTCTTTGTCCCATCCTTGTGATAAGAAGAAAATCCATCTTCCTCGATTGCATCACCGAGCTAACAAATGTACCATCTCTCTAATTCTATTAACAATCCATGTTAACTTTTACTTCCTCGGCATCTGATTTTAACTTAGTACTTTGCACTCGTAAACGAGGCACACCCCGAATTTTGGGGAAAGCGGGGCAGCTTAAACACGGTGTTTACGACGCTTTGTATATTCAGCCTTAACAAACTCTACCAGATGTCCACAGCAGTAAAGGAGAGAGAATTCAGAGACGTGGTGGCGGCGGAGGGTATGGTACAGGATATAAAAACTCGAAGTTACAACAGAAAGCCAAGATATTTAAAAGAAAGACCGGTGATTCGAGATAATTCACCAAATAAAAATGGAAAGTTTACGGCTTTGACTGCTGATTGAAGTATAAATCTGAGCATGTCCTTGCATCTTATAGGAAAAATAAATTTGTACGCTGAGTATACTGCCCGAGTGTATTCAAGAAGCAAATTATTTATTTTAGAAATCAGAATGGAAGAGAACTGAAAGACGGGTTTAAATTTTGAATCGTTTTCTACGTCATGCAAAGCTAAATGTACTTCCATCAAGAGAAAGAACAAAACATCTGTTTCGTAAAACAGGAAAACAAAACATAAAACAAAACGAGTTAATCGACGAGGATAGTGAGAAAAATTATGAATGGAAACGATTTTACGGTGATAGCAAATAAGCACTTTTTTTTTTAGATCAACAAACCGTAATGTCAGACTCCATTAAGTTATTGATGCAAGATTGAGAACATTGATCGCCTCGCTTTGATGACATGCAATTTACATGTCATCTCTTAGTTAACGTGTTAACTAACTTTTGTCGGTTGAAAGAGATACAAAAACATGTGTGATAGGGAGCTCTGTTAGTGCGCTTTACGTGCCCTAACTCCGCCAAAGACAAATTTTACAGACGGCGAAATTTGTATTAGTTATATACCTAGGTTAGCTACAGTTTGGTTTCCATTTCATTGTTATCACACCTTGATGCCAGGTTATCAGGCTCGTTGTGACAAGCTCTTAGTTTTGTCTCTCCTCTCAAAAAGTTTTCGTTGTTTCCTTTGATTACAACTATTCCCGGTTTCATTTCAACTCGCTTTGTGACACAGCTGAGAGCCAGTGCTTGTCGAAACTCTGGAATTCTCAATGCATACATAACCGGATTTATAAGAGCATTGCAACTATTGAGAACAGAAGCGATAACGATCCACCTCATTGGTACTGAAACACTCTCATTCCGTGCACCAAATAAAGTAATGAAAGGGACCCAGCAAATCAAATTAAGAATTGAAGCAAACATTAAAGTCTTCGTCAAACGCACATTTTTCTCGTCCCTTTTTTTCTGTTGTGAAGTGACGTTTCTGCGTCGAAATTTTCTCCAAATGGCGATGTTGCTTCCGCAAATGATGCTTGTTGCAATAACACCGTACGATAAACGAACATAACTGATGAAATACTTGTATGATCGTAAGTAAAAAGGGGCGGTGGCTTTCAGAAGACAAAGCGTCCATAAGATAAACAAGACAACGTGGTATGTTCGCGTGGTTAGCGTTCTGTGTTTGAATGGCCGATATACGGTGTAAAGCCTCTCACATGATATGAAAACTGCGGATGTCAATGAAACCCAGATTGAAATCCCGTATGAGAGCACATAGACTTGAGACGAAGTCCAATTCACATTCGTCAGCGAAAACTGATAACCATTGCTAATTAAGATATAGATGTAGATGGGAAGAGCAAAAGCCCCTAACAGCAGATCAGCCAAAGCCATATTGATCACAAGATACAAACTTTTTTTACGAACTCTTTTGTTGGCCGCGAAGAGGACAATTGTGAGGAGGTTTCCAACGGCAATAAAGAAAGAAACTAAGGCGAAAACAGTGCACCATGCAATACCTTCTGGCCTCGAAAGAGCTTTTAAGGACAAACCAATTTTTACATCTATGCTAACATTTGCTGAAGATGTGTTATTCATCGGTGCCATCTCGCGCAAAAGGTTATCTTCTTTTAAGACTGAGTCTACCACGCTTCATAGGAAAGCTTTTTGAGTTTCGCCATTAAGTCATATTTGGGAATAGTGACCGACTTGCTAAACAACAGTGCATATCCGCCGTTAGGAAGAATGAATGAAGTCACCAGGTTTACCCTTCAAGGGGTTATTTGGAATTCAAACAAATAATTTAACAAATTGCTTTCCATGATGGAAAGAGATTTCATTCATTCGCACCTTGAGAATTTACCGGCTGTGCCATTTTTCCTTTATAAGTACATAGAAATTGAAAGTGCTGAACAATGGAGAAAAAAAATGGCAGTCCTCTTCTGCTGTCACAAAGGGAAACAGATTCTAATAATAAATTTTCCTGACGAGAAAGCAAGAGAAAAGAAGACTGAAAACCAAACTTTATTCGATGCTTTTGTCGAGGAAAGAACATTCCTTAACTGACAAAGCGAAGGTGATCTCTCTGCTGACATTCGTCAAAGAAGGTTTGTGACCAAAACCTTTGCAAAAGAAATACTGGTTTTTTTGGTTTACTGAGGCATTTAAAACGTGTTTGGATTGTTCTCCTTTGTAATGAAGCATACTGAACTTATAATTTAGAAATCCCCGCTTATTCATTGTATTTTTTCCTTTGACAAATGATTGCACAAATTGCTTGAACGTGCGTGGAAGCAACAGAAGGTTTTATCAATATTTGCATCAGCAGGAGTTAATAATTGTGCATTTCAATTTCTTTCTGCAAATTGAAAGCGCTGATAGATAAAAAAGGGTGTTTATCTTTTCTGCAGCAGATGTTTTCATTGTTGCCAATTTTTAACTGAGCGACTGGAACTTTCAGTCTCTACCATAAAAAAGATTGACGATCGTTACAAGAATCAAAAGCTGGTGATATATTTTGGGATCAATGATATGTTTGCATGAGCAATCGAATCTCGGTTCACCCAATAAGGACTCATCAGCCTCAACTTGTAAACTGTTTTGTCCATCCAGAGAGAAGTCAGCACAATTTGCAGAGAAGTATTTTTCAACCAATTGTTTCACAAAACAACGTTTAGTTTATATAGAACAAAAGATTCTGTTATTGACACCCGTCGCGGGTTTGCCAATAACTCGTCTTACTAAACTGCAATTTAGGTGGTCAGTGGAAAAAAAATATATCATGCTGTAGATAATTCATATCCTTCTTTTTTATCCTGCAGAGGATCAAAAATAATTCAAAGCTTTTCCAAAGAGCAGAAAAGGTAGAAATAAATGCGGAGTAAGTTTCACGGAAAAATACAAAAAAAGACGAGACGTTGAACTCGCAGCCGACTAATTTAAGGCTTGCTGTCGCTGTGGACAAAGCACTGAGAGAGTTTAAATTTTTTTTTGCGATATCCTGTACCACTATTAATTTAAAATTTCGTTAAGAAAGGAATATTTTTTTCAGTAAAGGCAACGCATCTCGTCCGACATTGCATCTCTGCAGGTCAAATTTAAGCTTACTCCTTCGAAATGACCACTGACCAGAAGTGTGAATTAAATCCATGATTTAAGAATAAAAGAATTACTTTGTTAGTAAGATGCTATGATACGATCTACTTCTATGTGTCATCATCATCATCATCATCATCAATACCACTACAACCACCAGCATCATCGTCATCATCATCATAGTACCATACTTGTTGGCAACAAATGTGCCTTAAAACATACTAGAAAGAGCTTTAAGAAAACCTTAATGTAAGTGACAATGATGATTTGTTGTTTTCATGCAGGTAGAACTAGTTTGGGAGTGGACTTATCATCCTCTCATTCGGGCTGTTTTCTGATTTCTGCTTTTGGCTTCTCAAGTGTCTTTCTCTATTATCTGTGATATCAACCATGCCCTGCGTTATGTCTCCCATTATAAACTGTTTGCAATGATAAATACAATTAATAAACCTAAAGCGAAGTTCATTATCAGTTAAAATGTTAGCTTTTTAATTTTATTTCGAATCTGCCACAATGTAGTTTGTCGTGTATGTGAAACGCCGATTTGCATGCAGACTCTCGCCTATCACATGAAAAACAAATTATGTAAGCTTCGTGAGTTGCAATGTCGACTTAGGTATTTATATGAAAATATAAAAGTTGAAGTAAGTAATTGACACACCTTAGCGATCGATGACCAACAGCTTTACAGTGGAAATATCGGCAGTTTTCAATTTACTGAGGCATTTGAATTGCGTATAAATTTGTCTCTTTTTCTGAAGCTTAATGAACCTTTGAGGTCAAAGTCCATGCTCAGTTTATCGCAGTTAATTTTTCTTAGACAAATTATTTGACAATTCGCTTTTCGTGTGGAGTCAACAAAGGATTCCATCATTTTCTTCATCACTAGGACCTAGTTGTGCTATTTTGTCGGTTTCCTTTTTACAAATTGAAAAATGTCAGAAAACTTTTACAAGACTCCATGAATACTTGGTGCTAGATCCATGCAGATCTTTATACTCATCTCACTTTTATTAGCTTCATTTAGTTTCATATGAACTTGTAAAATTGTCATCAAGTCACTCTGCCATAGGAAAGGTTGCTCTATTAGAAAATCTCTCAAATAAGACGATATTAATTTAACGGGTGCAACTAATTTCACGAAGTTAGGATCATTGTTCATTACAGAGAAAGTGTCTTGAACATTTGAAGGTAACACAGGCGTCCTCATAAGCAGTCAAAACAACTTTGCGTGCTGTCCTCTCGCGTCATTGATTTAGCAAGGCTGGAAAGCAGAGTTATACCACATCTTTTATTTCATCCGAAGTTTCCACAATGCAGCTTATCCTGTATGAGAATTCTCTTCTACACATAAGCCTTCAATCATCACGCGTGAATTAAATTTTTTAGGCTTCATCAAGTACACTAACTAGTATCCTGAATGTAGGGTTCCGCTGACGCACTTTTCACGCTGGAGCTCCGCATACTGAAACCACTATTTTTTTCACATTTTCACAGACGTGTAGATCTCTATTTGTTTTATTTTAAAGTTTTTATGAAATTTAAGTGCATGGGTATTGGAATCGCTCTCATAAGCCTTAGGGTATGTCTCTTGCGACAAAACGGCTGAGTGATTTCCTCTGGTTTTAATGTTTTCTGGGTTCATTTTTGCGCGCTTTCTGACACAGCTCAGCGCCAATACTTTTCCAAACTCCGGAACTCTCATGGCATACAGTAAAGGGTTTATAAATGCGTTGCAATTATTGAGAGCAACAGTAATAATGTACCATCTCATCCGTATTAAAACACTTTCATGGTCGATACCATTCGCAATAGCCAAAGGGATCCAGCAAAGTAAGTTAAGTATGGAAGCAAACATTAAAGTTTTTGTCAAACGTACATTTTGCACTTATCTATTTTTCTGTTGTGAAATGACGTCTCCGTGTTGAAATTTTCTCCAAATGGCGATGTTGCATCCACAGATGATGCATGTTACAGTAAAGATGTATGATGACATAAGATACCTCATGAAATTTGATTTTGAATAAACGTCTTTAATAGCAGTCACTGTAATTGTTAACGTCCACAAAAGAAAAATGAAAATGTGGTACGTTCGAACTGTTACTCTTCGGTGTCTGAATGGCCAATATATGGCGTAAAACCTCTCACATGATATGAAAGCTGCAGATATAAGTGAAACCCCTAATTAAATGTTGTGAGAGATCTGATAGACTTCAGTCAACTTCCAATTCACATTTGTCATCGAAAGCTGATAACCAATCTTGATGGTAATGTAAATGTACATAGGGAGAGTAAAAGCTCCTAACAGCAGATCGGCAAAGGCCATGTTAATTACAAGAAACAAACTTTTTTTACGAGCTCTCTTATTAGCTGCGAAGAGAACAATTGTGAGGAGATTTCCGACGACGATAAAGAATGAAAACAAGAAAAACACACTACTCCATGCAATGCCCTCTGACCTCGAAAGGGTGTTCGTTGGCGAAGTAATTTCAACTTCTTTACTCATATTTGCCGAAGATGTGTTTTCCATCGCGGCCATCTTGTACGAGACTTTTTCAGCTATGAAGACTGAGTCGAAAGCTCTTTCAGTTTAGCACAGCTAGTTTTAGTTTAAATTGAGCGTGAATTGGTCTTAATTTGAGTGATGTAAATGCAAGCTGGAAAGAGATACTTTGAATGCAAACATATTATTTCAGAAACTACATTACGCTTGCAGAAAAAAAGATTTCATTATTCACACTCATGCATGATATTTACCGCGTGCTTTGTTTTCCAGGCCGTAGATTACGAATTGATAGCGCTGGAAAATGGGGAGAAAAAAAATACTCATCGTCGGCTACCACAAAGGGAAATAGGTACTAATCATAAATTTTCCTACCGAGAAAGCAAAAAGAGTTAACGATAAACAGAGCACTATACAGCACCTTCTGTCCCAAACTTATTTTTCGCCTGTAGAGTCGGCGGGCCAAGCTGTGAAAGAGTTAAGTACTTTTTTTTTGTTGTTGCTGTGAACAACTTTCAATTTGAACTTTATCTAAGAAAAAGCTGCACAGTTGTTAATGCTACAGATGTCAAGAATCAAAGTAATTTGTTTAAAATTACTTCTCTGCATGTCAAAGTGAAGCTTAAAAATGAAGACCAATCTAAGCTCAATTTCATTCATGATTAAACACCGAAAAAGGCAATGGTAATATTTATCTCCAACAGAAATTATTAAGGTCTCCTTTTAACAACAAATATCACCAGATGTTCATGAATTGGACGCTGATTCCAAAAGGCTCGTAAGAGAAGCAAAAGAAGCTTTCCTTGAAGACCATGCGAGTCAGTCATCTCAATTTTTTTCTAATTTCTTAGTGGCCTAATGGTCAGTGCACTAGACACCGCGTCGAGAGGCTTGAGTTCGAGACCTGGCCGGGACAATGCGTTGTGTTCTTGAGCAAGACACTTTACTCTGACATTGCTCTCTTAAGGGCAAACACTTAATTTGGAACCTCGCTCTGTTGTGTGTCTGTCATGTAGTGGATAGAGCAAAATACAGTGTGCTAACTACAAAAATGGAAACTGATATGGTGATGATTACGGCAAAGTTCACCATTTTACTTAATGCTGTGTAGTGTTTTATATATTTATGTACTTATTATTGTCATTTACAGCATAAAAAATATTTATTACGCAATCGTCACTTCACCTTTAGGTCAGGCTCAAACTTTTATCGGTTTCATACCAAGAGTCACTACATTTTGGTATCCATTACGCTTTCATTAAACTTGCGGTGAAGGTTACCGAAATCAGTGTGAATTGTTTGGAGTGACGTTTCCCCCTTTGGAATGGCTGCCATGTTCCTTCGAACTGCAAAATTTGTCTCGTTCATCTCGGCTCGTCGTTTAATACAGCATAGAGCTAACGCACGTCGAAACTCTGGAATTCTCATTGCATACAAAACTGGATTTACAAATGAATTGCAACTATTAAGGAAGACGGCAATAATGTGATATCTACCTACTCTTTCACCTCGTAAAAATATCACAATAATCAAGGGCAGCCAGCAAAGCAAAGTAAGAATAGAAGCAAACATTAAAGTTTTTGTCAATCGCATATTTTGCGCTTCTCTGTTTTTGTGTTTTGATGCGACGCTCTCGTGTTTAAACTTTCTCCAAATGGCAAAGTTGCACCCGCAAATGATGACTGTGAAAATAGCACCGTATGATGAAGAAATATACCTCGCCAAAGACTCGAATGATTGGAAGGCGGAGCCGATTTCCCATAGTAGACCAAATGTCCATATTATAAAAATGACAGTGTTGTATCCCTTCGTTGTTTTTGTTCTGTGTTTGAACGGGAAATGTAAGGCGTAAAACCTCTCATAGGATATCAAAGCCGCAGACGTAAGTGACACAAACAACAGGAGTTTGTACGAACTCCTAAACACATAGACCAAAGTCCAATTCATCTTTGGTGTGGAAAGTCGATAGTAATCAGTGCTGATAAGAAATTTAACATAAAGTGGAAGACCCAAAGTTCCTAACATCAGATCAGCGGAAGCCATATTGATCACAAAATACAAGCTTTTTTTCCGAACTCTTTTGTTAACTGCAAAGAGAATTATTATGAGAAGGTTTCCAACGACAATAAAAATAGAAAGAAAAGAAAGTGAAATGCACCATGCTATGCCTTCTGGTCTTGAAATAGGAACCGTTGCTAAGACAAGATCATTCACTTTGCTTATATTAGCCGTAGAAGTGTTTTCCATAGTTTTATCCTTATGCAAAAAGTTCTGTTTGGTGAAGACTTAGTCGAAGAAACTTTTGACGGAAGCTTTTCAACTTTAAGATGCTGAATAATTTGTGTGACCTGTGACTAACTTAGTGTTAATTACCTCAGAGCTGTTTAGATCCACCGTTAATGAAATACCAAATTAAATCTTAAAACTCATTTACCGAACGCATCCCTGTTTACAATGGAAATACGAACCAATAATATCACGAATTATCTTTACAGTTGAAGAACAAAAGGTGCTATTATTGAGACTCATAGCATTTGCCGGCTGTGCTCTTTTTTATTAGAAAGTTTAACTCAGGGATCACCAACAAAGATGATCAAATGAACCAGACAATAAGCTCACTTTTCTTTGTTCTTCAGTATTTTCTCTTTGCTCATTAACAGCGAAGAAAGAACACATTCGGTGAACCCTACTGATGGTAAGAACAGAGTCTTTTTCCTTTCTTTTACACATGGTAAAATTGTCAAACAATTTTTATAAAAAATACCTCCATGTCCATACTTACTTTTTACTGAGGCAACTCAAACGCAATTTCAAACCATGAAAAAACTGAACAGACCTTATACTGATATTTATTGTAGCGAGTGTTTAACAATAAATTAGAACAGATGTTACTTGATGATAAGAATCACAAAGGATAGGAAAGTAAGAAATTTCATTTTGAGTGCGTTTATTCCGATTAGAAGTAATAGTTCATAACTTCTCGCAGTTTTATCTTCCTTAAGACTTACTAAGGCGTCTGAAGTCTCAAATTTTTCAGCTGAAAAGTGGCGGCGATGAAAAACACATCTGCAGCAAATATTAGCAGGGAAACTGCAATCCATTTGCCAGCCAGTTCTCTTTCTAAAACAGAAAGCACACTATGGTGCAGTGTTTTTTCCGTGGTTTCCTTCTTAATCGTCATAGGAAACTTGTTCACCATAATTCTCTTTAAAAGTAACAAGCGATTTCGTAAAAGAAGTTTGCTTTTTGTCATCAATATGGCTTTTGCTGATCTGATATTGGGCACCTTCGCTCTTCCTATGGCTATTTACATCACCATCAGTATGAAAAACTATCAACATTGGATGGGAAACGTAGATTCCTTGTGGACTGTACCTTATTTCTGCATAACCATCTACGAGTTTTCGTTGATGGTGTCATTGAATTTTGCGGTTTTAATATCGTGCGAGAGGATTTACGCCATATATCGGCCATTCAAACACCGGACAATAACAGTTCGAACTTACCACATTTTTATTTTTATGGTGTGGTCGCTTACTCTGCTGTTTGACACCAGCTACGTTTATGTGTGGTCGCACAGAAATTTTATCGAATATGTTCGGTCATCTTACGCTATTGTTGTGGTAATAATTATTTGTGCTTTCAATATCGCGATTTGGAGAAAGATCAAGCACAGACGTGTCGCCTCACAACAGCAAAACAAAGAAACACAAAATGTGCGTTTGACTAAGACATTAATGTTTGCTTCCATTCTTGCTTTGGTTTGCTGGCTTCCTTTACTTTTTGTGTCCGGTCTAAGGTATCTAGGGATTATAATGTCGATCAGATATTACTTTCTTGCTCTCTTTCTCAATTGTTCCAACGCAATTATAAATCCAGTCATGTATGCACTTAGAATTCCGGAGTTAAGACAAGCGGTTGTTCAATGTTGTGTCAAAAAGCGAGTAAGAATTACCTCGGCAGACATCGAAATTGAAAGTATCAAGGCGGTTATCTTATCGCGGAAAGCGACACAGGAGATGAACCAGTTAAGAAAATGCGATACAGATTCCAACTGCCTTCAACTAAAATTTGATACGATTGCTATGAATACCAAGCTGTAGTCGTTGTACCTATGAAAACTAGTGTTTTTGGCAATATTATGGACTGCTTTCTTGATTGGGAGGTTGAAGCCGAGCAAGGTCAGAATATAGTGGAATACCTCATGGCTCCTTCAAAGTTTTTGAGAATTGTGTATTTTTAGTCCACATTAAAACGAAGTGATTACTAGGAAAGTGAAGACAGGCTGCAGTTCAAAGCTTGGCCGTCCGGGCCAAACACGTCATGAAACATGGCGTCACTGTACAATTTTTAAAAACATACTCTAGCCCCATATTTTAGCCCTGCATTTTTGTCTCTGATATTTGTGGTCCTTAGGACCCGAGTCACTTGATATAGCACAGAAAGAGCTTAGGGTCAATAGCAGTTTGAATGGCGTCGGTTGAAATGTGTGGGAGAAATCACAATTTAAAGTCGAGCTTCGATGACTTGTTCGGGACGTTTGAGAACACGCACGCTAGCACTATCATGCAAGTTTGAAGCATGTGCGATTTTTTTTGAAAAAAGAAAAATTGTACGATAAACCTTGATATATGTGCTTCACATTCATCAAAACAGAAGTCGAGTGCACGTTAGTTTTGTCCGAGTGCACGGCCATTGTTGTTGTGACTTGTTGTCCTATGTCGTCATGGCGTAATGGCCTCTGCTAGCTATCAATTTTCTCAGTATTCCTGAAGGTTCTTACAGTTCATGGATGATCATATCTTCGTCTTGAGAACATTCTATCGACTTTACGATAAAGGACCGTTGAGTAAGACGGTCTAACAACGTTTAATAACAACGTCTTTAAATGTTCGCGGTACTTGAATTCCGCGTCTCAGCCTTTGAGGTAAGCACTCAGCTCGCGCATTCAGTTGTGCTGTTCTGTTGTATAGGGAAAACAAATACTTTATCGAGTCTGGGAAAACTCGGATTAATAAAAATTATTTCGACCTGAATCGATCTTTTTTGTGGTCATCTCAAAGATGTTTCTCTTGAAATTTTGAATTCCGTTCTGTCGTCTTCTTCGCATTACAACATGGCAGCCATGAGAAATTATTGTCCCAATCCTCTCTCGGCCACATCAGTTTGTTTTGGTTTCGTTTAGACCAATCATATTACAGGAATCACGAGCCGTAAGGAGACGCTTCAAACGGCTCATGAAGGCAAAAAAACACCACAAGTGCATTGATTAACATTTCATTTTACTTTATTGAGATATTCAGACCGGGAAGTGATTTAGATATGCACTTTTCAGAGCTTTATTTATAACCTTCGTAGATTTTGTTCGTTTGATGTTTACAATAGTTAACCACGAACACCTGCCTGTGGACAAAATTGTCTATGGCCCGAAATGTTTAGGCCAATATACTTTTCTTTTGTAAAACCCGACAGACCAAGCTTTAAAAAATGTTTTTCTTTCCTTCCTCCTTCATCGTTTTTATTTTGGAATTTAACGAAGAAAACTGTGTATAACTGGTGAATCCGGTGTATCTGCTTGTCTCCATACATTTAAAGTCCCATTTCCAACCTTGATGCAACGCGCGCCGCGACCCAATTTCCTGTAACACGAAATTCACAGATCATTAAAAACCTTCTAAAATCGTCTTTCTCAAGAGCCATCCTGGACATATAGTCAACTGTTTTACGGTTAATACATTCGCCGTTCGTTATTTTACAGTTTCCTTGCCGTATTTTGAATTTTGTCCAGAAGAATCCGAAGAATATTTTTTTAAAGTGTAACGCTTGGATCTCTTCGTACTCTGTGAACAGAGTCGGCGAAAGGGACAACTTTCAAATTTTTTCACTTTCTAGAAGGGCTTGAGGATCCTAAATGAAGATAAAATATTTGCAATAGAAATTGGTATTTTTCAAAGAGAAATATGGAAAAATATCAGGCTGCATAATAACTGACCAATCAGAGGCGCTATTTAGACAAAAGCGGTGGTTCAAAACAAAAACAAACGATCGCGTTGCATCAAGGTTGGAAATGGGCCTTTAAAGGTAACATGTGATATAACATGCCCGAAGACAATTCTCTGCAGGTTAAATTTCACATTGCTCGTTACAAATGAAGACCAACTCGAGCGGGGTTTCAGTTCATGAACTTGTGCAAGAGTTAAGTACGTCCAATACCCGAGTATTACTTTCCGGTGTGGTCTCCACATCTCAAAAAGGACTCGGCTAGTTTAGAGAAGGTAAATATACCCTCAGAAAACATTGGCCGAGATATTGTTAAAAGACAAAGTTGGCGTCTGGCAAGAATTTTCATTATAGGTGATTTTTGACTTATTTGAACGTTGAAAATGAATGGAAATAATATATTAGCATAAGCCATTCAGTAAACATTATAACATAGCTAGTAAATTTGTCTAATCAAATTCAATGGCGCGAGCGTGCTTCATATTCCTATTGTGCACGCTAATGACGTCAGCAAACAAATCCCTTGAGAAAAAAAATTTCCATCGGGTTGAAAATGTTATAAAACAATTGGTTCATACGTCAGCTGTGCGTTCATCGAGATATGAAGCATTTGGGAAGTTTGGAGAGCACTCAAGAAGCTAGAGTTGCTCGAGGCGTAGCCTCGAGCAACTCTTACGCATCTTTCGTGCTCTCCAAACTTCCCGCGTGCTTCATATCTCGATGAACACACGCTGACGTATGAACCAATTGTTAATTGTAATAAGCCAGTTGATCATTTCTTATTCCTTTTGGCGGTTTTATCTTACAGGTAGAGTTTGGCTACCTTTTCCTTATCGTGATCGTGAATTTGACATGGAGACAGATGTTTTTGTGAAACTGCGGTTTGCGGCTAGATATCAGTATATTTCCATTATGTTGCTAAAAGATGATTAATTACTGAAAAAATGACTCTACCTTATAAAAATTGATCCCGTAAAGGAATTTCCTGAAAATAACCCTCCCTTATGCTTTACCTCTTTAATATTCGCGTTTTTAGGCTAAAGCCATGTCGAATTCCCGATGCGGAAAATAGTTTTTAAATTTGAATTTAGCACGTTCAACACTTCTTTTTCTTAGAGGTGACTTAAGATGTAAACACGTAGCTAGTACTTTTCATCTTCCGCACTGAATTTGTAATCAGGAATCGAAACTTATACGAATAGCACGTAGCTCTTTTAGGGGTGGTAACTTGGGTACGCCCTTTTCTTCCGAATTTTCTGTTTATTCTGCCGATATGTACCAGCCTTCAAGGTTCCTTCTCTTAAGATATCTTTTCAAGTATGATTTTAATTCTGTTAGTAAGTTTATTATAATTTTTATTTTGTTAATCTCGTTTTTGTTTCGCTCGACCTTGACCGTAAGACGAAGAAATTTAAGGTGGAAAGTCATTTAATAAAGCGTAAACATCGCGAAAGTATCTACTTAGTGTGCGAACTCCGCTCTGTGTAGCTTAGCGTTTTTCTTTAGTTGAGTGTATAACTGAAGCATGACGAAGGTTTGAGATTGACAGCTCAGTAACCGTCACCTTTATAAGCGGTGACCCACACTTTCCGTAGAGAGATCAGAGCTAGTCCCCGTTGTAATAACTTGTGTAATTTAAGAGAGAATAAAAGAAATAGTCAACTGAACGAGGAGTGTTAGGAAATTACTTCTAACAATATGTCGTATGAAGAGCGCTTAAAGTTCCTTAAATGGCCCACTCTACATCAGAGAATATTATTTTCTTCGCCTACCGATTGCTATAAAACAGTTAACAATCTTGACGGGCCATTGCCATTTGAGTATTTTACGCCTACACATAATTTTCGACCGTTAAGAGCCAACCATTGCCATAAACTTAAACCATTGCCCGCAAAGCTAAATAGTTTTAAGTATTCTTTCTTTGTAAATGTAGCCAATGAATGGAATAATTTACCTACAGAAGTTGCGAAGGTAGAAACTCTGAAGATTTTCAAGAACAGACTCAGATGCCATTTTACCGATGTTTTAAGGAAATTTTTGGACTATTTTAATGTGAATTTTATTCAGAATCAGAAGTAAATTTATATTTTTAATTATTGTGGATTTTATTCTGAAATAAATTCGCGGTTTTAATTATTTTAGGAGGAAAACATGAAAAGGCTAATCTCTTTTGTCTCCTTATCAAATTTCTTTTGAGTTTGACTCGAGAATAAACAGTTATGTTATGTTATTGTTATGAATGAAAGGAAAACTGTATCCTGTCGACATTTCTGTTAATTTCTACAATTCATCAAGGTTGGCGTTCATCAGTTGGAATGAACAGGTGTTATATGATAGAGCACAAACCAAACAGCTTTTTCCTCCTTACCAAGAGAAGAGTCCGCGGGCGTTCGCTGCAAAAAACGCTCATGATAAAAACAGCACTTTTTCGGCGAGTATTCGCAGAGAGGTTGATTAGATTTTGTTGTTCTCCGGTCCAAGACAGAAAGCAGCAGGGTGGTAACTAATTACCCTTATTTGAATCCGATGTCGCCTTGTAACGGTTGATATCTATCGCTCTCCTATGGAGCAGTCAGTCTATTTGAATCTGATGTCGCCTCGTAACAGTTGATATTTATCGCTCTCCTGTGAAGCAGTCAGTTACACAGAAATTTGAAGACACATTTGCTGGAATTTAGACCACTCTATAGGTTGTTTATATATTGTAGTTGCCGAGTAATTTCGGGCGGTCACCTGCAAACACAACCGGCTGTGCAAATGAAAATAGTCATGTTATTTTTATTTGACTGTCAAGAAATAGGAAAAGCTGAGGCAGTGAACTTTTATTACTCATTCTAAAATTTTTACCTTTATACATCATAATTAAAACGCTTCCTATATCGCATTTCAGTTTCTCTTTCAACGCGTTATAGACACCGAGGCGATTGATTAATGAAATTAAGTAGATGCTAATTTGTAAACTACAAACATCTTGCACGCAATATTTTTCTAGACACTTCAACAAACAAATGTTTGCTTTAGTAGGTGGGCAAGTTATGCTTTGTTGTGATCAATTATCTTTTCCTCGCCAAGGGGAATTGAGACTGGAAACTGTCTATTGATTCATTTCTTCTCTGCTGATGTTCTATATATATTCGTGTATTTTTTACCACCCGAGGACCTTTTTCCTCTCGACAGAATTTAGAGACTGAAAAAAACATTCTCCATGTCGAGGTATAAATTTAAAATACAACTTGAATAAATTGTATTAAAATTTGAACGTGGGAGGACAAAGATAAAATGACCGAGAGCTGTAACTACTTATAATTACATCCATTCTTTAGGATATTATACAATTGTGAATATACCAGACAATACTGTAGCCGTCTTCTAAGAATTACAGTCTTTCACTCGTTACACAATAGGTGAAGTTTTATTATTTACAACGATGGTTAAGTCATACATCGTTTTTTTTCTATCTAGAACGGTAAAGAGCTAGCGTCACCAAAATGAGTGTTTATTCTACAGTAACTGCTGCAACAGAAAACTTTGACAATAAATTATAACGTTTTACGTCGACTGAGTTTAAGATGAGAATATAATTTCGACAACCATTTGAAGTTTCGAACTAAGTTCTACTTACTAAGCGCAAATAGTTCTTGTTCCTTGGTTGGATACCGTTTGGCATCCGTAGCTTCCTCAAAGTTTGGGTGGGAAGAATCAGCTTGTAATATTTTCGTATGTGTTGTTGACGTTGCAGCGTTCTTGTTACTTGAAGTTTCAGTGTTTTCCTTCTTCAACGCTTTCTGATCTTTGCCACAACAAAGAGCCAGCGCTTGTCGAAACTCTGGAACTCTTGATGCATACACCACTGGATTCACGCAGGAGTTTGAAAAATTAAGCAGGTTGACAATCATAACGTGCCTCCACGGTATGGTGACGCCTAGCCCTCTTAAAGCATTTGAAAACACAAAGGGAAGCCAGCAGATCAAAGCAAGAACGGAGACGAGTAACAAAGTCTTTGTCAAGCGATCTTTTCGCGAGACTTTGTTTTTCTGTTGTGAGGCGAAATTTCCGCGATGAAACTTTCTCCAAATTGCAATGTTACAACCACAGATAATGGTCAGCAGAATCGAGGCGAATGGCATTCCCACGTATGTGCATTCCTGCCCTGGAATCAAGAACACTAAGCTGGAAAACGGTAGGGCCGTTATCCATATTGAAAGTATAACAATATGGTATTTTCGCACAGTCAGAGTTCGGTGATTCAAAGGCTGATATATGGCGTAAAACCTCTCACAAGAAATTAAGGTCGCTGATAGTAACGAGGCCACAAGGGAGACTTTCGAGGCAATGTCCAATGATAATATCAAAATCAAGTCACCGTTTTGGATCGCAAGTTCCTTATAGTCCGGCATACCAAAGCCGAGGTAGATGTAAAGGGGAAGGGCTAAAGCTCCGAATATCAGATCAGCAGTCGCCATGTTGATGACAAGGAAAAGACTCTTCTTCTTGCGAACCTTCTTGTTCACTGCAAAGAGGACAATAGTGAGTAGGTTCTCTACCACGATGAAGACTGAGAGCACTCCAAAAATGCTGCCCCATGCAATCTCCTCGGCCTTGGAAGGAGAGGAAGTCTGCGAAAAAGCAGGTTCTTCCCCTTCCGTGATGGTGGCTGTCGATGTGGGAATCATTCTGGATTCTTAACTCAAGATGGACGTACGTTTGCACGCTTTGCCCTTAGAATGAGCGAAGAAAATCTGTTTTTATGCGACGAATAAGTCGAGTTATATTGGCGAGCATACGGAAGTCCTGTTGATAGATAATTGAATAAACTTGCCCTGCATTGCGACATGTTTAATCGTCGATGACAACCCAACAATTTCTTATTAATACAAAGCATATCCCATTGGTCAATAAACACTCAAAGGAGGCGGGATAAAAGTAATATTTATTCGTGATGGAAGTTATAAATTATTCAGTTTTGGAGATGACAGCTCTTTATTTGCTTCATTATTCTTTCAGGATTCAAATGTTAACTACTCTAATTTTCTCACCTTGAAATTTGACTTATGTCAACGTGGCTTTGTTTTCTTTTGAGATATCTTTGAGATGAGATGTAGTAGCAACAGAGAGAAACTGCGTTACATGGTCCACTAAAAAGCTATTCAATGAATAGTGGAAAAGAGCCCACTTGCGTCAAAAAGTTTATATTTTAAAGAGTGTTGATTATGTACTGAAGAAAGAATCATACTCGATTGCATGACTGTCTGTAAACGGAAATGTCGTTAAAGAGTTAAAAGTTCCGTTCAGGAACTAGTTTTTCCCATCTGCAAGTCATCTCTTTAATCAATATGATCTCTGACATAGGAGTTTACAGAAAAAGAAAGGAAAAAGCCATCAGCTCACCAAATCATGCAAGAGACGAAATGCTTTCGCGCAACTGACAAAGTGAATTTTAAACTAGTATTCAATATTTTTTATTTTTTCTTCCCTCCAAGCACACTCTCGAAATTTCCAGAAGCGTTTAATGCAACGGAAAAATTCCCATGTTGCCAGCCTCTGAATTAAACCAGGACGAAAGGCTTTTTCACTTTGAAAATTGAGAAGGAAATTAAGAGTTTAACATTTTAGGGGAAAGATCTCTACTTCCGGAGATTCTCTGCTTGATCCTGCCGTAGCAAGAATCACGTGAAGAAAGAGAAATATTGTTCAGTCTAAATGTTTAATGATGTTATGAAAAGAAAGGAAAGTGTGAAACTAAATAAGAATAAAAATGAGGTGGAATAAAACAAAGAATGGACATATTTTAATGAACAGTTTCGCTGAATGGAGTCTTTTTGAGTGTTTTTGAGTGGTGGAGTAAATCAAAGAATGGACATACGTTAATGAACAGTTTCGCTGGATGGGGTCTTTTTGAGTTTTCTTTTTAGTAATGGAGTAAAACAAAAGAATGGACTTATTTTAATGAACAGTTTCGCTGGATGGAGTCTTTTTGAGAGTCGGTCTCTTTTTCCTTATTAAAAGCATTTCGTAAATAGGCTCTCAAACTTTCCGCGGCGTTTCTTTAGGATGGCAAAATTTCTCGTAAAGATTGTTCGGTCTTTGATTGTGTTCTTCCTTAAGATGTTTACCGATGACGGCATATTTGTGCTCCCTAATGCATTTGCCATCCTGAAGAAATGCCACGGAAAGCTTGGGTGCCTTGTTTACAACATGCTTTTAATGAGGAATAAGAGACCGACTCTGAACACTCAAAAATACTTCATTCTAGCGAAACTGTTCATTCTTTTGTTTTACTCCATCTCATTTTTATTCGAAAAAACGTTTGTAAGATAATGAAACAGACTTTGGCTTTTTCCTTCAATCTTGTTTCGCATAATTGTTCTGAGCTAAGCTCAATCCAACCAGAACAGTAACAGAGTTGAATTCACGGCATGAACGCAGTTTAAGGACAATGATTTCTCTGATAGTAAGTCTTACCCAGCATTATATTACACTGAGTAATGTTGAGCCAGTCTCTCGTATCAGTTAACTGGCTCTAACTCCAAAAAAATTTTGCCATCATTCTTACAAACGTTTAAAATTTCTTTAGTACGATGGGCAGTGAGTTGACTTCAGATTTTCATTTTCTGTCAGTAGACATACTGGTTAACATATTACGTGCTTAAATCAGTCTCAGACGATTTTCAGTAGTAACTCGAAGAGCATCAGAAGCTTACTTTTCCGTGTTTCTGGCTCGAATTTGTTTTTCATTCAATGGTCTTGTGACCATGTCAACTTTATTGACAGAATTACATTTGATTGAAGAACAGATGGTTTTGTTGGTAACTTCTTCATAGCTGCAATTTTACTAAACAAACGAACGTTGGTAAACCGCAAGATTGTGTTCTGCACCGCTTAATATATGAGAGCTCTTGGAAAATATACTTCAAATACGCAATCTTTCCATTCCAAAACTGACATCACAGAGGCTGAGACAGTAGACGAAGCTGTCGCGCATCGCCGTAGGCTTCGTTAGAGTTTTCTTTCCTTTTAACCCAGTCTAACCCTTTTTTTCGCCCATTAACGAGTCAGAGTTCCAGCTCGATGATATCGTTTCTATAAAAGAGTTTCTCTAAAGCAGTCAATTTGAGATCTCATTAAATGTTACTGTTCCGTGACTCTAACTCCGAGCTAATTTTAGCGCTCAAGACTTCCGTTTCTACCATCAGGTAAACATCTCTTGTCAAATTTTCCGAAATTTTCTCAAATTAACTCAAAATCATTGTTACTTGGAGGATCTACAATTTACATTGAAACAAACTGATTAAAATTTGTACGATTATTTACCCAAACTGATTCCGAATCTATTGCGACGAAAATTTGAGGATAAATGTACGAGTACTTCCAAACGATGTTTTTTTTACATATTCCATGTTAGTTTATTTCTCGCTTCTTAAAAGCCGAGGCAGGATCTTTCCTTTAAAAACCTGTTTCTAAAGAAATTAGGGTACACGCGTTTTAATGCAGTGGAGAAATCTCTCATTCTCTTTCCTCCTGTCAAACCCTTGACAGAAACAGAAGCACAGCTGTTCTGAAAAGAAAACTACCGAGACTCTCGGACTGAAATTAAGAAAATTATTCAACTTGATTACAATTTTCTACCGATCATTAAACCATCTGTCGTTCGTACCCACTGTGAACGAATCCGATTAAACTTCCTGTGAAAATCTGTACCCGTTAGCATTGTTAATATGGGCGACAACGAAGTATATCCTTGCAAGTATTTTGTGCGAAAACCCCAAAAGATGTTGTAAAGGATTTAGAATCTTTCTTTGAACTAGGGACAAATAAAATCAACGGTCAAGAAATATGTAGACTCTTTAATAACTAGCACGGGGGTTTGTCATATAAAGAAGTAACAAAAGTTTTCTGTAAAACAGTTTAAAGTTTTACATCCACGTGACAAAAAATATTTCGAATAGTGAATCATATAATCTACCATGTCATGTTATTTTTCTTTTTTTTCCTATGTTTTGGCTGCCATATGGGTTTCTGGGGTTTAGGAGGCAAATTAGCAGCAGCCTTCCTGTCTTGAAACTCCTGCCTGGATACAATTAAAAGGAAGGGGAAATAATTAGGAGTGCTATGAAAAGAGTAAAGCCGAAAAGTCAACTTTTAACTTACAAAACTTAATTCGCTGGTCTGAATGTGGGGTTTAAGGGTTTCCGGCGATTCTTGCGAGAGATCAGTGGTATCAGTTTAGTACGTTCATTCAAATTTACTCCGTAACTTACCATTTTTTCCCGAAGAAATTCACCACTAGATACGTGATATATTTTGTCAACCAGTAAAAAGTGATGAGTGCCGCATTTACAACGAGTCCAGCACATAAGTTGTATAAAACATTTAGGCATGTCAAGGGAAGAAATCGTCCTTGTATGGCTCTCAAGTGTTCTGAAGATGGAAATAGAAAACCGAAAAACAGGGTGAAAGGGTTATTTGAAATGAATAAACTAGTGGTTCATTTTTAACGATAGCACGAGTTAAAGTACGTTTCCATCTACTATAACACCAGTAAGTAAATAAGATACGATCATCAACTGTGTGCTCTTGAAACAAAGATCGAGAAATCGATTTTCTATAGCCGAACTAAATCTGTTTAGTAATTAATTCTGTGATCTCATCATGCGGATGAGAAAGGTACTGAAAACTGTGTCGTATTGATCGACGTTCGACAACCTGAACGCAAGTTATCATCGGAGCTGAGTAAAGAGTTATTATCAATCGGGTGTTATAAGTCCGATTGGTGTAAACTGATTGGTCAGTTTGATTGGCCACAGCCTTAACGGAAGTTATTATCAAAGTTGTGTTCAGAGCTATTGTCAGTCAGGTGTTATAATTCCGATTAGTGTAAATTGGTTGGTCAGTTTGATTGGTCACAACCTTAACGGAAGTTATCAGAGCTGAGTGAAGACCTATTATCAGTCGGGTGCTATAAGTCCGATAAGTGTAAACTAATTGGTCAGTTTGATTGGTCACAACCTGATTGATCATAACCTTAAAGGAAGTTATTATCAAAGCTGAGTGAAGAGCTATTGTAATTCACTTGTTAAAAGTCTGATTCGTGTAAACTGATTGGTCGGTTTTGCTGTGATGGTATTAGCCGTAAGACTATGTTTGCTTAAGTCGGTCGTTTCTGGTCAGTTCTGTTCCGTTCGATTCGTTTGTCGTGTAAACGTCGTAAAGACGTCGTTTCTTGACGGAATCGGTGGTCACTAACATCTGTTAAAAGGCAGCGTGCTCTAAGTTAGTGAACCAGCTTTCCGTGGTCAGTCATTGATTGTAGTTGAAGCGGTAGGCTAAGCATTGCCGAGAGTTCCAGAACTAAGTAAGTCGATGATGTTCAGCAATATGACTGTGAGAGTCAACATTTCTTGTCACTCGTTTGCGTTCAGTCAGCTCCGACGTAAAAGGCTTGGCAGCTGAGCCCTCGATCTTAAAGCACTCCTTTTTGATTGTACGGTTCATCGTTCTCTTAGTAAATGACGTAAATTAGTAAATGATATAGCGGCAATGTAGGGTTGTAGGATCCACCAGATGGCTTCAGACATGCCATATATGGTTTAGTCTTTAAGGACGTAGGAGTTACGCTGTCGTTGTTTTGATAATTACTGTAGGTCAGTGGGTTTTTCGTTGGTGGGTCGATTGAAAAAAATGAATTGTAAGGAGAACTTTTATTTATTTTGCGACAAACAGTCAGGTGAAAAAATGATAGCATTTTGATCCAATTCGTCTTTTTTGAACCGATTAATATAAGTAATAGGACCGAGTGGAGTACAATTTGGTCTGTAATCGTACGAGCGATTAATTAACAAAGTCAGACGACCGCGAAGCAGGAGTCCGATTTGTTAATTATGAGTATGAATACAGACAGAATTGGACGACACGAAGTCCTGTTACCAATTAATCAAAATTATGACAAAATTTTAAAAAGAAACTAGATATCGGTTGAACGTTTTTATTAAAAAAAAAAAACAAACAGTAAAATCGGTGAAATGGGAGGCAACAACGCCCGCACATGACGCGTTCTGTCCCCTTGCACAGGCGTGACGTGTTAATTGTCCCTTTACTTGTCTTGTTACGCTATCCAATTACAAGCATGATGCGTACACTGTCCTAGTAGTGCTCAAATCGGGCTGTTGATAACCAATCATGTTCCACAATTTTTTTACAGTTTTGATTAAGCCTAATATGTGCAATCTTTACAGCGCGCGCAAAGGCGCTCGCGAAAACAAACAAATTCACGCGCAAACTATCATAGCAACGGCTCAAATAAACGGTTAAAGCCCAAGGTATTAAGTACGAGATATTTGAAAACTACGGCTTTAGATTTAAGCCTGCCTCTCAATACTCATATAATCAATAATTTAACACTCAACGAGACAATGCTTAGGAGAGGGTCTCAATGGGGTTAACCGTTAGCTGTTAACCGAAAAAAAAAAATAGCCGTTAGCCGTAAAAATTGATAAATTTTCACCGTAAGTCGCGAAAAAAGTTAACTGTTAAAAATTTTCCTTTCTATCGCAACGGAAAGAGAATAACTGTTTATCGTAAAATGGCCCAAATTACAACCGTCAACCGTAAGAGCCAACACCCTATTAAGACCTTCCAAGAGAATATAGACTCCCTTTAGCAGTCAGGACGGTAACGCCGAGGGAGACATCGATTCAAAATGAATTTATATATTTTAGATATAATTTTGGGAATGACTGAATGTGTTTACCGTCTCTGACGGCGCCACACCTCAATTTCGAATTCAGCACAACCTATGGGAGCGTTGTTGAATTCCAAATGGAAACTTAAATGTTTTAAATTAAAAAAATTTGGTGATTTGCAGAGGACGGCTAAGAAGTGAACAACGACTCAAAAGAACGTGCTGCACTATTGTTCTGCCCATTTTATCATTTGTTTTGCCTCTCCTCGTTTCCATCACCGACGTGGTTTGCTAAAAAATCACTTTCATGATTCGATTCACCTCGAAATTAAGTTTTGATTGATGAGTTCAAACTAACCTAACCCTTGTAGCCAAAAAGCCTCAAAATAAACTGTAAAAAGTTTGTTGAACCTACCTTTTGTGTTAACTATTTGTGATAACAGGAAAAGGAGTGAAAGATCTACAAGCGCTGTCACCCACTTCATCGTAGAAACACAACTTGTTTTCTTTTTACTTCAAACTGTCGACATTACGTTCCGCAAAAGACAGCGAAATAATTCAAAGGTTGAACGTCACAGTAGGAGATTGTGACGAAATGCGCGCGGATGATATTTTAGAGTCGTTCCCAGGTTTTTTGTCAGTTATAATTATTTTCCAACATTACCCTCACGGTCTTGGCTATTTACACATATTAGGAACCTAGTCCTAGGTTCCTGCAGTCCTTGAACCCTAAGTGAAATGAAAGAAAATGGACTGAATCCTTTATTTTCATCTTGGTTTCCTTTTCCTTCTTTGCTCAGTGTGTTTTTGTAAAAACGGAACTGTAAAAACTGAACTCACAAACGAAGGTTTATCATGTCAAGGGCACTTGAGGGTACCTCGCTGCTACATTGTTCCGGTCGTTATCTGACTGATTTGACACCATTTATGCTCCTGTTTGCAGCAAATTTCAGGATTTAAAATACTTATGTTAAGACTGTTAGAACAAGATCAGAGTTTTAGATTCAAGTTTGTTTCTGAAGAGATGTGATGGTGAACCTCTAGGAATTATGATCACATAACCAGACCCCAGCGGTCACGTTCGCCGTACTAGTTTGTAGTCCAAGTTCGTTTGAACTTCGGATGTAATTTCAGTTAGGTCAACTGCCTCGGCGTTTTTCTTCATCCTGTTCGAAAGTTCTCACGTATGTCATGTAAATGAATGTGAGATGAGGTCTTTTATTTTTATGTTAATGTTTGTAGCTATGACAGGGCTAACGCTTGGAACGCCAGCTTTGAATCTCTTTACGGTGGCCAATTTACGTTATCAACTCAGTTGATAACGCTTAATTTCCCTCTCTTTTTTTAGCCGAGCAGTTAGGGACGCTAAAATCCAAAATTTTAGCCACACTTCGTTTCAAATAATGGACCTCCATCCTGTGTGTAATTCAAGATGGTGGCGCACAAGTTGTTTTCAGGGATTTTTTTTTTTTTTTCAAGTGAAACCCCCATCGATCTAAAAGGCTGAAAATCTCGAAACTTCAAAGCGCTAACAGCAATTTGAAGTCTGAGGTTAATACGCCAAGGGGTCTGAAGTCTGAGGTTAAAACGCCAAACGTAAACCTCTAAACCTCTTTGTCAACTAAAAAGGCTTCTTTAGGAGTCAAAACCTATTCTAAAGCAATGGCTATCGTATTTATTGTTTTAGTCGTGTCACACTCGTGTGTCGTAGGGCCTAGCGTTTCAAAGCGACTTCGCGCTTTCGTGGTCAGAAGTTTGCCTTAGAAAAGAATGCACATGTTTCTCGAAATATATTACGATTTTGATAAGAAGTAAATATGTTCTGCCCTAAGGAAACAAGTTGAAAGATTCTGGCGAGAACTGGTAAAAGCAGGGGCTGACGTGTTTACTTCAAGGGGCGAACTTGCAAAGTTGGTAGGAGTGCGAACTTTCGATGGGGTATAACCTCAATAAACCCACTTAATAGATAAAATTCTGAATTTTTTCTTGACGTCATTGCATGGTTCTCAATTTCACAGTTTCTAACAAACGTAAACACCGACTTAATTTCAAATGCCCCTAAGGGGAAAAAAGGGGGAAAATGCTGATCGTGTTCAAATGTTATCTTTGGCGAAAGTACACTATAACAATTAGCGCGATTTCACTTAATTTTAATGTCATCATCGGGTACCAGAGGAACTGAATCAGGAGGATATAGAAGGGAAGTGATGTCCGCTGAGAGTTGCAATTCTCGGTAATTTTTCAAATTGTGAACTCAGCTAGGAGTCTTAAGAACCTCGATTGCTCTAGAATGGTCGGAAAGACACCAGCTGCTGGACCGACAAGTATACTCTTCTCAGCTTGCAATCACAAGATTTTATTTTATCGGAAATAACTAAATCTCTGATCGGCTTTATTCATAGCTCTCAAAGACCAACTTTCCCCCTATGTAGTCGGACGTGTTTCTTCAATAATATTTCGTAGACGCTAATTCGAGTTTTTTTCTCTCGGAAATGGCTTCACAGAATTTTCCTGAATTTTGTCTACATGAAATACAACTTATACACATGAAGACGAATAGTAATGATGGTAGATGTGGAATTATTCAAATCAGTGTAAACGGCGTTGTTAGTAGAACATTAGGAAAAGAAAAAATTTGTCAACTTGCTATCCCGAGAGTAACAGAAAACCGATAGGAGTCGAGTGGAAACATTTGTTGGCTTCTCTACTCGAATATGTAAAACTGTGTTCCGCCACCTAAATTTGACCGCAAATTATTTATGAATAATAAATGAGCTTTTAATCCTGATAAACAAATGTGCCTTGCTTTTTGAGATGCGAAAAAAAGCGCTTAATACTTGAAAACACAGCTGGGAAAGAGAAAAAACATATTGGGGCACTTCATAGTGGAGAAGAGAATACCTCGTTTGGACGAACTAATGTTGGAAATAGAGAGGGACATTTACATTCCTGCTCACTAAGTACGTTTTAATTGAATAACTAACATGAAGAATCAACACAGTATTGAGTTAACCACTTTGATTTCTTTATCGTGCGAACATATATATTTTTCAGTCCTTGGGTCATCCTCAAGTTAGTTTTCGTTCCCCATCGCCTTCCCTCTCTAAAATTTGGTCGGTCAGGTAAGAAAAGAAAACTAAGACAAATGGAGCTGGAAAAAATGGAGGAGTTTTGGAAAAGGATGGATGTGCGCATCTTCTCTCCTGACCCAAGCGTTTTCAAAGAAACCTTGAAAATCTACTTTTAAATAGAATGTGATTTTGGTTAACAACCGAAATCTTGTTGGTAAAACGGTGTATTCAGCATTAATTTTTTTAGTTTTCCACTGAAGAATGGTCGGTCGGGCAATGGGAAACGAAATTTTTTATTGGGATGGCCTAACAGATCGAAGGAGAGTCTGTATGTCTAAAGTGAGCTTCTAACTCCTCGGTGATTAGGCAGGTCCAATGAGATATTCATCATTAGCAAAAGTCCAACCCATTAGTGTTTTCAAAGTCAAATTATTTCATGGAAGACAGATTTATTTAACGTTTGGTTTTTGTATGAAAAATAATTAGTTGTTTGCTGCGGAACAAAGCAGAGAGGAAATTTCAATTACCCCGAAACACCCTTTGGGTGATAATGAACAATATATGGCGTTTTCATTTCCTCGTCTACAAATCCCTGGCGGATAGAGCTTGTCACAGTTCAGTCAAAAATAATTAAAAAATGACAAATACTTCAATGAGATACGTCATCAGAGACAAAATTTTGCCGAATTAAAGGCAATGGACAAGAATCTTCTTTGATAAGCTAAGGGTTGAAATCGAGGACAGCTTTAATGGGCATGGAATTAACAGATGCGACGAAAAGTTTATTTCGCACTCCATTTTAAGGCTGAGAGACGGGTAATTACTCAATATACGATTGGCTAGTCAGTCACTACACGAGAAAATAAAACGTGACTACCGCTCATATGGCACTTGTTGTTATTTTAGCGAGGAGAGTGAAAACCAAATGAGGAACATAACGGGGAACGCTATGGTGGCAAACATCAGCAAAGTGAATGAATCGAGTTCAGCGAATGGCAGTTCACCCTCTAGTACTGAAGGCATTGCAATGTGCAGCGCTTTTGCGCTGATCTGTGTTTTGGTCGTCGTTGGAAACCTCGTCACCATTGTTCTCTTTACTGTTAACAAGAGACTTGGCAAAAAAAGTTTATATCTTGTCATTAATATGGCGTTTGCTGATTTCATGTACGGAGTTCTATCGGTTCCATTCTTCATTTACTTCGAACTCGGCGTGTACTTCTATCAGCTTTGGACAATGGGAGATTCAGACTTGCCCATTTTTTATTTTTACCTCGTGGCTGATCGTATTTTTTCGGCGGCTTCGTTATTATCAGTGACTTGCATATCCTATGAGAGATTTTACGCCATCTATCGACCATTTAAGCACCGATCTCTGACGGCGCGACACTACCAAATTGTTATTTTTTTCATTTGGGCATTAGCATTTCTTCACTCAGGATGTTCTCTCTTTTATTCAGGAAAGTTCTACATCTACTTTTGGATATCGATGGGAGTGGTCTCATCTTTTATCATAGTGGCTTGTTACGTCGCCATTTGGTTAAAGTTTCATCAAGGAAGCGTCGCTACGCAACAACAAAACAGAGACGCACAAAGTGTGCGTTTGACAAAGACTCTGCTGCTTGTTTCTATCACCACATTAATCTGTTGGCTCCCTTTAATTGTCGTGAGCGACTTACATTTACTTAATGTTGAAATATCGTGGAGATATTATGTATTTTCGGTCTTTTTAAATTATTGTAACTCGTTTATTAATGCAATTGTCTATGCACTGAAACTTCCAGAGTTTCGAGAGGGGATGGCCGTTTCATGCTGTGTCCATGCCAGTCTTGTCAGAAGACAAGAGGCGGGGAATCCTGAAAACTCTAACTCGAGAAATAATCAGGCAGCCTTCGCAATTACGCAGGTTATACACAAATAGAAGCATTTCACAAAGATTTTGGTACACTTAAGAGCCGAAGAGTGACAAAATCTCAATGGGTAGATCAGGTATGAAAACCACGCGCGGAAAGTAAGAAAAATTCTCTTAGGATGACCGTTCTCTAATGACCTGACGTTTTTACTTGATGGTAAAATAAAAAAAAAATACTGATAAATTAAAAAAATTGGAAAGAATCTTCATTTTAAGATTATAGAAAGTTTTAATGTGTTCCCCCGCAGTTAAAAGGGAAGGATGACCACTTAGCCTAGATTATCAAATTAGTAAGGGAGAGAAGTTGTTTTCTCAATAAGTGACGCCTACGGGCATGTTAAAAATAGCTTTACCTGTAAACTAGCTTCATGTACCAACATGCAAATGGCTGTAATTAAAATTTAGATGTGAATAATCTGCCGCACGGTGACAATAAAACTAGTATACTTGAAGTCAAAGAATCCATCCTTTCACGCCTATGCACCCCCCTCCCCCCCAATTCCCGATGCATGCTTTGATCAGCAGGTTCCCTCTCTCCCACAAACAGTGATATGTGCATTCCCGGCAGGGGCGTAGTCAAGATTTTCCAAAGGGGGGCTACACTGTGTCAAACAGAGGGTACTCACCAGATTTCAATGTCGACCTCCACGCCGCGTTTTACTTATGGAACAAAAAAGGCTTACAGAAGGGGAGTCACGGGCGCCTCAGGACCCCACCGAACTATGCCCTCGGTCAGATGCATGATTTGATCAGCAGGTACCCTCTCTCCTCTATACAGTGATATGTAACGCTGCATCAGCGGGAAAGGCCCAAAAATTTTCTGTGGAACGAAAGGAGTTGGCTCACCCCTTGTCGACTGAGCAGAGCAAACAAAAGGAGCACAGCTACTAACATTGCCAATCATTTTTCCCAATTATGTACTTAAAATATTCTCGTTTTTGAATAGTTGGCCACTCTTCCAGGTGATCGTCAAATATAGGTGACCTCCTCTCAAGCTTTACCTTCTTGAAAGGTTTAGTTTTGTTTCACAAGAAAACAAATAGCGTCGACCACTTTTATAAAATAGTGGGGACCCTCTACAAAGGCAACCAGACACCTCAATTTTTCGCGTGACTGTCAGGCCTGGTTGCTAAGCACTAACGGTGATCTGCGAACTTTGTTTTTGTCGCGAAGTGTCTGTGCTAAACTAGAATTTTGACGCATTAGAGAAACGTTAAAGCTGAAGAAAGCGATGGAAAGCTCTTGCAGCTCGACTTCAAACGAAGGTATGTCAATTTTTTTTGCCAGCATTTTTGTTAATGCCGTTTTTTATTTTGTCGTGGGGCACAGTTCATATTTTAGTGAATTAGTCATATGACTACTTCTGTGTCGATAACAACGATGTAACATCCTCTCAGGTTTTATAATTTGCCGTTCTCTAGGTGATCGATTCCCTGGGTAAACTGAAATTTTTTTACTTCTCTTAAGGTTATGCAGCTATACATAGCAGTTTTATTGACTCTTCTTCTTTGGTGCATGTGTGTTTACAATATTAGCAATGTTTAGCTCACTTATGAAACATTGTGTATTTAGGGTGCGATCATAGCTTGCCGTTTTAATGTTAAAGTATCAGCTAACAACATCAAATAAGTCATGTTTTCTAGTTTTAATGCTCGATAGGCAGCATTTCTGAAAAAAAAAAAACTTTGAGAAGTGCTCGATAGGCAGCAGCATGCGCATCATTTTTCAGAGAACCTGAGCCAACATCTGGCCAACATCTGATAATATTATTCACTGTTTCACGGTTGGAGTGTTTGTTACGCTTTTCTTTTGTATCGATTAACCACCTGGATTACTTGTTTTTTTAAACAAGTCTCTGTCAACTATTAACACAGAAGAACAGAAGGATGAGGTGGGTGAAAGGAAAACGACTACGGACTCGTGATTCTGGTCATAAACCCAAAAACGCTCAAGACTTAATTGTGAGGAGGGAGGGGTGGGGGTTTACAAGAGAGGGGTTTATCCTAAGAAGCGAGTTACAGGTATTTTTTAAACGTTGTTGGCCAGTTTTTATGCGTTCTGTAAACAGTGTGCATTTCTTTGGTTGAAATGCCAGCAATTTTATAATCAGAAAGAAACTACATGTAGTCGAAAGATTCATGTACTTGTACATGTTGCAAATGGTTTTATGGACAAGATTTGGTACCCAGACTCTGCTTGGAAGCTGGGGGTTATTGCAGCAACTCTGACAACAATGGTTGCTTTTTTATACTAAAGAACAATAGCTGCTGTGAGGGAGACTAAGTCTTACACTTTGCCAAATAACTTTGCCTATTTTTCAACAATTAATTTGTTGTTTTGTCTATCAGGTAATGATCCTGGTTTAAGGAAATGCAGTGACTGTAAAAAGTCTTACAAATCCTGTGAATGCAAGGTAACCATCAGTGACAATTGTAAAAATTCATTTAAACTTAATTAATTGTCTTAGTTGCAGATTATGATGGTATTGATAATTTGTTGTATTTACATATTATTTAAGAGCACTGCTGATAGAATATTTGGGGTGCAGTTTCCTATGCTGTATGTGTTTTTTTTTGTTTGCCAAGTTTTCTTTTTAATGAATAATTTAAAGGCCATCTGTTGACCCTTTAACTCCCAGAAGTGATTAACATGAAACTTCTCCCTATAACATCCTTACCTTATTCAGCAAACAGGTTATGAGAATATTCAAACTTATCAGGTATAAAATGCTATCTTGATCTAGCACCAAGTTCTCATAACTAATTTACAGGGAAATGTGCAGCAGCTACAGGGGAGAATTAACAATTAGATCTTAGGAGTTAAAGGGTAAAGAACACATTCAACAACCTTGAATTGCCAGATTGTTCCTGATATGGAGATTATTGTGGTCATTATTAGAAAGGAATATATGGACTGAATGTGTATGAGAGATTACATTGTGTTTTTTCTGCCAATTTTGCTTGCCTTTACAAATTCATTAAATAATTATTCCATAAACCACACCAATGCCCACAAGGACAGCACCAAATAACTTCTCAACGTACATTTTGTGATGATTTATGGGAAGTCTTCTCAGTGATTTACATCCTTCTTCTGGATCCTATCCTCAATGCAAACTCTGTTTTATATTTCTGGTAAAGTAGGTGCAGATATTTTCAGTAACTTTTGGTAAATTAAATTGACTTCATTTATATTTGCCTGTATGCAGTAACTAAATCTAGGCACAGTCCTGCTTTGGGTTTCAAATTTGTCTTGTATGAAAATTTCATACACATATGAAATTTTGCCATGTGAAACACACAACGCAAGCAGTTTTAGAAAGCATGAATTTAATATCATATTGATTCCTTCCTGAGGGTGTCTTCACATGCTTTTCAACTAGTTCTTGAATTTGGGATATGAAAAGCTTGGACTTGTGCTTTCCCTTTAGAGTCTAAATGGTGATTTGTGACTAATAACATAAACGACCTGACCATTATCCCCCCCTTCCAATTTTTAACCTCAGGCCAGTCCTATGCAGTTTGAAAACAACATTGTCTGTGTTTCGATGTTTTGAAAGTATTTTTTTTTTTCACACAGAATTGCTCAAAGTGTGGATCAGTTTTTCACAAGTATTGGGGAACTAACCTAGTGAAGGGAAGGTTAGTACTTTTTCAGAATGCTTACAAACTTGCAATTGCTCCCTATGGAGAACTCCTACCAACACCTACAGTTTTATAGAGATTCTTTATTACAAGTACATTTTACATTTTGTTATACTTAGCAGTTTTATTGAAAAATAAATGATATATTTATGCTCTATCAAATGACAGGGTTTTTTATTCTCTTCTCTGAATTGAAAGGTCCCATTGCCGCACATGTTGTGCAGCAGTATGTGTTACTTGTCATGTGGTAGCCAACAATGGTATAAAGGTAACTTTAGTTAAAAATTATTCCTTGGTTTATTTTATAGAATTGTTTTCACACTAGTTTACAATCTGCTGCCTGAACAGGAAAAAGAAATTAGTTCCCTGCAGAAATTTCTGATTAGTTATTGGAATAAAAAAATCCACCTTAAAAAGAAATCACTCAATTTAGATGCACAAAATGAATTTTTAATGCACAGTTGGCATGCTACATGGTACTTAATTACTTAAATCATAGACCAATTATTGCTTATGGTATGCAAAATTGATAGTTTCAAAAGGGTGCATTTTTTGGCAGTTACTTGAATCACCAAGCAGATAATTACACATTGCATGGTCTTACTGAGGTTTCATGGACTTGTTGTAGGTGTGTACAAGATGTCTTATCAAACAAAAAGAGGATGAGATGAATACACAGAAAGCACTCTCAGCTATTGAGGAAGCCAGAACAGGGAGAGGTGTGGTTAAAGATTATCATTTACTTATACAGTGTAGATTTCTTTAAACTGTACTTGTCTTAATGATGCACATTTTTGAATTGCAATTGATACCCCAAAGTTTCTGGAGAGTTTGCTGTAAAATCAATGCATAGGCACTTTTTGTAGCCACTTGCCTTGATCTTGATCTTGCATCTTTCCATTGTCTGAGTGTGTGAGTCTCATTCAATGGTGTATTAGTAGTTCCCATAGATAACATTGCTGATAAATAAAATTAATCTTAATAACATGATTTATTTTTCCATATGATAGTTGACTCAGTGTCTTCAGTGAGATCAGACTCATTTGTGGTTGTGTCATCGTTGTCTCGTCTGTCTCCTGAGAAGAAGAAAGAGGCTCTTTTTGAGGCTGCCAAGACAGGTACAGTAAAGAATGAGTCTTTTTAACAAAACCAGTTTTTAGCCCAGTGCACTGATAAAAATTATGCTATTCCATATATATTGCACAAATGTGTTGCCATAAGATTGCAGTTAGTGGAGGTTGAATGAAAGGAAGAGATCTTCTGTTTAACAAAACAGAATTCTGTTAGAACAACACGGTCGGTAAAATTCTTCATTTCCAAACTTTGTGTCACCTACCTCTCTTAAAGACCTACTCAGATTATTAATCTTATCTCAAACTAACAATCTTAACAATGCTCAAGAATTTTCATAAAATGATTCAGAGCTGAAATCCAGATCACATGTTTATTTTGATGTATTTATTTATATATTTTTTTGTTGTATTAAATATTTAATGTGATAATACGCATAATGTTTTGTTTAACTAGGAGACCACTACTCCATGGTGACTCTTCTGAATGACAATGTGGATGTGAATATAAGAGGTATTACTTCTATTTTAATTTCATTTATTTGTTTAACGGGGGTAATTGTACATTTATTATATATTGAATACAGTAGGAGCATAATTATATTTGATTGGTAAATTGATTGCAGTCTCACTTTTCACTGTTCACTTGTAGATGTGGACAAAAATACCCCACTATTTTTTGCAGCTGAAGGTGGACATCTTCCTTGTGTGGCTCTGTTAATGGTAAATATTAATGTCAACTGCTTAACAGTGTATGATACCTGATAGATATGTTGCCATTGAAATTTATGTTCAAATAAGTAACTTTGTGCACTGGGTTGATTCTCAATTACCCCTTTGTTATATGACCCATATTAATTTGACAATCATCTTAAATAGGAAATTTTAACCATCAAAGACTTTGCATGTAACAATTACTGAATAAAATTAAGCTTGGTAGTAAGAACTATTAAGGCAAAGGTTCACATTGAGTACTAAAGCTAATGGATGCCCAAATTGCAAGACCCTGAATTTTTCTGGATTAGTTAACCCTCAAAAGACTACCCCCTTCCCGCTTCAGTGAGATAAAAAGGTTAGCCACCCCTCCCCCCAAATTACAACAGGACAACAGCTACATGTGTATTTATGCTCCCTCTTGGATTGTTGTGTTTTAATTTCTTTGATGTCCTTCCTCACTCTTTGTATTTTGCATCATATCTTTATAGGAAAGGAATGCAGATGTGAAAGCCACAAACAGTGTAAGTTCACAATTTTCCTGTTATCTTGATCAAGATGATTATTGATTTTTGGCATTAAGATTATTTATTGTTATAGAAGATATGACCACATTATAATCAAGTGAAAGATTTTGGTGATAGTCTGCAGCATAATCCATTGATTGTCATATTTAGTTATTTATTGATACATGTACAGTTTTTTCTATTACCGGTAATTAAAAAGTAGATTTAATATTGATTTAAAATAACTGTTTGTTTCTACATCTCTTTCCAGAAATCATGGACCCCTCTTCATGCTTTAGCATGGTAGGTGACTTTGGCTCAGACAATTTTTTTTCTGCAGAGAGAGTTAAAAAATAGGAGGCATGGAAATACTTGTTATCACTGATTTCTGATGATATGGAAAATTTTTCAATCTGGTTGGCTTTAAGTATTTTGACTAAAGGAATACATGTAGCAGGCCTGAAAAGTAAGAAATACTTAATAGTGTGAGGGAAAGTATGGTACACTGCAGAATTGTTGTCAATAAAACTTTTGTTTTACGTTTTTGGTTGGTTTTATTCCTCATCTAGGAAAGGTTCAAGTGATGGCCATGTTGAGTGTGGTGAGCTTCTTATTCAGGTACTGCCAATTTTAATTTGTCAGTCTGTAACAGTAAATGAAGGAACAAGTTTGTCTTTCTGTCTGTCTTTCATCCAGTCAGTCAGTTAGTCTGTCAATCATTGACAAATTGACAATAAATATTCGAAGTCAATGTTTAACAAGTTGAATTTTATCTACCTGTAGATGGGTGCTGTCATATTTGCCTTGACAGATACAGTGGAGACAGCTGCAGACCTTGCAGCTCGCTCAGGGGGCAAACAGGAGTTAGTGCAGCTGTTAAGAGCTGTAGAAGGTAAGGGACAGTCTGCAGTCAGGTATTACATACTGTAGATGGGTACAGATACTACGTCTACAGGTGCATAAGGATGAGCAATTTACCGTTCAACTGGTTATCACTCGATTGAGCAAACGAAAAATCACTTCCCCACCCTTACTCCTCTCCTTATTTTTGACCGTCGCTCACCCCCTTGAAAATGCATAGTATTTTTACCCTTCTAGTGGATGTCTTAGAGTCAGAACAGCTGCCCGTTTAGATCGTATGCAAACCTTTTTTTGTTTTCTCAAGTTACATTATGTTATTTCAGTGGATGTTGCGGTACAGAAATTACAAGAAAAGTTGCAAACTCCATCAGGTACGTTCTCTCAAATGTAATTATTACAAAGTAGTACAGAAACCGAGATAGGCTCTGTCAAGTACATAATTGTGAGTCAGTTTGCCTTTCCTGTTACATGAATACCTTTTACTAACTGAGTTCGAGATCCGTACTGTAAGTTGCAGATCTTTTTTTTTCCGCTCCGATTAATAGCTTCGCGCGGGCCATGAATCCGAATAGGAAAAACGAGGTTCTATAACTTACCGTACGGACCGAGAAAAGGAGGCCAGTAAGTGTACCAACCGAGAGATTTAATGAAATCAAAGAGACATGTGGGAGCAGGGTTGCAACACATTGATAAAACAGACGGCAATACCATTCGGCAATTTAGGCCGCTTGAATCGTGTTCTTGCCTTTACATGCTTTCTCATTGGAATACCTGTAAGTTTGACAACGTCCACATGTAGTGAATTTTTTCTTATTCTCTTTTCGGGCCTTTGTGCAGGTTTTTCAACCAAGGATCAAATGTTGAAGATTTACGTTGCAACCGTTTTGAGACACATTACAGAAATCATACCTCTGGACCGTACAAAAAAAGAATCGAAAGGTCAGTTCCGGGTGTAGACAAATTATTATTAGCCAAACTCGAGATCTCTATGGGCGATCCCTTGGTTACATTTTCTACCTCTCTCGCATCGAAATATAATAGCGACTCTGTCTGGAATTACCTGTTTCCAAAAGCTTGTTGTTTGACTTATTAGATACTTTTTCACCTCCCCCCCTTCCCCCCCTCCCCCGCCCACCCCTTTCCATTTGGCGGTATTTATTTCAGGTCATCATATTCTTCATATTATCAAAATGTGTTTGTTATCGTGGTTATAAAGCTAAATGAACATGTTGATGGTTTGATTCACAGGTAATGACGCGAAAAGTTCACGATTTCTAAAGACGCCCGAACTCATGAGAAGGGAAGACTTCACAAAATCCCTGGACAGGGTGAGTCACAACATTTGAGTCGCGATTTTGTTTTACCACTTTTCTCTTACTTTGTTTAGTTTTTTAAATTTTTGCAGATTAGTTGAGGCTAAGCTATATTTTTGTCAATTTCCCATTCAATAGGGGCTTCGTAAACACAATTCTTGTGAAGAATTGCGTCCTGAGACCAACGGTAAGTTACTAAATTCACACTGATAGCTATACTTGCAGAAATACTGGAAAAACATTTGTAAGACAAAAAGTTGCCGGCGATAGGTTTTTCCGGAATACCGAGATGACCACAAGAGAAGTAAATGAGAAATTAGACCGCCACTTTGTTCGCTGATTTTTAGTTCAACCCTTCTTAATTAAATGTGCTCTTGCTTTTTTTATTGTCCAGGGACTTGGAGTTTTGGTACCAGTTCTCCGTCGTATAACATTCCAAGAGCTGACGTTGAGCCAATCATTAGATCGGATTTGTTGCCTTCTGTGACGGCCAACCCTTCAAAGCTTGAGGTTAGAATGCAACTCAAAGAGAAGATATAGAGGTCGATTAAAGTTGATAAAATATGATGAATAGGTGTTTCAAGTGTTATACTTTTTACCCCTCAGCAAGACTTGTAGCTTCAGTCGGTGAAGTTTTGCACAATATGTTTATAAAGGGCTGTATCCTCTTAGCAATTCACCTTTGATTTAAGCCTTGAGAGCGCACCTTGTAAACGCTCTTTGCTGTTTTCGTTTCTTTATAGGAAAGGTTGATGAAATGTCAGGCTGAGAGGGACGACGCAGAACAGCGCTGTAAGAGGCTGATGCAGTCAATAGCAAGTGCTGCTGAGGTATGAAGCTCAAATATGAAGTGTCAGGTATTTATCCAGCAATAAATATTGAAATAGTTACGTAATGTAGTGGGCTTCAAGCTTGCGAAAAGTGAAGGTGTTTAAATGCTTGGGAAAGCACTTGATCGTTGTTAAATAGGGAATGTAGGCAGTCCTTTTTAAGCGCGGGAAAATACTCCAAAACGGAGTTAAAATTATATCGTCTCTTTATCTACTGTTGGGTAGTTAGGAGGCTTGCGCGTTCTGATTGGTTAAAGCAGGTTGCAGCCGTTGCCGATAAGTAGGTTTCTTCCGATAAATTAAAGATTAGCTTTCTTAACCTAATTGAGCATGAGTTAATCAACAAAGGCAACGAATTAACATGAACATCTGGAACGCCTGGAACAGGCTAGCCTTTTTGCCTACCAATAATTGTTATTAACATGACATGTTTCAGGCCCACGAAAAAGAGGTCACAAGGTTACAGCAAGAGATAGATATTGCACGAGAACAAAAGGAGATCGCCTTAAAACGGGTCAGGAACTCTCACGTTACACAACTGGCAATAAACTGTTCGTATGTCAGCAAATGATGTGACGGAATTTGCTTTGTTTACCTTTTCCATCTAAATGATAACCCTCCTTTTCTCTGATCCTTCTCTTCTTGCTCTCAATCTACCATTGTTTTCTTTCGACTGACGACCATTTTCAAGACCTCAACAACAAATCACATCACCCTTACTTATATCCATTAGGCCTTGACTGGAACTTAACTTTTACTTGGAGCCTTTTATTTCAACAGTGCGAAGCTACATATGTCAACAAAATGGCTAAAATCCGACAAGAAACGGAATCGGCTCTTCAAGAGGTTAGTTGCTGCGCACGAAATCTTAACCTGTATCACGCACTAGGTACTTTTTTGACACAGTGCTTATTCTGAAACGCTGCATGTGTTAAGTGGAACACCTGCTAATTGTTTCCTGTCGTTTGGCGAGTAGCCCTCAGTATATCTTTGTTCGTCGAAGCTTTGTCGTGTGGTAAAATCTACACTAGGTGTATAAGTGACGCATTTTTATTATGAATTTCTCAATATCAAACGATTATGCAAAAACTCATTAGGCCCCCAAATTAGCGGTGTCCAACCTGACTCTTTTAAATTGATTGATTTATTAAATTAATTGATTTATCTTTGTATATTCAAGGCCAGCGCGCGGCTTAAACAAGCGGAGAAGGACCGGGCCGAGGTACTTCACATGCAAAACAATTTCAGGCTAACGTGGGTCCCGGATGAGGTGAGGATGGGATTTTTAAAACCAATAAAAGTTCTTCTGTGATTGAGATTCACCTTGAAAAGCTTTTTCTTTTCTTCTTTTTTTTCCTGCAGCTTGTTAATTACTGTTCAAACAGCAAGTGTCGAGCCCCCTTCACACAGGTGAGTTAAATGTGATACATCTGTACCTCTATTTGATTTTAGCAGCTCATTCTCGTTCCCAGATTACCTGGTGATCAGAAGAACCAAGGTCCCGGGGACGAGAATTGTAGCAGCTCAGTTTCGTGCGCATGCGTAAAATAGTTACCTTTGGTACCGTCATCCTTTGTATACACTCGTGATCAAATACAAAGATTAAAGATTTGGAGCATATTTCTTCAGCCTGGAACAAAGTTTGCGTCTTTTGACTTGGGGATGTCCGTAAAGAGAAGTGTCTTTTTTTTTTTTGAGCTGAAAGTACTTGTAACGTTTTTCTTAAGGATCGTTATTAAAATTAAAAAAATGTATATTATAATTCAAAGAATTTAGCTATAACAATCAAGCGCAAGCATTACAATATCAATGTTTATTATTATTTTCTCAATATAACTTAATTTGTAATTTAGGTTGGAGAGGGAAGCCAATAGATAGAGTGGACTCTCAAAATAAAATGAATGAAGTAAATTAGCCTGAATGTACATGTAACTTTGGTCCTATTCCCATAGACAAGGAGACGTCATCATTGTCGATGCTGTGGTCGAGTATTCTGTCACAACTGCACAGATCAATCAACACCGTGAGTTTAATATTGCTCTCATCTACTTTAACAAGAAAATCGCATACAGTAACACTGCCTGCTTCCTTTCCCCTCCCCACCGGACCTTTACGGATTTCTTAGCTGTACCTCGTCTTCTAACATTTTTCCTGGTTTGTATGAAACAAAGAAACAAACTAACTACAGTAACAAAAAACGAAAAAAAAAACGGCCCACACTATGAAGGCTTAGTTCGAGACAGTAGTTGTGTCAGCTCAGTTAGCTAATCAAATAGCAAGATTATGTTACGATAGCGTATACGTACGCTTTGTTCTTGTTGGCAATCATGGACCTGTTTGATTTTCAAGTTTTTTTTTTCTCTGTTATTTTTCAGAATTCCAGCCTTTGGATACGTACAACTTGTCCGAGTGTGTAATCCTTGCTTTGCTTTGATAGACGATATGTTCTGTGAGGAACCCGTTGTTTTAACTGACACATGACAGATGTTGCTGGCGGAAAAGTGGTGTCCTGTCTGGCTATTACCATGAAGTTCGCTTCAAAGACTTCCCACCGTGACAGAAGTGATTAACACTGTCACGGCCTCTTACCGCGACCATACGAAACGTTGCCCAGTTGTGCGACCTTACCGAGTGAAACATTAACCCTCTACACCCTGACATCAACATGGATATTCTCCATGTTGTTCTCCATACATTTCCTAAGGTGCTAACAAGGAGAATCTGGTTAACAATCAAGAGTTTCTTTAGTTCGGGATCATTTCCTTATTCTCCCTACCTTATTGTTTGATTCAGGGGTGATATGGTATGGGGAAATTAAATACTAATCACTCTTAGGAGCTTAAGGGTTAACAGCGTCTGATTCTTATGTTACCCAGTACAGACCCTCAAAAGATATTTGCGTTGTATTATATATCAGAGTTCTTACTTTGCAATAAGAATGGGTTGAACCAAAGAACAGATTTAATATATGTTACTTTAAGATGGAGCTATTATCAAATTCGCAGATTCAATTGTAAATAGGGTTCGAGATACACAAGCGTGCACCTCCCGAGGAAACTATGACAAAATGCGTGGATTGGGTTTGTTCATATATCGTTTAATGTTTTAAATCCCTCATTGCGAAATTTACTTGGTGATTGAATTAATTAAAGCTAAATTTTTTTAATTCCTGATTTGAGTGGTTCTCAGCCATCCCATTACAACATATCACATTATTAAAGTATTTTTTAGGGGGAAAGTTTTCAACGTTTCAACTCTCCATGGTTTCCTTTCTACAACAGCCGTCCGTGTTGCTCTAGGCTAGTCTCCCGCTGTTTCACATTCGCAGAGTGGATCGGCTTAAACCGGCTTTCCCCAAAGTATTTTGAATATTACGTCGAGAGTTCTCAGTACCTATTTGGTGTCAAGTTTGATCTGAGTTTCCCGTTAACTTTTAATCAAGTGATGTTCGTTTTGACCCTCGTCCTGTTATCAACGGCAGAAGAACTGAATTCGTGTGGACCGCACGAAAGTGTCAAAGTTATACCCCATCGTTGATGAGTTAAGACTCGTGCAAGTTGCACCGAGCACACAATGTCAATCTTCATGGGAAAACAAACAAACGAGCAAACAAACAAACTCGAGTTCACTGAAAGAGGAAAATAAGAAAGAGAAAAATAGGTGGTCGTCGAATGAAATGCTCAACGAATGAGATGAGACGAGATATTTGCCTCTCGGTTATGACTCACTGACCCAGGCAGATCAGCTTAATCCATACTTCATGACCCGAGGCTAAGTTCTACCCAGTCCTGCCCCTCCCACTCGGTCAGTAAGTTCTTAAAATTTAAAGGACTTCTTAACGATTGTATGTTGTTAACAAAGTCCTCATTTAACACACTGGTTTATTCGCGTATTATCTTTTTCTGTTGAAGGACAAAGCCACATTTCAGGCTAAAGCCAAGACCGTTTCTCGACACAGTGTCTACAAATTAACTTAAAGTTCGATAAGACACCTCTCCCTGGATTCAAATAAGTCCAGCAACTCCTCTATTTATCTTGTACATCGCCAAGCCTCCACTCTCAAATAAAATGTGCACTGAAAACCGAAAACGGGGAGAAATAATTGCGGTAAGAGCGTGAGCGATTTTGCTTAACATAATGGTTCATTTCCGCGCGGTCCATTCTTCGCGTGACCTACTTCGGTGATGTCATGAACGGACTTTTCACGGCCTAGGACTGGTTACAACTGGACTAAAACAAGAACACGGCAGGCGTGACGATAAAATAGAGGAAACGGAGAAATCATAGACGGTCATCGCTTGATTAGATCGCTGACTTTGGATAATTCTTCATTCACAATGTTTTTCTTAAGCTAGTCTTCATCCCAGTTAGGATTATCTTTTGGTTTTGGTCCTCCAGCTGGTTTAGACATGATTATCTGGAATAAAAACAGAAAAAAAAGGACTTAAAGTTTATTAAGTAACTAACGAGATAATAAATATACTCTCTACGAAGCCTACTACAGGTAACCAAGCTTTACTGCTCTTTGAACACAAAAAGATTTGGGACAGTATCATATGCGTATGCAGAATGCCTTGATACCTGGTCAACTCTCAGCACCGTTACGGCTGCATCTGTAGCAAACTTAAGCGCCCAGTACTTCACAAGATACAAGTCGAGGATTCCCGCTTTCACAGCATCTTTAATTGCCGCGCCTCCACTCTGAAAACAAAATAATGACAATAACAACTCATAAACGACAAAGAGACAACACATAACACTTAAAGCATTGTGTCTCCCCATTTGACATTTTGCATGCCAAATCAACTCTGATACCAGGCCCTACCTCGTTGTCAAATCCCGCGTTCTTATCCCCAGCCTGATGGGCTGCGTACAGTTTGGAAATCACCTCCGTGGCTTTAACGCCAGCATTTTCGGCGAGGGTCTTGGGAATGACCTCCAGGGAGTCGGCAAAGCTCTTAATGGCATATTGTTCTAGGCCTGCACAGGTCTGTGTGAAAAGATTTAAATGCAATTAGCCAAAGAAGCCAAGAATTCTCTCCTTATGGATACTTCTTCAAACAACCTACGAGGACTGTTTTTCTTCCCTACTGATCTTACGATAGATAAGCAGACAGACAGACAGACAGACACACGGAGGGACGGACAGATAGATCATCAGACAGACCGACAGATACACAGATAGAAAGACCTCAGAGAGACAAATTGGCAGACAGACAGGTACGCAGACAGATAGAAGACGATCAGAAAGACACGAAAAACAGACCGAAAAACAGACAGAAAGACAAGCAGACAGATAACGGATAGATATATAGACAGACAAACGGACAGACAGATCGACAGATAGGAAAACAAAGTTCATCAAAAAGAAAACGAGTAAAAGAAAAAACCCAACAATCAAACAAACAGCACCCCAGAAACAAACATAATAAATCAAGGTTTTTCCAATATGTGTCTGAGAATGATGCATATACTTGAAAGGAATTTCCCCCTTGTTCTCAACATACCTCTCCAAAGCTAGATATCTGTTTTGCGAGTTCTATTTCAGTAGCACCAGCACCAGGTACAAAGCGATCATCCCGTGTCAGTGCTTTGAAAGTGTTCACACCATCGTCAATAGCCCGCTCAATGTCATCCATGATGTTCTCAGTTGAACCGCGAATAACTACAGTAGACACGGCCGTCTCCTCGCGCTCTTAAAGCAGAGAAAAAAAATCAAGAAATAAAAATCAAATAGATTGCATCGTGGAAATTTTGCTGATTGCAACTGTGAGACTTTTGAGGAAAGTGAACCGAAAACTGTTGGACAGGTATTTAAAAGCTCTAGATAACTTTTCAGTCAGAAAATGACGTCCAGTCACAACATTTTACCTTGTTTGAAGATTGTAACAGAGGTACCACCAATCTCTGCCACCTTGATTTCGTCGCAGTAACCTATCTCCTCTGACGTTGGGGTAGTCTGGTGGAAAAGAGAGTACAACCTTAAATAAACAATGTTAAAACTATAGATTCCAATCCTTCCCATTCGATTACCGACTGAACTAAAATGTTTTCTCTGGTAAAAGTGAAGAACAGTTTCCTTGAGAAGACTGTCGATAGGTTTTTACCAAAGCATAGGCCAGCTGTTGGTCAACTCTCGATGAGGTTTCGGTTATTCTTCGGTAGGTTTTCGTTAAAAGAGCAACACTCTCCGTTAGACATATTATCAGTTATTACTTTAGAACTGCACTCAAGTTGTTCGAGGTGAAGCACATGCTGAATGACATACTAAAGTGATACTGTTTGATGCTCACCTGACATACACTTAAATTAAAGATTACCCCACGTTTAAATGTTCAAACAAACAAAGACATCCTCCATTAATCCAGGTGTTCAATAAAGCAATATATCAATAGTCAAATTGCAGAAATCGGATACTCACAAACTTCGGAAGTATTGTTGCACCAACAGACCGACAAAGTCTCCTCAAGTCAAACTTTGAAGTTAACCTGGGAGAAAGCAATTTCAATATGATATCACAGGATTTCTAGTCATCTAGAGTTTAACATACAGGAATCTTGGACAAGGAAATTTCAATTCAAAAAAAACTTTAACAAGACAATGTTGTAGAAAAGGTAAACTAACCTAACTACTAAAATATTAAACTTGTTACAAAAGTGTAGGGCCATCTCAGCCACTTTTCCTCCAGTTACAATGCAGTTAACACCAGTATCAACAATGGCCTTGATTTGCTGAAATCAAAGAGAACATTTTCTAGGACAAAAGCAAGGAAAACAGCAGACTGCTTAAGCACTAAATTGCTAAAAATTTTTGTAGTTTCTGGTTGCTTGCTATTAACATGAAATTACTTAACCCTTTGACCCACAAGAGTGACCAGCATCTAACTTCTCCTAACAATATCAGCCCTGAATCACACATTTCAGTCACAAGAAAAAAGGAAACAATCACCAACTAAAGAACCTCTTGATTGATGAATAAATTCTCCTTACCAGCAGCTTACGAAATATATGGAGAACAGTATGGAGAATATGCATACTGATGTTAGGGTGTAAAGGGTTAAATAGCATCAGGTTTGGAGTAAAGGTCCAAAAGTGTTAGGTGAAGAGTCCCCCAATTGTCTTTCTAAATAGAAAAGCAAATTCCTCCCAGGTTTGCCTCAAGAGGTTCAGAACAAACTCAAGATAGAGAGATGCATGTTGATTAAAGGAAGCTAGCTGACCTTTTCAAGTTGTTCTTCCTCTCCTTTGCTGAAGCTCTTTAGTTCTTCTGCATTTCTGATGAGGACTGTACCCTGAAACACATTCATACAATCAATGATGTACAACTAAATATAAAGTACTGTAACATCATTAAAAATTAAAAAAAGCATATTTTTATAAAAATTATCATATATGCTGATGCAAGGCCATCCTATGCTTAGGAATTTAGTAAAAACAACATTAGACACAAACATTTGGGTTTAATTCAAGTTTTTACCTCTGTCTTTATCCACTTAAGTTTACATTTTAATTTTCTAACCACTTCATCTTTCCTCTTCCCACTATAATTTACATGTGAGTCAAATCACTAGGCACTCAACCAACCTTTGTTTCTGTTGTCATGGCATCCAATGGACAAGAAAAGGCTACAATTTTAGCATTCTGAAGTGAGTTAATATCACCCTCAACCTCACGTTTGAACACCATTCCTTGAACAACTTCTGAACTATGAAGACCTGAACCCTGTAACAGACAAAATATGACAAGAAAAAGATTTGTTGTGTGCTGATGCTATTGGGAACCTGATTATATTTCTGAAGCTTGCAAAATACAATGAAAATATATTGATTGCAAGGTTTGCTTTAAACGATTTTCTTTCTAATATACATGTACAGGAACAAGTAACTCCAAAAATTAATTGTCAAACAATTATTTAAATTTGTCAGGATCATAGAGCATCCATAAGACTTGTGAATCTTACCAAAATTTTTGCCACTCTCACATTATCCACATTAAAAGGAGTTTTCTCTGGTAATACAGAGACTAGAAAGAAGAAAAGAAGAAAATCAGAAATAAACATTGGAGGTCAAGATACACACACTGTCTGTGTTTAGCACTGGCCATATCTCATATATACATACAGAAGTTCAGCTGTAAGATACCAAGATAATGATTATCATTACGATCACCTACCACATGCTTCTGTGATAATTTTTGCCAAGAAATCTTCATTTCCATACTGAGAAAAGAGAGAGTATCCAGTGACTTTCAGATAAAAATGCCTTCATTAATACAGGGGTTTCAATAACTTTTTCCAAAAGCAGCTGCTGACAATGTAATAGGCAGCTGTGCTCAGAAGGTGAAACCCAAACATGAGAGCCTCCTTACAGACTAAATAGACAGCAGTAAGAGGCCTATCGGCTCCAGTAGACTGCTGGTAATCAGCTTTGATTGAATGGTTTGAACTGTTCCTCGTCTTAACCTCAGCAAGCACAGTATAATTTGGAATTTTTTTGACCAACTCATACCTGTTTACTTCCCACTGCAGTTTTGAGAGCTTTGATGACTTCCTCTTTATCCCTCATATCAGATAAACCCGAGCAACTCAGTTCTACAGAAGAGTAAATTCCTCATAAACCTCCTCCTACTTTATTACAGGAATTTGCCTTGTACCAGTTGGGGTTCAAATATGTTATTAACAAGGAATTTTCCAAACTGGTTACATTTTTACTTTCTTTAATTTCAGTTTAAGATCAGGAATGAGAAATGAGAAAATAAAAATAAAACTGATTTGAAATCAAGTAAAAAAAAAATTGAAACAAACTCAACCACTACAGAGGTGTAAGAAAATGGAAATAAGATCTCACTAGTTATAAAACTGGATAACAGTACACAGTGAGTGGATCAATTTTTCATAGCTACACGAACATAGGAGAATGCAGCTTATATTGCCATATATTGTGTACTGGCATTGACTCTTGCTTCTTCGTGGCAGGAGTTTTGTCAAAAGCTTTTGCCTATTTTGCAAAGCTCAGATGCTTAATTCAAAAGGTAATGAAGCCTTCCCCATAAGGAAATGCATTCTTCACTGAAAAGCATACTTTAAGTTCAAGCTAATATCATCATCCATCAGAAGATTTTAACCAAAAATGGCATAAAACTATCAATTTTACCAGGTAATGGAATCTCCAGGGCAAACGGAAAAAGGGACACCCAAACAGCACTTAGCAGCCAGATTTTCAGGCTGAGATGAAGAAGTGGGGCTGTACATGGACTCAAAAGGCTAGCCCAGGACAAGATGGAGAGGGAAATTGTTAAGGGCCATCCTCCATGAAGAGCTAAGGGCATAACTGATAACTATAAAATTATTAATAATACCTGGTAATATCTCTAAAGCCTTTTTACAAGCCTTTTCATAGCCTTGAATCACCTCAGGAGGAGAGAGACCCTACAGAGACCAAAACAAATTTGAACCATGTTGTATCTGAAACATCACTGTGACACTTCAACTAAACAATCACATTTGGCAATTTTCTGAATAATTCCAAATTAAAGTTAATCAAAATAATAATGAAGTGTTGCTAAATGTAGGTGTTGGAAATTATTTCATGGCTTAATGCATTACTATACTGTTATTCGTAAAAATTTGTGACCCCTGAATTTCTACTTCTCAAAACATTAAGGTTTGATTATTTAGACAAAGTTTACAGCCATTGTTTAACAAAACTGTGTCCTACACAATCCTCGATTAGGCTAAACCTTTAATCTGAACATTAAGTTTTGTTAACAGTGTCAAGAGGGCAGAAAGCTAACAGTAGGAGATTTACTTGCCTAATTCAACCCTCTTATAGAGAAAGCCTGTGGCCCTCTAATTTTGAAAACCACAGTGGTTTGGGTTAGACCTCACATAAATAACCAGCACTAAGTTGCTTAGTAAGCAAATTTGGCAAACAAAAGTGTCCCTAAGGCAGCTACAGATTTTCCAACTTTCAAATTATACCAGTAGCTACTTAACAGGCAAAATTCAAGGCAATCATTACCATTCTCAGGAGCTCTTCTGCAGCATCAAGAAGAGCACCAGCAAAGACTAACACAAAGTTTGTTCCATCTCCAACCTAAACATATAGCCATAGAACAAAAAGGGAGATAACAAGTTTTCACAACAATTTGGCTAAAATCACAGACAACCTAGAAGATATGTTACAATGCACCTCCTTTTTATCATCATAGGACAGCAAGCTTGTTACCAAATAAACAGAGATTTGAGAGGCATTCCCTAAACTATTGCATCTTATACAAGTTTATTGTAATTATGCCCAGGAAAGCAATGGCCTAAGGGTTGTATCTCCAAGAGCACACCTAGAAAACTTTTTTCGAGAACACCACAGCAATGATATCAGTTTAATGGAACAACTTCAATCCAAGCCTTTGGCAATTAAGGACCCCTACCAAAATTTTTCCAATTTTAGCACTGCATGCCTTCCTCTGCTTTAAACTCAATTCTTATTACCTCCTGTTCTTGCATCTGTGAAGCTAGCACTAACATCTTTGCTGCTGGATGTTGAACCTGGAGAAAAATTGAACCATCAACATACACAAAGACTGTACTTATTACAGGATTGATTATCAGGACTCCATTTAAATGTTCTCTGTGTTTGTCTACATAATGTGTGTCTAAAAATGGGGGCGTTCAATGCTGACAGGCCTTCCTTATACAAGTTTCCACTTTGTTTTCAAGAACAGAAGCAAAAATAAACAATATGAGGTACTTTAAAATTCAAAACAGATAAAAATCTAGTCCACAAGGTGGTCACCACACCAGAACTTTTGGCCCCCAACAAAAAAGTGTTTGTTGCAGTGGCACCTGTATCAGGGTCCAATCTTAAGCCCTGGTCTGCTACCTGTTTGTTGACATTTCAAAGTTAATGAGTTCACTTAGAATTCTTGTTTGTTTGTTTGTTTAGGGCCTGATCAAGAAGTGCCAACTCAAAATCTTTAATTTCAATGATTCTTTCATACTTTACCTCCAATTCTTTTATTATTGTAGCAGCATCATTTGTCACAAATAGTTTTTCCAAATGATTCACAACCATTTTATTCATACCTTGGAAGAAAATTGCAGAAGGATTACTTTCAATAATTAATCTAATAACCAGAGTACCTGATGAGATAACATTTGTAATTAACACTTTAACCCCTGAGAGTGACCAGCATCTAACTTCTTACAGCAGCAGCGCCCCTGAACCATACATGAGGGTCATGAGAATAAAGGGAATGATCACCACATAACGCTCACCTACCTAACACTACCTTGACTAAATTTTTAGGTCTTGAAGTGAGGATATCATTTATGCCCTACAAGATTACTCTGGAATTTGACTGATTGCCAAGTTAGCATGGTAAGGCATTTTGGGTATTAATTTGTATCTTATCACTAATCAGTCTAAGCTATCAAAGACATCACACTTACCATTAGGTCCTAATGACGATCTTGTTATCTGGGTGAACTGGCGGCAGGCTGTAATGTTTCTGAAAACTGCTTCATCAAGACCTGAATAGTGCTGAAAATTTATTTGAAACCTTTTTAGTGAGGAGATACAGAGATAAATATATTTTCAAGCATTGATTATTTAAGCAAAAGCTCTGTCATTACCACCTCATTCAAAACAAATACAGACAATAGTTGCTACTACAACCAATCTAGCAACTTTTTGCAATTATGTAAGGAAAAATATCTCTCAAGTGTAACACTTATTGCAATGTGCATCTATTGTAAGAGTCACATTGCAATAAATATAAAATGAAATAACACCAATTTTTTTTTCTCCTCGAGGTAATTATGTCCTGGTCACAACATATAATAAATTCAGCATAAGGCCTTTTGTATCTTTCAGTAACCCTCACAACTTCTGAATATGTTGTTTAATAGTCTTTACACATGTGTGTGGCACAATTTGAGGGTAAATCCCCCCTACCCTCCCCTTTCTATCCAATATGCAACTATCACAACTTGGGATTAAAGAACATAGCTGAAACTAACATAAACGTTGTTACAATTTCTAAACTAATTTAAGCTTAAAGGATTATTCTTTGACCACATAAAGTGCAAGGCAAAAGACAGTCAGGTAGAGAAACACCTCCCTTCAACTACTGTGCTCTAACAAATTTGGATACCATGCAAAGATGGGCAACAAACTTTAGGTCTTTGGGTGTCTAGGAAAACTTTAAGATTGGGAGAAATTTTCAGAGCTGGGAGCCTTGGTTATCCGGACGGAGGCCTAAGCAACCTTACGATTCCAATAGGAGAGGAGCTTTACTTGTGCATGTACAGGAACGTACGACTTTCTAAAAGAATCATTTGCGACGTCAGTCTATCGGGTCGAGCGCTTAAAATTTAATTCGATGATTTAGCAAAAATAAATTATCGAGACTCGTAAAAAGAAGGAAAGAGCTTGATGACTAAAAGGCGTTTCAAGAAAAACTACAATTTCCTCGAAGTCGAAAATTTGACAAATCCTGTGGCACGTGCCAACCGGCTCTGCCATTCAATTGGGTACAGATCCCTCATAAATTGAATTTTTTTAACCAAAAATGCCGCAACGTAGATGTAGCAATGAAAAATAGCTTTGCTTCTAACTATCATAAAACTAGAAATACCTTTGCTCCTTCCTTGAGCATGTGTTGGAACATCGTTTTTGGTACTGGGAGCGCCATGTTGAAAGTTTCTACTTGCCTCTCTGCGTGACGCGAAAAGGATCCTGGGTAATAATAGTGCCAGGCTCTCGCTTCCAAAAAAATACTTCAGTAACGTTGGTAACACGCTGCGCGCTGAAACACAGGCAGCCCAAGCACCAGCTGTGAGATCATCAAGTCCTTCTCTTATGAGTAGTAAACCTAAAATGGATAACTCGCTAAAATGGCCTCTTTTCAACATAGTAAGCGGTCAAAAAACAAGCACTCTGAAAGCAAGGTGAGGTATTTATTGAGAATTTGACTGTGTTTTTACTTCCTAAAAGCAGTCGTAAATATTCCCATACAAACCCTAATATTTTCGCCAAGACTTCTTATTTCGCAGGATGATCAGTTCACAGCTTGAGCTTGGGTGGTCTGTGGCTAGAATAACTTCCGCACTTTCTTACAAACTTTGTATAACCGTCAGTTACGGAGAAAAACAATCGGAATAAAACACCGTGATTTTTAGCAGGTGACATCAGGGGAAAATAAGGCCATTTTCATCCTTCATTTGCTTTAGGTGGCTTTACTGAACCTCTCATAAACAATCAAAAGCCCTGTTTTTCACTCGCAGATTTACAAAGATTTATAATCATTAACTAGAGGGTAATCACACGGTATAACCGTCCCAAGATGACCTAAGCACATGAAGGTGAAAGTTGCCACATTGAGCATTTGTCAGTAAACGAAGTGGTACCGTGTGAACATTTTTCTTCACTAAGGAATCATGAATATGAAAAAAAACATTTTGTTTCCCTCGCGCGGTTAAGCGCGGTAGGCCAGACTCGACCAGAAACTCCGTAATAATGTCTTAACGATTTTTCTTCCGCTCATCGCTAAAAAGATTAATGTAAAATTCGTAATTACGAAAATTTGCCTTTAGAGAAATATGGAATAAAGCCTGAAATACAGGCAACAAAGTGGAAGGATTGGCATGTCGTGTTATCAATCACAAATGGAGGTTTTAATTATTCAATCACAAAATTCTTCCTCTTCGTTTGGTTGGCTATAACTTTCAGTTCTCCTTCACTTTTTAGGGTCAGTTGTTTCCGTTGTCTCGAGATAAGACGTTTTCAAAATATATACTAGCTTGATATTCTAGTGCTGTCAGAAAATGAGAAATGGGCGAGTGTATTGAATAATTAATTCGCGTCGATGTAAAATTTTAACCACAAAGGAAAATATTGATGTCCCTGACACGGTCAGTTAGCTCGAAGGAAAGACATTTTTATGAATCGATAAGAAGGGATATTATCAACCTCATTAATGAAGTTCAAAGTCTACGGAATTGAAATTTTTTTTTACGATTGTTCATAAAAAATTTTAAAAAAATGTGGTACGAGAGTTGTTGCAAAAAACATTCATATTCATCAAAATAAATAAATTGAACGTAAAATACAATATAGAACTAAATGAAAAGGGGTCAAATTTCCATTTGAAAAACATTCAAGAAAATCATTATTGTTTCAGAGGTGATTCAAGATATATTTTGGGGTTACTGGGTGACGAATAGGATTATATCAGAGCCGAGCAGAAAGAAAAAAAAAGGAAAGAAAAAAATCCCAAATAAGAAAAGCACCTGTCTTTTTTCAAAGTGCGATAAGATAAAGGATGCAACAGGTGGTAGCTCACAGTTTTAGCTCGTTTCTTCAGTGTTTCATCATTGGGGCAATCATCCGGAATAAAACAATCCTTCGGTCTATTGTTTTAAAATGCGGTTGCTGCAACAAATATATTTTGATCTGCTTGATTTCATGGCTCTTTCAACCTTCGAGCTGGTGTCATGCAAAAAGACCAAGCTGATTTATTTTCCGTTTTTTTCTTGACGAGTAGAAGTTGAAATAAAAAGTTGATTTTTTCCATGAATGGAGAAATAAATCAGGATCTTCGAAATTAAGTAGCCAAGAGCCGGCGGTTTTATTGAGTAGTCAGAGATGAACAAAGGCTTGCATGAAATTACGTGACGTGTCACTTCCCCTTTTCTCGTTGCGCGACTCTTCATCCGGGAGACCTCGTCACCCATTGAAATGAACAAAAGGAGCCAACCTGATGCGTGTCAGGTGGTCACACAAGCCCCACCCCTTGTCACGACATGCAATGTAAATAGGGCTAATCTGCGCTGTACATTAGGAAACACTTTGCATGTTGGAAAAGGACGTGGAAGTCGGTTATAAAGGGAACTGATCTCATTGTTTTTGGGTGGGAACTGAGTTATCAATATGCCTCACTCGAAAGCGCAAAAACAGAAAGTTCGAGTTAGCATGAGCGAAGACACTTGTTCCGACCACGAGGAGGCGGAAAGAGAACATTTCATCGCGTGTTGTCTGCCAAAAGGATGTCCTTTAAAAACTTCAGTCGATTTGCCGACCTCGGTTCGGGTTATTTGCAACAACGACGCTTGCCGACAGAGCGGCTATATGCATAGTGAGTGTTTTGACGACTTCGAGGAAGAAATTCTTGCGTATTTACGAGGAACAGGTCGAGCACGTAGCTGGTCGGAGAAGCAGAGACGCCAAAACATATGGACAAAGAAAGGCTATGACTTGGCTTACAAGTGCTGCGCTTGCCAATGCGGAAAAGGGCATTTGCGAAAGGACCTTGAATTTGTGCCTCCGAAGCCCGAAGAAGTAGGAGAACTTCAACTACAACACCAGACAAAAGGCAAAAGAAAGAAGAAGAAGAATAATGAGAAACCTTCGGTGAACGTCGTTTCAACGTCGATTCGTCCTCGTAGAAGCTCTCAGTCGTCAAACTGTAGCCAGTTATCGGAATCGCCACCGGAGCGATCGCCGATTTCACCGCAGCCGAAAACACCAACGAAGAAGACAAGAGCAAATTCGCATGAAAATACTTACCACTTCTTCGGCGAGGCGTTCAATCATGGCGCCAATCATTCGAACACACTTTCTTCGCACGCGAACGTATTGAGTACCTTTTTGAAAAGAGCAGATTTTAGCTCGTTTCAAGGCGTTTTACCCAGGCACAAAGTCAACCCTTATCACATTAAAATGGAAGACGAGATGAACGACGAAGCGCGTCATTTTGTCCTATCGAATTTGTCGTCTCGCATGACGTGCACTGCGAGCTGCGTGCTCTGTTGTCGGGAGCTACCAGTTTTCGACAGATATCCACTTATCGACGGAACATTTTTCCTGACACCGAGACAACTCAACTCGAGCTGCGTAGACGTGTCACAGAACGGTAAAGCGCAGTACCTCTCTGCTGTGTGTCTGCACTGTTTGGAAGGTATTCCCAATCGTGTTAAGTGTAAACTTTGCAACACAGAGTGGGATGGATCCTCTCATCAGCTGGGCACCATGTACTGTTACGATATATTTGCTGCATCTCCATGTTGTCAGCAGAGAGTGGCCTGTCATTCTTGTGGAAAACCTGTTGTGGATCTAAGCGAGGGCAAGAAATTCTTCTGGGAGTACTCACAGGCAATGAAGTGCCCCCATTGTGGAGTGTCAGGTTTTCATTGTATAAAGGCTATTTCGTACTACGAACCACCGGATCCAATACGGTAGTCAGAAATGTGTACAATTGTTACAATTAAACACCGTGTTGCGAACAAACCGGATTATTTGATGTTGTGAGTGGCCATGGATTAGGTGTGGCTATGGTCTTCAATAATAAAAAAGCAGCACCCATCCTTGAATGAGAAAAGAAGCAAACACATTGTGAGTTTGATGATTAACTCTCAAACTCGGAAATAGCAATTGACATCTGTTTATTTCAAAAGAACAATGGTTTATCATTCCTGTATTGTTGTATTGATGCCAAATTGTGAGGAATGAGGAAGTACATCATTACTGCTCATAAATGCTTGATGCATTTTTAAAAATGTTTTCACAGAGTACAATGGAGAACTAAGTCAACCATACTTGACAGTAGGCAGGCAGAACTGTCTGTATCACCCTTCCCTGGGTGAAATGTGTCTAATGCGCAGAAGCTGTCAGTTTGTTCTTCAGGCTATTACTTCTAACAATGCTTTATGCTGAGAACTAATTTAAGTGAAGCTGCTTTCTCCCTAGCTCATTAGAGAATTCCATTTAGAATCTTGGCAAAAAATTGCCAGAATTCTACACAATTATTACAATCATGGAAAGGGTGGCATACGGTCAAAGTTCTTCCTGCAAGCCTGAAATTGGAGGTGTTATAGTTTCAGGGATAAGCATTGATGCAAGTAATGAATGAAAGAGAATAATATTTTAAAAATTGTGGTAAAAAATACCAAATGCCATTTTTAAGTTAAGCTCATGTAACAACTTCCAATTCGAGTTCACCTTTCACCCAAATGAGAGACAGAAATACATGATTGTAATTACAAGTGTATGCTAAATGCACTGTCCAATCTGTGTTAGTTGACGCTAGTAGGCCAGTGATATAAGCACCACAGCATCAACTATGTTTTCTTCCTAGCCTTTCTTTTATTGCTCACCAATCTCATCTGCTATCATGTATGAAAGAAGTTCCAAAGGATCAGCTGATATTAAGACTATTAAAATCCTCAGTCTGGCAGACAAAAGTATATAAAAGTGGTGTCCAGTTCAAAAAATCCTAAAACAGTGACATGAAAAAGCCTATTGAAATTTGTACTACAAATCACACATTTTAATGACAAAAAATTTCTTACATTTCAACTTTAGAGTGGCTTGATGCAAGAGACTTTAAATCAGATCTTTATTCATGTTCAAAATTATTTTGAGTAAATCAAAGTGTAATTTAAATTGTTCAGATGCCAAGGTAGCATTAGGTTTCTCCTTAAAGAGATTTTATGGAACCCTACATGGTAAGTCAGGTGATGCAAGCATAATATGTGTTTCTTCAACTTTTAAAAACAACCATATGAAAACCACGAGGCCTTGGAACTAGGCAACATAAGACTTGACTTCCTTTGATTGTATAGCCTTTGTTTCTTGTTCTTAAATAACATAAAAAATACTCACGGTAATATCTTGTTTATTATCTACTGATAGTCTGTCGTTTTTACAGCTGAAGGATTTTGGAAGAGCACCACACACCATACGCTTTTCAGTCATTGTACTTAAACACCTCATTGTCGGGTGAAGATTGCAAAATTGAACTAATGTATATGTGTATGTGTTTATTTGTTACAAATATTGTAATAATCATTCAAAAATATTCATGCATGAATTAAAACCTTACATTACATTGACACTGATCTCAAGTGTTAAGGAAGATTTTTAGTTTATCAACCAATGACTGTGAAACCAGTTTAATGTGGACCCTGTATTGATGTTTTAAAAACCTCACATCAGTATGCAACTTCTCAATACTGTTCTCTGTACCTTTCTTTTAGTTCTTTCAAGGAGAATCTGTCTAACAACCAAGTTCTTCTTGGTTTGCAATCATTTCCTTTATTCACATGACCTTGATGTTTAATCCAGGGCTTATTTTAATGGAAAAATAAGATGCAAGTTACTCTTAAGGGTCAAAGGGTTACCCATAAGCAAACACTTGCTATCAAACAGAAACTACACCAGATTCTATATTGCTGGTATTTAAACCTCTGACATCTGTAAAAGGAATGGTGGAGAACTGTCAACTCATTACACCCAAACATCAGTATGCATATTATTCATACAGTTCTCCATATATTTCTTGCAGTATTGACATAAACAATTTGTTAAACTGTTAAGAGCTTAGGTTGATTATTTTAAGCCTTACATCCCTAAGAGTGACTAGCATCTAATTTTGCCACCAACATCACCCCTGGATGACATGTAAGGGTCAGTTGAATAATGGAAATGATCACTAACTGAAGAAACTCTTGATTGTTAGACAAATTTTTTTTGTCAGCACCTTAGGAAATGTACAGAGAACAGCATGGAGAATATGACGATCTTCATACTGTAAGTGGAATTAAGGCCATTTAAAAAAAAAAGCTCATCTTTCAAGTTTCACAAAATGCATCACATTTTGTCCAACCAAGACCAGCTTTCCCTTTGCAGTGATATTTCTTAACATTGCATATCCCAATCCTTAGCTATTTAAGAAAGCAAGAAAAACCAGTACTGTCAAAGAAACCAGTGACCTTTTTATTCAACTTCAAAATTAGAGATGAATATCACAATATAGAATATGTTACCTTACAGATCTTTACACTGATTGTTTTTAGTTTTAGAGGCTGAGTGTTTTTAATCTTAGCAGCTGACCTCTTTTTGAGTGTTTTGATTGGACGAACTACACAAAGGCTTATGCTAAAGGTGTGAGAGGAATTGCAAAGAGCTCTGCTTTTCATTTGCGAGACTCTGCTGCCTTGAGTTTCTGCTAGTTATACAGAATTTTGTGCAATGTGCTTGGCAGCCAAAAGTACAAGTTTGACACTAGGTATCTAACTAATAACAAAAGAAATAAACAAAATCTGTGATACACCAAAATACTGCTGATTTTTGCACAATTCACCACTTAATAGTTTGACCAATACAAGCTCCCCTGCCCCTTTACCACAAAATTATGCAATACATATTTTTTTTTTTCAAAACTTCCACAAAACTTTCTGACTCACTTTTAAAATATCCCACAATTTAATCAGCATTGATGTAAAATTATCTTCTCACTCACTGCAATTTATCATCACATACAGCTGCATTTCTACATCACACAAAAGCATAAGTTACAGACATAAATTGAACTTAATGGAAAAACCTCACCTGATAACAAGGCTGCATGATCATGCCATAACATAAGCAATACATATTGAGTCTATAGAACTCAGCACATTCCCCTCTAAACCTGTCTGAAATGTTTAAATTATTTTGCTTCATATATTTAGTGAATACATTAAAGCAAGTTTTCCGAAAGTAAGGGATCAGTTGACAAGTGCCTTGATTCATACATTTTCTTCCTCCAGCATGTCTTCAATTTCTTTTTCCCACTCAGCACTATCCTCATTGTCAACAACTTCAAAATCCTACAAATAACAACAATAAAAACAAAACAAAAACAGAAAAAAATAAGATATAAAACAATAAAGAGATACTGGTAGGTTTTAAAAGCCACAACTGTCAATCAATGTGTGTCATATAGTTTCTTGACAATGAAAAATTAGGTGGCGTATTAAAAGTGGGGGTCCTATGTTTTGCGCACTTTACTTCCAGAGTTCTGTGCAGTGCACTAACATCAATTTTTTCACTTCTTTTGGTTTTTGCTTGCCTAAGGCTGACAGACTTTACCAAAAAGGAGAGACCACTTGTAGTCTAAAAAATTGAGAGACAGGAAAACTTTACAACATAATGCAGTAAGAAATCATCCACAGCAACTAAGGATAACAAAAACACTAACCCTAAACTTGACAGTAGTTTACAAAGCAATATGGTTGCCCACTGCAGCATACATGTACTCTTACAAATGAACCCAAAAAAATTGTTTGGGAAGGAAGGTTGCATATTAGAAATTATAGTCTCAACCTCTTTACTGACATAAACTACTGGTTTCACTTAAAAAGGTTTTCACCTGTAACTCTGCTTGAAGCTCCTTTTCCCATTCTGGAATATCCTCTTGAGTTTCTGAGAAAAACATGACAGACTCAATAAACTTTTCATTCTTGACAAAATTTACATTACTTTGAACCACAGTATACATCCTATAAATAAAAAAAAGTAGGCAACTTACCAGGGGTCGCTGGTTTTGTTCCTTCTGTTGGATTTGATTGATTGTTTTGATCTCCTTCTGGTTTCTTTTCCATTCCAATTTGCCGCAAGTCATCGTGACTGAGTTCTACATGTAGAAAACACCAATTCTTATAACATGCACCAGGCCAACAGAAATTTATTACTATCAATTAACAAATGATTTTAGAGAGAGAGACAAGGGACAAAAGAGAATGCTTAATCATAGAGAAATGAGAATTCTATGAAGTACCTTGTTCTGTTTGTGCAAAGGAATCACTGATGAATTCATTTTGTACAGAGTGCTCATCTGAAATTGGCTCAGAGAAGTCTTCTTCTGGGGTATTCTGTTTTAAAAAATAACTGCATCACTCACACCATAGAGATGCAGAAGCTTCAATTTTTCAAGTAAAAGTCAACACAAGTGAACAATCAAAGGGAAAGTTGTGGAATACAAGACTTACAGGTTTTTCTACATTCTTTCTGGGCACATTGACAGCACCACTTTGACTTGATTCTGCAAAGTTTATGAGACAATAACTGTTCGAGAGGATATTAATGATTACAGGATTAGCCTATATATGCTGAAAAACAATTTACCAACTTAAAGATGAAAGCAGTCTACAAGCTAAGCTTACATTTGTGTAGACGTATATAAGATAACAGTGTTTCAAATTGATCAAAACTCAAGGGCTCCAAAAGAGGCCACAGTTTAAAATACAGTTTAGTTCGGATTTAGTTATTAATTGCCATCAAAGCTTTTCACCAATTTTAAAGTTCTGAGTTCCCCAGTAAGTGCAGATACAAACCTAATACTTGAAAAAAAAAAAATCATTATCAAAACTAACCAGTATCAGACTTTGTTTCTGATGTTGCATTTTGCCTGTCACTGCCATTAGAGCCCCCACCACCTGCCACAAGAGAAACGATACTGAAAAATTAGAAAAATGACAACTTCATTCACAGAAATATTACCAGTCAGATGAACAGAGGGATTTGTAGCAAACTATTTCCATCTTAAAAATTTAGTACCACAACATAGTGAATCATGTAAAAGCAAGAAGGTTCATATTTAACAAATTATTGTTAGTAGTATTATTATTATTATTATCGACATTGTAACTATACCGGCAGCAGCCAATGATGTAAGCTGTGTTGACTGCTTTATAAGTGAAACTCTGTAAAAGTAATTTCTCCAAAATCTCTCCTCTGAAATTCTGTATAAAAAAAGGGAAAAGAAAGATTTAAATTATATGAAGTATGTTTAGAGTTCTCTTTAATGAATCTACTATGAATCAGGTTACCTTTATGTTAAACATTTCCTTCTAAAAGGTCTAAAAGATTCCTTACTTTTTCAGACAAAATTAAAAAAGTAACATTGGGGTTGTTCAGGGCTATGCTCTGACTGCCCCTGTAGCCTCTAGCTTGTTTTTCTTGGACAACTAAGGAATCATAGTTTTTTGATAAAAAGCATATGCTGGGTACCCTTGATTTCACAATTTCAGAGTACTGGGCTCCCAGAGAACAGCCCTGCAGTGTTTGTACAACTGTTCAAGTGCTCATGTTGTATGGGTACATGTAAGTGAAAGTGAATTCGTATTAAAATGATTTTGAACTTGTAATTTGTTTTTTCCTTTGTTCTTGATAATTGATCATTCCTTGATAATTCTTGAGCAAAGAAAAATACAAATCAAACTTGGCCTACTTTGAAATTATTTTGGACTGATTTTGATTTAAACCAAGAGTGTATACATGTATGCACACAATTATTTGAGTCAAGAATGAGAACCTCAAAAGAGGACAGTTTGACCATGACATTTTGGTTGTAAAATAAACAATGAGATTGTAAAATAAGGAAACAAAATTTTGTCATATCAGGGTGGTGATTGTATTTTCAAGACAAAGGTAGTGAAGTGTGCACATACTCACTTTTTAGGTACAAGTTGAAATCTCATTTTACTAAGATTTTTGTCCTCTTGCAAAGTTGCCAAAGCAACAGGATACATCGAGTCACTTTCAAAGTGGAATGGAACACCAGATGGAGGATCTCGCAAAAAGTTTCTTTCATCCTTGAAAGTGAAAATAGTGATTCAAAATAACACCACCACTAACACATTCTACCTAATTCCCTGAGCAGCTTATCTTACTTAATCTTATTGATCATTTTATGCAAAAACTAGTAAGTAAAATGTTTAATACATACAATGTAACAAAGTTAATTTATCAAATATAGAACAATGAAACAGGAAAGCATCGTTAAATATGCATTGCTAGTGACTCACTGTTGAAAGGGCTAAGATTTGATTTTTCATGGTTTCCTCTTCATTGTAGCCTACCCATGGAGGAACTGCAGTCTCTAGAATTATCAGTTGAAACAAAGTGTTTTTTTAGAGGCATCAAGACATTTATTCTAGTAACTATTGTTGTTGTACTTCTTAATGTTCTTTCTGCAAATCACTTATTCATAATGATACACAATGTACTTTTCTGCCTGTAGATAACAAATTTATCATCTTGTGTTGATAATTAATATCTCTCACTCACTTGCTTTGCTCTTGAAGTTAAGTTCAATCAACATGGAGCTATTTAATAATTATAATCTATTTCTTTACAATACCCTGCAGGCTTCTACTTAGTATTTAAATTTATAGTTTTCCCCAGTCTTTACCTCTTCTCTTACAATTCTTTTCCTTCACAAATTCATCTTGTTGCTTCTTGAAATCTCCAATTATTGACTGCAAACAAATAAAATTTGGAAGTTATCTTCTGATGGACTTTAAATAACTGTCATAATATATTTATCATACCAACTGCAATATTTAATAGGGATTTCCAGCCCTGAGAAAAGCCGTTACTGCACACCATAAATTTTCTTGTCTGTTTGATATTGTCAATCAGTTCCTGACTCGTCACTCAGCCTTTCATGCCACTCTGTCAGGTTCACGAATGAATGGCAAAGTGTTCACCATTCTCGATCCAAGGCCTACGGCGTTTATATAACAAAAACAAAATTATACATGGTTGCTTGTAGATATGGGATTTCTCTTCTTGTATTCAACTTCCATATCTATGCTTACCCATATATTAATTTGCTGTGCAAGTGTCGGCATTGTAGACTAACACAGTAACATGTTGATCAACAGTACTTTTTTTCCAACAAACTAATGCAGATGAATGTTTGGGAATTATCTATAACTTCTTTACTAATAAAAAGAAATTAGGCAAGTCACACAAACCTGTTTCTCAACAGTTTCTTTAACAGAGTCCTTCACTTTATAAGCTGTACTAGTGGCAACACTAGCAAAACTGAAAAGAAAGCCTTAAAAAAAAATAAACATTTGTTAGTTTGATTACAACCAAGTAGTCCTTAGCTTTCTTTCTGCTTTTTCTTAGCCATTTCCAAGAAGAATCTCAAGCATTTCTAATGCCAAATTTCCCTTATATTATATTCCCACATTGGACTTGTGTTAGGCTGTTATTCGATTTTGTAATCATTCTGATGATTACAGATCAAATTGGACTCCACTCAGCCATATTACCATAATAGCAGATAATTAAGATCTTGGAGACCAAAAGTAAAGGGCATGATTCAAACCCTGTCTAAAGGCCACCACTACTGTTGAGAAGACACTTATATCGAGATATATAATCTTATCATACATTTTGGTGTATAATATCGCTGGGTATTTTTACAAGTTGTGCTGTATTTTAATGAGCCCACAAGGTGGGTCAAGATATAAACAACAATTAAAAAATACTCAGTGATACTACACTCCAAAATGTCTAATTTGCTATTTATTATCCAACTGCTTTGCTTTACATGCATCTCAGAGAAAAGCAAATTAAATATAAAAGCAGTTTGTGACAGGTAGTAAGTGTGTGACAGTATAAAATAAACCAACTGTCCAAATCGTTTTTCAATAGCAGGATATTTTTTGCCTGATTCGTCTTAGTGCAGTTGGATGTTAAGTGGCACTACTGTAACTGTCTAGATAACCTGATAGATCGCCAGTGTTAATTTTGTTACCTTGCCCTGTACTAGGGAGTAGCAATAGTCTTAGTGTTTTTATACTATGGAAACTAAGATGAGCTGCAGCAGAAGTGGAATTTTAACCTGAAACCTTAAAGCTATTAAGGTTCACTAAGCTATATTTACACAGTGTAGGTTGTTTATCAAACAGCTAACTTGTACTTAAATTAAGCATTAAATAAGGTAATTTTATCAAAAAGTAAAATTTAGCTAAAAAATTCTTAATTCCTGTATCTTCTGACTCAATTTCCCTCTTACAGATACCTTGAATTAGGCAGTTTAAATGATATATTCAACCAACTTAGTTTTTAAATCAATATATTTCGGACCAGAAGCGAAAAACTCGAACGCTTTTGTTTGCATATATACACCCTTATAATCATCATCAACTAATTGAGCTGCGACTTTGAAAAGCAAAATTAAAGTTCGTACTACAGTTACAAATACTTACTTCCTACATTTTTAGCTACGTCCTTTGCATAATCAAGCTCAGACCCTTTTCTTTCTGATTCGTTTGTTGAGACGTCGGGTTTAGAATCATCAGAGCTCTCAACATTTGTTTTCGACTCTCCTTCCACGGGTTTCTCGCTCGTATCACCACCACCTTCGCTTTTTGGAGGCTCCAAAGAGGACCACCAGCTAAACATACTTTTATCTTGATTTTTAACAAACCTATTTCTCTTAGAAGAATACAAACATAGCCTTTTCGTCCATCTTTATCGCCATAATGTTTTCTCGTGACGTCAAATTCCCAATACATATGAGCATGCAATGCTTTGCCAGCTGATTCATTGTAGACTGTATGCGCTCAGCTGTTTTCAAGATGGCGGGCGGTTTTGAAAATATTATTTTGATTTTCTTTAATCTCGAGTTTTCAAAATTGTTCAAAACACACGATATGAGTTTTTGTGAGAAATATTCAGAGAGAAGATCCCGAAATCATGTGGATGGTGCTATGAGATAACAAGTTTTAACACGAAGGTTAAGGTCACCTCTGATCTGAGTGAACTTGTATTGTGTGAGAATCGACAGACTCGGACGACAGAACTTAGAAAATGTTTTCGTCAAGATCTATCTCGTTTTCAGTCAATGTTTTTCAGTGATATGTTTTATGTCTTTCCTTTCGAAAATCGACCGCAAGAGACCATAAAAGTCGTGTGGAACGAAAGAATAAACCCACCTGTCAGAGCGAGAAATTCATCAGGGTTTTACCAGGGTATACCTGCCGACGTTTGTCAACATAAATGATTTAATTGCTTTGTCATCCATGGGCAAATTCCTTTTCGAATGCCTCCACGAGAGCGATCGCCGTTTACTGGAACGAAAATATGGGAAATGGGCCTTTTTTCTTGACAAGAGCGTACTTGGCGTTAGTAACAATTTCAAGTGGTTACTGGGGGTCGTGGGGAAGACCGCAGTTTAGCACTAGTTGGAATAATACGAGAGATTGGAAGAGAGAATTGGCCGATAAGGAAGGTTATTTTACCAACACTTGGGCCGTGGAAATCGACCCTGCAGAAGAACACGTAGTCGCAGCGATTGCGAAAAGACATGGTTTTTCAGTCATAGGAAAGGTTAGTTAAAGTTAATTGGAAGAAAGACTGTGGAATTATTTGTAACAATATTTGCCTGGATGAAGTTAGAACGCAGTTAATATTATGAATTATCCAAACAACACATGGTGGCCGACATGGTTGAGTAAAATCCGTTTTTCTTGTGCATGGGATGTACTTTCCTTTTACACCTAGCAGAGAAGTGGATTAAAAAAAGAAAACTTTAAGTCGCCTTATATTTGCCATTATCACGAGTATTGAATTTCTAAGTACTTTCAAGAGAGATACATTGTCTCATTATACAGACCAATTTTTCAAAAAATGTGGCCATTCCCTTTGGTTGCAATGTGAAAAGGCAATACTGATGTAAAACTGATGATATTTTCTGATCCTTAAATAAATTCCTTGAAATTTTTATGTGTAACATATATGATGCTATCTTTAAAACAGTGAATTGACTTGTGTCAATATTTCAATATAGAAACCAGCTAGAAGACCTAATTTATTGGCACATGTCTTATCAGGCTTTAAAAGCATCTGCCTGCATGCATACTGCCAAATCTTTGAATGTTTTTAAATGTTTTAAATATGTATATAGAAATAATAGTGAAATTAATTTAGATCTTCAAAAACCCTATCTTTCTTATTTGAAAGATTAGTCAAGTTTTGGTGTTCCACATGTGGCCCTTAAATGAGAATGCATTATTTTTAGATTGGAGATCTTCCTGGTCATTATCATCTTAGACATGATGAAGTGGATGAACTTAATAAAGAGCACAACAGAGACAAAACTGATAGATTATTACTTGAGAAAGAGGTTAGTCTCAGAACAAAAGAGTGCGTCAAATCACAAATGTTTGATCTTCTGATTTGAGCAATGACAAGAGTATTAACTGTATTTTTGTGAGCACATTTCTTAATATTTTATTTTACTTTTATGTTAAATTTTAACATCAGCAAGACTTAGAATTTCTTAGGCACCTTTAGCTTGTGGAGGATTGTATGATAGGGGTTGTATTTTCATAGAATAAGTACAATGTCCCAAAAACATCACTGGTGAAAAGGTTGGATGTAACCTATGATCGATATGTATGGAAAAATGCAACATGACATCCAATTGTATCTAAACCAGGTAAAGTGGGCAGAACAGCAAAAGATTCTTCACAGAGTTAAACGTGATGGAATACCTACAGATCCGAAGTTTAGAGAAATGTGGTATTTGGTAAGATGAGTATGTTTTACAACTAATATGTGTGGTAGTTGAGGTACCTGAACTTGTAATGAAAAAAAGTACAACAGCATAGGGTTGTATGGACAGTGAGTACCTTAGATATCACAGGTCCTCTGCTATGTCCATCCCACCTCAAGAAATTAAACTTTTCTCGTGGTTAACTATCTGGATCCAGCCTGGAATGTTAACCCTGAGGTATGAGCCCACACAGAGAGATATGTTTACAGTGAATTTGAAAAGGAGCCATGGAGAGGAGATGAGAGCAGCAGAAAATAAAAGACTTGATGCTCCTATGTTCCCCAGAAATCTTTCTCACCAAGCTACTTTGAAAAAGAAAAAAAAACCAAAAGGCTGATCTAGTGGTGCACCATGAACACAGGCACTGACCAGCATCTCTTGTTAACAGTTAGCTTCACCTTTGTTAGCTATTTTAATTCAAGGCTATGATTAATGAATAATGATATTTTTATCAGCTCAATGAAGGTCAGACAGGAGGACCTGTTGGAGTGGATATTAATGTCCTTCCAGTCTGGAGGAAAGGCTATACAGGCAAAGGAATTGTGGTGTCTATTTTAGATGATGGTGGGTACTGGATTATGACTGAAATGATTCACAAAAAAAAGTCATGAGTGACTTCCTATTGATTATAAGATTCTCCTTTCAGATTTTCACTTTTTCCTTGTAAAACAGAGGGAGAAGTTGATGTTAAACCAAAAGTCACATTGGGTTTTATTCTGCACACTCATATCCACTCCAAATCTCTATTCACAGTACAGATTTAAAGTCTGAAAAAGGGGCATCTTTAACCTAGTTACCGCCAACATGTAACTTTTCCTGCCAGTTTCAGTTACATAACACTATCTTGAAAACAAAATTAGATGTTCAGAGAACAAACTTAGATGTTCAGTGAGAGGTCTGTTTTAAAAAAATCAAATTTTCCTTGAGGTGTTACTCTGAGCTTGAAGGGGGTCAGTTACTCAAAGAGTTCTGTTGTATCAACTTTGGCAGTTGATGAATTTTCATCACAACTGAGGACTTTTCAAGAATATTATATATACTTATGGCAGTTGATCATTATATGCCTAGCAATTATGTGAACAGTACACTAACTAGAGTGCATAATTATAATGTCATGACAAAATTTACTTAGAGCCATTGAATAGTGACTTTCTTGCCATAAAGTCCTCTGCATTCATTTTCTTTTCTGCCATGATAGTCAATCTCTATTCATGTGGAAGATGCTAATTTTTTTCATCTAGTTCCTAGACTCTAATATTTTAATTTTATTTTTTAAGGTGTTGATCATACTCACCCAGATTTGGCAGCAAATTATGTAAGTTATCATTTTTAACGTCGTTGTATTTCATGTAAATTTAAGATAGACAATGATTGTGCAGGTGCAGTACTTCAGATGGACGGCATGAGTGAAAAAAAGATACAAAACATTCTTATCACCCATTGTTCAAAATATTTAAGGTAGTTCTGAACCATTTATCACATTTTTAAGTAAAGAGAAAACATTATTGTGACAAAATCATTAATTTTAAAATAAAAAAATCATTAAAAAATGACAGAAAAATTTTTAATCTGTTAAAAACTGAAACATGTAAGCAAAATTGAAAGCTCAAGGTGTTAGAAAATTTGTATAGTTTTTTATGGTAACCAGACTAAGTTAACTCACAAGTTAATATGGAGTGATAGTGCAGAATTGTCAACTTCAAGGAATCATTACTGATATCTGCTTTGACTTGCCATGAACAGAGTTGTATTGCATACACTTTTTGTCATTTTTATTAATATTTGACAGACAGATATGGTAACTTTCTTCCTTTTGTTCCTCCTTTAATTTGTGAATTGCAGGATCCAAAAGCTAGCCATGATTTCAATGATAATGACGATGACCCTAGACCACGAGATACTGATCCTGACAACTGGTAATAAATCAATGTTAACCATTTAAATCCATGAGTGACGAAGACAGAATTTCTCCTTACAATATCAATACAATATCAACCCACTAAGTGATGAGAATAAAGAAAAATGTCAATTTGGGGATAATTAATTGATCCAATACTAAATTCTCTGAACTAACATTATATGAATTGCATGATTGACAGTAAGGAGAATTACAAATTTGATGTGGGAGTTAAAGGGTTAACAGTAAACTGATTATCAAATAATAGAGGTATTACTCTTAGTGAATGCGATCACGTTACATGAACAGTTGTCAGGCAGAAATTGCGCACAGAAATTGCACCCAGTGCACGCTTTTTCATATGGTAAGGTCTTTGCAAGGTGTAAACGAGGATGGTCAAGATTTGAAAGACTTGAAATGATCGGTCCGGATCGAAAACAACGAAAAATTAGAAAAAGAAGGGTCCCAATTTTTTACAGTGCTCTAATTGTGCACTCCTTAAAATGATACAGGAGGCTGATGTTTTTCCTTCTTTTTATCTCTGAATTTTAAGTCATGGCACCCGATGTGCGGGAGAAGTTGCAGCTTTAGCAAACAACACCATTTGTGGAACGGGGGTCGCGTACCACGCGCATGTAGGAGGTAGGATTATTTTAGAGAAAATAACTTCGATCTGTTTTTGCTATTGTAAAATAAGTGATGTATTTCTCTGTGAGCAGCCAACGATTCGGCATAGCGATATCCTCGCATGTCACCAGAAGATTCTTTTCATACATTTTTTTTCTCTAGAAATACATTTTGGTGCAATGTTGGTGGTTGTAACGTTTGTACTTTCGGATTTCGATGGTTGCCAGTATTGAGCCAGAAATTAACAACTTTTTCATAACTGAAAAGGCGCATCATGGATTTATAAGTGTTGCTGTATGAGCCTTTTTTTTTCCCCTGTGCTTTTGCGTTTCGCTCTGGTCGTCAGAAAAATCCAGAATTTAGTAAGCCTAATAAGCTTCAATTTAATAATAATAATAATAATAATAATAATAATAATAATGATGATAATGATAGTAATAGTTATAATAATAAGAATAATAAAATAAAAGCATTTGTTTAGACACGATAAAATTACAGCGTAGCTGATGTGGTTGTGTATTCTAAGTTTGTCAGTGATTTCTCTCAAATCTTGGGACTCAAATCTGCGCAAAACTTATGTATTGTTTGGTATAACAGAGTAAATTTTCTATCATTCAAGGCGTTCGCATGTTAGACGGTAAAGCCACTGACGCGTTAGAGGCGAGCTCGCTGGGATTTCAACTTCAATATGTAGACGTATTCAGTAACTGTTGGGGACCAAAGGATGATGGGAAAACTTTCGGGAAGCCGGGTCCTTTGGCGGCTAAGGCGCTGAAGAGAGGAGCTGAAACGGTAAGATACGATGAGATATTTCCTGTTTGGTTTTATTGAAAGTAAGTGTAGTAAAAATGAAATCATGCTTAAGATTTCCGTCAGTTGCCCAGTCAGTTAGACAGTCAGTCAGTCAGTCTGTCAGTCAGTTAGTGAGCCTGTCTATTAGTCCCTCTGTCTCTCTTAAGGGGTTCTGGAGAAGCTGTTGTGCTGCGTTGGTGGGGAAGGAAGGGAGATTTCAAGATAATTTGGTTTTATCAATTGAGTTGATAATGTAAATTGGCCGCCAAAAATAGTGTGTAAAGCTGACGTTTCGAGTGTTAGCCCTTCGTCTGGGCGAATCAACGTGAACCATTCTCTCTGACGAAGGGCTAACACTCAAAAGTTCAGCTTTAGATACTCTTTATGGTGGCCAATTTCCATTATCAACTCAGTTGATAAAACCACATTGTCTTGATTCTATGTGTCTGTGTCTGTCTTTCTGTCTGTCTCTCCATCAGTAATAAAGTATATAAGCCAGCCATCTAGTCAACGAGCAAGTCATTCAGCCGACAATGCATGACACAGAACTAAATGTTGATTCCTTAACTTTTCTCGCTTCTTATTTTACCTTTTCATCTCCTTCTGCTATATAAGTAGCCCAATAAGTCCGTAATTTCAGTTTTCCCATAAAATTATCCAAGATTAGAAGCAACTTATGGCATTCACAATGGCTTTTGTAGGGTCGCGGTGGCAAAGGAAACATTTACGTGTGGGCGACTGGCAATGGAGGTCTTACAGATGATGACTGTAACTGTGATGGCTACACTACCAGTATATACACAGTGTCTATCGGCTGTATCGGTGATCATGGCCTCTCTGCTTACTACACTGAGCTGTGCTCATCCACCCTCGCAGTAACATTTAACGGAGGTGCACACAGAGAGCGCGAAGAAAACAAAATGGTAAGCTGACAGCTTTTCATACTTACCCTGTAATTTTATGGCAATTCACTGAAGTGAAGTAATATTTATTAGTCTTAAATTTGGGTAAATTGTACTGCTTATCGTCATTTTTCATTAGAGATCAAGTTAAAAATTTACGTATTGTATACCTCAAAAGAACGCCCCCCCACAGAATGCAGAGCGCTTGTGAAACATGAATCTACTATATGGCTATTTTCGCTAGCATATAGAGCTTCCAATCGCAAGAAAATCGGAACAAGTTGCAGTTAAGATTTGTGTCACTGTTCCACTTTAGAGGCAAAGTTCGACATCCTTTTTTTTAATTGAACTGTTTACAGATAACTACAGACCTCCATCATCAATGTACAGAACAGTTCAAAGGGACTTCATCTGCCGCCCCTTTAGCAGCAGGAATGATAGCTCTTGTGTTGGAAGCGAAGTAAGCTATTTTTCTAACGCTTTCTAGCAATTACTATCTTCAGCGTCTGCGCTGACATTAGCGAGTAATTCACAGATTTTATCAGACAGTGGACTCTCTAAATTGCTTGTTCACGACATTGGTTGGATTTTTAACCAATTGACGAAAATGTATTTATCATTAGAGCATTTTTCAATTGAGCGACGAAAGTGACTCAGGATTGCTTTGGTTTGCTTAACTTTGATCTGTGATTGTTCCAGAAAGCTCGCTCCACCTTCTCAACCAATCAGATTCAAAAGTAAAAGCAATCACGATTTGCTCACTCGCGTTTTCCCGCCTTTCTCGCAGTATGCCTGTTTGTACTAGAAGCTCTAATTGGCTAATGATGATGTCAACCTTCGCTCCGATTGGCTGAGATTGTAATTGCTTTGGTTTTGGTTTTTCCAAACTCTAGTAAAAAATACTCTATTTTTTCATTTCTTTCTTCATTCATCTTTTCTTACTTATACTCTTGATGTAAATCTTTCGCAGTAACAAACTCACCTGGCGGGACATGCAACATATCATTGTCAGAACAGCTAAACTAACGAGTCCTGTGGATGATGGATGGCGGACAAATGGAGCAGGATTTCATTTCAATCACAAGTTTGGTTTTGGTCGCCTGGATGCCGACGCTATGGTAGAAATGGCAAAAACATGGACTTCGGTACCAGCACAGCGGATTTGCACTGGAGCAGCTAGTATAGAAGAAAGGTGACTTACATCACAGTTTCAAAATTTTGCAAAAACTTGACATTCCAGCCTGAAAGACTTTGTTTTGGAATCGTACTGAGTTTTTTTTGTTAAGATGACGAAAATGCCTGGGACTCTTTTTCATCTAGAAGAGCTATTTCTCAATACTTAAGATCAATTTTAAGCGTCAAAAATGTCCTATGAATGTAATGGAGGATGAAAATGGTAACATAGATAAGGCGAAAATGAATCAAAGCGATCAAAATAGAATTGAAGAAAAAGGAAAAAAGAGAAAAAAAATGAGGGTGGATGCTACAATTTATGAACTGTGGCATTAGCCTTTTTGAAATCCATGTCCCTGGTTCAAAGGTGAAGGGAAAATAGCGCTTTGCATTAAAATTTGTCTAATTTGACTGAAAAAAGCAAAGAAAAGTTGAAACCACAGGTAAAATTGAACAACAAGTCATATACCGTGCTACTACATCGCTGTGGTCTTGTTGACAGAGTAGCTACAAAAACCCCTCGACACCACACGCTTTAATCGGGCGTGATTGTGTCTGAAACTTTACAGTTTTTTGACAGAGTAGCTTCGAATTCCCTCAACACTACATGCTTTAATAAGGCGAGATTGTGTCTTTCACTTTACAGGGATATCCCTTCAGGTGGTGCACTGGAGCTGTCCATACCCACTAAAGCATGCGCGGGGACTGTTGCCGAGATAAACAAACTTGAACACGTGGTACTCACCATCAGCTTTATTCACCGACGCCGTGGTGACGTCAGCATTCTACTGATGTCACCATCAGGGACGAAGAATGAAATGCTTTCTACTCGACATTACGACGACTCCAAGGAGGGTCTTGATAACTGGGGCTTTATGACCGTACACTGCTGGGGTAAGTGTTGTCTATAAGATAAAATATTCGCAGTGGTGGAGTGCATACCAATTAGGTGTCGTGTAATTTCACAAAGCTTGTTCGGAAGGCTTGTATAACACTGAGTTTTAATTCAATGTTTAACTCTATACAGGTGAAAATCCTCGCGGTTTCTGGCAGCTTAAGCTCATTGATAATCCGCTGAACGAGATTGGGGACCGTGTGTTGAACGGTTACGGTACACTACACCTGGACACGAGCAAACAAGATACGGATGTAGAAGATTTGGAGGAACAAGTTATTGACGATCAAACCAAGCAGCAGCAAACTCGCGTTCAGCAGCTGAAGATGCAGGTATTGTGGCGAAAATACGAAAGGTGGTTTTCACCGGATGCTATGTTGTGTTTTTATTTACAGTTACAACCTTTTTACAAATTGTTGTGCTTGAAAGTAATCGTTGTCTTCCCGCGCTTTGTAGTCACCGTTTCCCTGCCCTTTGGCGTCGGTCACGGTTTCGCGCCGTTGATAGTAATCCTTGTTTTCCTGCGCTTAGAAGTAGTCACCACTTACCTGCCTGCACCTGATTTGTTACTGCTTCCCGCGCTTGAAATTAATCCTTGTTTTCCCGCGCCAGCGGAAGTCATCGTTTTCCTGCGCTTAGCGCAAGTTACAGTTTCCCACGCTTTAAAGTAATTATTGTTCTCTTGCCCTTAGAAATAGTCACCGTTTAGCGACCTACACCAAGTCGGTTACAGTTTCTAGGCCCTTAGAAATATTCACCGTTTACCTACCTACACCAAGTCGGTTACAGTTTCCAGGCCCTTAGAAATATTCACCGTTTACCTACCCGCACCTAGTCGTTTACAGTTACATATATTTGAGGTGGTCAATTTTTTCGCGCTCCTCACACAACCTTTTGCTTATCTGCGTCTGACTCTAATAACAATTGTAGTAACTGTTATTTACTATTTTCTTTGAACAGAACGACCATATTGATTTTCCATATCCCCCGGGAGTTAGACGAAACGAGGTGCGGCACCAGAACAGCTCGGAAATGAGTGAGCAAAGCGTCATAGACGATCTTTATAATCTCACAGAAAGCGATGTGGCTAGCGCCACGGAGTACGTTTACGATCGAAGCCGAATTGCGTACCCCGAGGGATCGGGAAGTGGGGATTTTTCTGGCAGTGACGAGGATTTCTCAGACCCTGGACTTGACTTAAATCCACAAGAATCGGGAAGTGGGCGAGAGTCTAAAGCTTATGTTAGTGAGGGAATTCCCTTGGAAGAAATACCCGACGAGGAAATGGATGCCGAGGATCGAGACCACGTTTCAGACCCCTCGGATTCGAGCGGGACATCCCGGGATGATTTCCCCGATGATGAAGATTTTATCGACGAAGACACTATGGATGAGAACAACGGTTTTAAAGATACTCTCCGAGAAACACCATCTGTACTTAAGAATAAGAAATCTAGAGGGAGAAAGAGGCACTCGAAGACAACCTTTGCCAAGAAAAGTGTTGTAGTGAACAATAATTCTAATACGATAAAGAAAAAGGTCCAAGTTGCGGCTGAGGAAACCGCAACCCAGCGTGTTCAAGTAAACGCGGGTTACGAAAATCCCGAGATTCCATGTCTCGCCAGCGGCTGTTCTGGGGTTCTATTAAAATGGGTGGTCACGTTTTATGGAACTGAAAATTAATCACATTTAGTATAGCGATTTTTATTAATTTATCTGTTTTATAATTCTTTCGAACAGAAACATCACCACTAGGACCCTATACCATCTGGAAGTTTTGCTAAATTTTGATAAACGGCTTGGATAGGGCGTGCCTTCAAATTAGACCCTGAATGACGAATTGGCTGAGCCATGAATTCGATTTAGGAATTTTTTTAAATTGAAAGGCGCTCTTTCACAGAGAGTTTCCTTCTTCAAGCCGATTATCAAAGTTATGAAAACCATTGTTTGCTTTAGGGGGACTCTGCTTCGGAAAAAGAACGTGGTTTTTTACCAATACTTTGCTCTGGTTCACCGCACAGTGAATTGTAGAATATTTTCTGACAAGTTTTGTACTGTGCTAACGAACATACCGCTACCTCATTCACACAAAAGCTAAAACATGTGTCAAGACTGTTTTGTTAAACACGGTCTTCAATTTATATCTTTGTAGGAGCCGCTTAAATCGATGTTTGTCGACTTCATATTTTGCACATTTAAAATACAAGTTAGTGACTACCTCCCCCCTATGGACAATTCAGTTTTTCAGTTCTCTGCGTCTGATTTTCATTTAGTTAAACCCGGTCTTAGAAAGTTGTGCTGGTTTGAATGGGGTAGGAGCCCAAAAGCAATCAAATCAAGTGTAAACTGTAGGACGTTTATTTCACAGAAAAAGCACGCAGTGATTTCATACACATAGGTGTTATCCCCCCCCTTAGGAATACAAAACCGTAAACTAAGTGCATCCTTGACCATGAAGCTCACTCTAAAAACACCCAAGTTCTGTCTCTATTCTGCATTAATTCCTGAAATTTTCTCCAATATTTTATCTTTGTGACAAGGAGGACTACGCCAGTTCGTGAGATTGGTAGCCCACCTCAATCAGTGTGTAGAGAATATAGTTTTACATGATTGGTTTCCATCGTTTCCATAGTGAATCCACTCCATTCCCTTACCTAGCTTGCAATTTTTTTGCAGTGAGTGTCACATTAAACAAAGTTGTTTTTAAGAGGTGTTGACTCATTTCATATTTGACTAAAGCTCTGGTGTTTAAGATAAGAGAGCAATTTACAAAGGTTACCTCCGAAAGCGATGAACAAGTGTCGAGCATGGCGTACAACTAGTCGATCGTGAGGTAAGGGGTTGTGCAGTGCCCTTGAACAAGACACTTAAGCTTTGATCCCAATAGAACAAATCAGCACCAGCGAATTATTAGTATGTATGTATAGATGGATGTACGAATTTGCGATATTTAGACAGTTTGGCCCAGTTCAGCTCAAAGCTGGTTAAAATGGGGGCCTGTGTAAACAATGACAACGCGAGACCACAACGCCAGGAACTACGTTTCCTACTCTTTACGAGAAGTGCATGGGTTCTTTGACGTCCCCTGCTTGCCAGTACCGAGAAGAGACAGGACAAGTTGCCAACGGGTTATCGTCCTTGTTGAAATACTAAATGTAGCGCCTTAGATAAACGAACACAATGACTACTAATGCGAGCAAGATTATCAGTTTCGTTTGGAGTTATCGACAAAGAGTGACACCAGGTCGCATACGTCATGCGACAACAACAAAAACTTTGTAGGCGCCAGGATTACACATAATTATGTAATTGTCTTTGTTCGTGGTTTTCTTTCTTTTTCTTACCTTAGTTTTAGCGTTTTCGTAGTTCTTTAATCTTTGCTAATTATTCTTATATTTTGAGCCAAACTTCTTCCCGATTCAAGAAGTACCTATACGAAGTCTAGCCCAACCATGATTTTACGCAAACAGTGGGCCTCGGGTTTTCTCTATAGAGGGCTGATTCTCTATAAGAGAGTTTAACATAATGACCAGCTCCCAGTTGGGTAGTTTGCTAAGTTGGTAGAGCATTGCACCAGTATCGCAGAGGTCATGGGTTCAAATCCCGTACAGGCCTGAATTTATTTCCATTACTGCTGAAGTAGTGTTCATCATGTTCATGTTCATATTGCCTTCATATTCATCTAATTCTTTTAATCCGCAATGCACATATGATTTCATATATTCAAAGTCATTACTAACAGTGGAAGGACGTTTATTTGAAACAAATGTTAGTTAGCTTTCGACAGTGTTCCAAAATAATCAATGTTCGTATGAAAGGTCAAGCTAAATTGAGGTTTGTTTAGGGCGCGGTTAAACAACGGCTAAACTTTGTTTCAATAACTGGCCCTTAGGCTAAGCTTGTGTGTGTCCATGTACCGGGTGAAATACAAATGAAAAGTAACGAACCTGAACTGTAGCCGCGGTGACGGAGGTGTGTCAGAACTAAATAAATTAAAGTTTTTTATTATTCCTTACCGTGACTGACAGAAGATAGAATTTTAATGTTTAAACTGAAAGATTTAAAAGCTTGCTGGTTCTACATTTATTCTTTCCATAAGTTTGGGTATTTTGCCGGTCTTGGAAACTTAGGGAACTGAACAACGATCACTTAAGGGGGAACCTAACTTTGTCTTCACTTTCGGTATAATTATTGTCATTGTAACAAAGTGAATAAATACAAATAGATACGGTGAAAATGTCAAACGATCTTAAATCAAAGATAAGTAGGAGCTTAACATCAATAAGCACTGAAATTTCTCCTCATCTGCTATTCTTTCGCCCAGCGCGCTCTTACAAAAATCGTGCCGATGACCAATATCACAATATATTTACGGTACGTCTGCTGCTGAGTGTGATTTTTGTAGCGGTGATTATTTCCTGCATGGATAAGCCAAAGAGCTGAGGTTCACCCAAGCGTTTTTCTCAAGACAACCCACAACCTGCTATCCACCATGACATACGCCGTGCATCAGACTGCGTAAGTAGATGGCCATGGTCATGAATTTATTCAACAAAATTGGGCCTCGATTTCTCTAACAATTTCGCTGGAAGTAAAAAATGAAACCAGTGCGATGGCGTGTTTACATCACGTTGTTAATCCTCGCTTCGGAAATCGCCGTCTTACTTGGAAAACCTGCTAAGAAATCGCGGAAAAGAGGAAGAAGAATCTTTGACACGACACCAAAGCTAACGCGAAGAGAATGGGAAGAACTTCACAAGTTTGAAGATGCGCTAAAAAACGACAATGGAGAGTTAATGTTCACGAACTCCTGGGCGCTCAAACTCGATCCAGCGGAGATTAAAGTCGCAGACAGGATTGCTAAGAAACATGGTTTTATAAACTACGGCCAGGTAGGTAAACTCGAGTTTTTCTTTATATTATTCTGCGGGTGTTCTAAGCTTTGAGTTCAAACGTCAATAATTTCTCCCGGTGGCATTCGGTCACTAAGAGTGGATTTTGTCATTAAGATTCCTTTTTTGAAACTAGAAACTGTGATTATGGACTTTTTAAGATCATTTCCAGTAAGATGTCTCGCTTTGCTTCGATTTCTGTGGAATTTAAGACATATTCTTAAAATCTTTATTTCAAAAGCGCCATGCCACTTATAAATCAACAGTTGGTTTTCTTAATTGATCACCAGTCATGTTTTCTTAATTGTTGACTTCTACTTTACAATGTAGACTGAATATTGAGAAGTACGTAATTAAGTCTTAAAAATTTACTCAGCACAATTTTGCACTGGAAGATTCACTTAAGAAAGCAACCAGACTTGTTCAAAATGAGTCGTCCAATTTTCGCTACAGTAATCATTGATATTAATTCTGCAACGTTCTTCATCCTTAGAATGCCTCTGTTGCATCCACTAGATAAACAAACTATGTTATTTTTGTTTGTCCTAATGACTGATTTTCTACTTCAAAAATATCATAAACAAATTGGGAAAAAAATGCCATGCTAATTAGCATGTGGGTATATTTAAATACTTAGACTAATTCCAAATTGCTATAGTTTTATCAGTACCTCGGATTCTTATCACAAGTAAAGCAATTATACTTGCTGATGAGCTACAACTTTGGCAATTGCAGAAAAGGAAAATTTGAGCTACGAAGTCACACTTTGATGCAGGGGGAAATTATAGAGAGTTTTTCTTCCCGTGAAGGAATCTTATCACAATTTTTAATGAAATTTTCCTTCCAGTTGCCTTCTTATGTATAGGTCATGGTGAAATAAGTTGCCGTAGATGCAAGTGGCATATACGGTAGCTCTCGAGTGCTACGAAGGCTTGAAAAGCTCATCACTGTTTCTCAGCATTTCTTCGAGTCAGTTCTCAAGTTCAAAGTCGTGCATAGTCAAATCATGACTGCTGAATATTGTTTGGAATAGAGATTCATGTATGTACTGTGGCCGTTAAATTGTTTGGCTTAGATGAAAACATGCATAGTTTGGGGGTGAGATCTATGGCTTTTCCCTTCACATTCGAGGGAAGTCACCGCATTTAAAAGACCTTTTAAAAACCAACGGAAAACATAAGGAAAACCAAGAAAATTTCAACTGATATTCTCTTGGGGAAAAATCAATTTAATTCAAATAATTTACGATGTGCCAAACCCAGATATCTTGATTACCAAACTTGATCTTAAGGTATGAATCTCTGAAGAAAATTAGAGCACAATTTAAATAACCTCTCTATTATACATATTTTTTTTGTAATTTCATACTAGGTTGGCTCTCTCACAGGATATTATCATTTTAAACACGAAGGCAAAGGCTTAAGACACAAGCGTGATGTGCACGAAAAAACCAAGCTACTGCTATCTGAAGATGAAGTAAGCACAACTTGCTTCCTTATGTTGTTGTTATATTTCCATACCCAAGATGAATTCGTTTGGTGTTTGCGTTCGAAGTAAGACTAAAGGTGCTCAGCGCCCTTTTGTAACTCCTGGTGAAAAAATGGCGTATGTTATAGCGCAAGCTTCCATAGGTCAGTTGACAAATCAACTGACTGAAAATCGTAACTTATTTGGAATCAAACCCTCACTGGAACTCAGATCTTGTTTGTTCCACACCCGTGATAAATGGATCTTGGATCTCTTGTATACATCAGTAATTATATGGCACGTGGCAAACGATCTTTTTAAAAAAGTGATCTTTGCATCTTCCAGGTTGTATGGGCAGAACACCAACATATTTTAGTAAGATCTAGAAAGGATGGAATCCCATCTGATCCTAAGTTTAGAGACCAGTGGTATCTTGTAAGTATATTCTTGTTGGCTGGAAGAAATTTATTCATAAGCAATTTTTCGTGGAGTTCAGTTCAGTTAACGATTTAATTGAGCCAGTTAAAACTTTGATCTGTTAAATATAAAGTAAGATAGATTAAACGGTTGATTGTAGGCTAAGAGGTCTCTAGATACAGAACTAAGCTAGAAACTCTTATGTCCAAAGATTCTTTGTTACAACAACAATTCAAAGACCTCCATAAAAACGAAAAATTTGTATCGTACTTTGCACATTTTTCTGTATATAGTTAAATCAAGGACAATCCACTGGCCCGGCTGGTGTCGATCTTGATGTGATGCCTGTTTGGCGGCAAGGGATCACGGGAAGAGGAGTGGTCATTAGTATTCTTGATGATGGAGTTGACCATACTCATCCAGATCTTAGAGATAACTTTGTAAGTCAAACAGTCAGTCTGATATTAGTGATGTTGAACGAAAGATGAAAGATAAATAACGGCTGGAAAATAAGGAAGAGGGTATTAATTCCAAAATTATCCACAAAGTAGTGAGAATGCGCCTAAAGGATTTATTTTGCGAATACAAGTCCAGCTGTGTACGTGCAACAACTTTGCTCTTTTCAAAACAGGATCAAACCCTTATACTAAAAGGTTATAAAGGTCTTTTTTTTAAGAAAATCCATTTTAAGTTAACCTTTAAACTCGAGTAATCCGGTCTCTAAGGGAAAACGTGTGTTTCCTAAATGTTTTGGGAAAGAAGAAATAAAAACAAATAGTCGAGGGACCTCCGAAAGAGAGAGATATTCACACTTACGAATGGTTTCCATAAGAATATATTAGGCCTCTCTAAGAGATTGATCTTGTTTATAATTTCATCCATCTTTCTTGACTGCACTGAGTGAACACATCACAACTAATATGTGATTGTATGACCCTACCTTGACACAGGACCAAAAGGCAAGTTATGATTTTAACGACATGGATGCTGATCCAAAGCCAAGAGACAGCGACCCTGATAACTGGTATGTAACTCACGCGATCCTCATGGCTCGATCACAAAAATTGACAGAGAGCCTCTCCACCAAGAGGACCGCAACCGTAGATTGTGTTGCATTCGTTTTATTAACTCCTTATACCCTGACATCTGTATGCCCATTCTCCATATTGTTCTCTATACGTTTCCTAATGTGCTGACATGAAGACTCTGTTTAGCAATCAAGAGCTTCTTTAGTTGGTGATCAATTCCTTTACCATCGTAACCTTAATGTTTGATTCAGGGGTGATTTTGTTCGGAGAAATTAGATCATGATCCCTCTTGGAGGTCAAAAGGTTAACATTGACAATTTCTTCAGGTTGTGGAAATTTTTTTATTCGAAGACATAAACGAGCATATCGCCTGAGAAGTCCTTTTACTCCACCAGAATTACTGGCTACACACTTCATAGATAGAAGATAGAGGAATTTAAAAATCTCCTATAGGTCGGGCGCTAGCTCTCTACGCTCTCAGACAAAAACAGCCCCGTGCTATAGTAGTGAAAGGAGTCTATTGTCGACGGGAGTGTCTGATAAAAGTCATGAGCTGAGAGTATAAGACTGTAGAGCATATTCAATATTTTTATAGAATGGAGAGGGAGAGAGATATATAAACTAACGTATAATTGCCATTTGGAAGCTTGCCAGGTAATAATTTCGTAATCAATCGATCATTTTGGACAAATAGGGAAGGTTACGTGTAACCCTTTCCCCTGGTTACGCTTATACGTGATATTGATTAATTTTGATTAAGTGTTTTTAGACCATGAAAAATGGCATGTTTCTTTTCACGTTTGTTTTCTCTACAATCTTAGTCACGGTACACGGTGTGCTGGAGAGGTGGCAGCGGTCGCTAACAACAGTGTATGTGGAGTGGGTGTAGCTTACGATGCTAATATCGGAGGTAAATATACAAAATATACTCCATGATTTTCTCGTAATTTGAAGTTGTCAATAGGTGCATGTTACCTCTTGGGTGCTTGCCTACTATAGCAAACTAATATTGAAAGTCCCGTATGATGGAGAAACAATTAAAAATATTTTAAGTTGCTCATCTTGGTTCCTTCTGCATGAAGCGAATAAGGGTATTAACCCCTCCCTCACCCCTAAATAAGATGCTAGATCATCGCACGTTACACCTCAACATTTCCGCGTCAGTTCGCTCGTACCCAGTAATACTCTTGGAGAATGCCACTGTGGTGGAAATATCCCTCCCAAAAAAACAGCATAATGACCCGGTGAGGTCTCAAACCCAGACCTCTCGAGTCCATTGCGCTTTCGCTTGGCCACCGCGTCTACCACAAAAAAAGTGTTTGACATGGTATCAATAATTTTACAAGAACAATTTTCACTGTATTGTGCCCTAGGTGTGCGGATGCTAGATGGTCAGGCTACAGATGTGTTGGAAGGAAGTTCATTGAGTTTCCAGTCTGAATACATCGACATCTACAGTAACTGTTGGGGGCCCAAAGATGATGGAAAAACATTTGGCAAACCTGGAAAACTTGCACAAGAGGCGCTTATGCAGGGAGCTCTTAAGGCAAATTATTTATTCATTTAAATATCGTTATCAATGAAAAAATTCCAAGTAGGTTATGTCAAAGAGGAGCTTGATCCCCGCGTTAAGCTGCACCCTTGGAAATACAACATAAGAACTATTTAACATCTTACACTAAATCTATATGGGATAGAAGTATCCTGGATAGAAAAGGAGTTAATAATTTTCAAATCAAAGTACTATGTGTAAAAAGCTGAGGGGAAAATGAATTATTCATTAAGTGACGCCTATAAAGCTTGTCCAAACCGAGAGACTCTATTACAATTAATTATAAAAGACGGAAATTGTCCAAATATGTGTACTTACTAGTAAGTATATGCCATAATATTGGTTTGTGACTCAGGCCTTAAGAATTTTAATTCAAACATTAATTTTGATTTTAATGCTTTAAAAATCATTTCGATTTGTAACAATAACTTGATCTCAAAATGAAAAGGAAGATGGGAAATGCTAATATCAATCGACCAAATGAAAAACAAAATTTAACAAAAGTCATTAGTCGCCCGCTCAAGAGATTTTTGGTTCCTTATCACTGATCTACTGAAGGGAGAAAACATTTTTTAAAATAGAGTTTATTCTCAGATTTTGCTTAGATTTCATACCACATTTTGTAAGCTAACACTTAAAATTGTGCGGTAAATAAATCTGTGATTGTAATGAACCATGCTAAAAGGGCATTTTAAACCTCCGAAGTTCTTTAATCTATTGTAATTCTCAGGGTCGTGGCGGTAAAGGTAACATCTACGTTTGGGCGACCGGCAATGGAGGTCTTACAGATGACGACTGCAACTGTGATGGCTACACTACCAGTATATACACCATATCGGTTGGGTGTATCGGTGATCATGGTCTCTCCGCCTACTACACCGAGTTGTGCTCCTCCACGCTGGCTGTCACTTTTAATGGAGGCTCTCACAGGGAGAAGGAGGAAAACAAAATGGTAAGGCTATCAGGTTGCTTGTTGGTCTTTGGACTGTGTCATAGATTAGATCAGAAAACGGTTACACGTGTAGCTGTTATTTTGAGCTAAAGACAATTGGGATAGAGGTCATTTCTTGCTTTGTCATCAATAATCCTTAGAAAGATATGTTGGGACTTGCTCTTCCCCATACGGTATGAAGTTTTGAATGGCTAAATACAAAGAACACGTGAGCGGTGAAAACGGTGAACTTTTTACGCGCGGAAGAGCTGGTTTAATTGCTTGAAACATCTGTTGGAAACAAGGCACTTGGTGGAATTCCGTTTCGCCAATTGATATTGTAATGAGGTGACTGGGTCTTTAAGAGGTTTACATACCGATACATTAGTGAGAGGAACATTCCTTTCCTCTTGTAAAATGTTCTATTCTTTTTCATTTTGTCTCAGGTAACGACAGATTTGCATCATAAGTGCACAGAAGAGTTTAAAGGCACATCATCTGCCGCGCCTCTGGCTGCAGGAATGTTTGCCCTCGTTTTACAAGCGAAGTATGTTTGCATGACTACGAGGACTGCTGATGAAGAGTCAAGATTACAATTGTATCGTGCATTTGTGCCTTTTCGTTTGTTCCCCTTACGTCAAACAAAACAAACAATCGAACAGACAAACAATCATAAAAAATAAACAGACACAAAAGACCATCAGCTCAAACAGCACGTTCATCTATGGTTCAAGCAGACTTTTAGGAATTGCTTCGCCTTTGATTTACGGGTTTCTCTCTCGCAGTCGGCAATGACAAGCTGCTAGAAAAGACTCCAGATCTGTTTCGCGCTTGACTATATGTTGATCTCTTTTCAGCCCAAACCTTTCATGGCGAGATCTCCAGCATCTTGTGGTTGAAACAGCTCAGGTAACGAGCCCTGTTGACGAAGGCTGGATGAAAAATGGTGCTGGTTACCATTTTAATCACAAGTTTGGCTTTGGGAGGTTAGACGCCGCTGCCATGGTAAGAAGAGCGAAAACATGGAAGAATGCTCCTCCCCAAAGAACATGTCATGGACCTTCCAGTCAGACGCAACAGTAAGTAAGATTTGAAAAAATGTATTCTATGTTAATTTTTTAAGAGTTTGGATTGGGATTTAAATTGAAGAACTGTCGAATGTTTGATATGAAGCAAAATGAAAGACACGCTGATGAATTGTAGTCTTATGAATATATAATTACGTCAATGATCTATTCAATATGAATGGTTTGAAGAAAAAACTGATCCATCGTAACCAACAAGGTCTGAATTTAGAGTTTTGGTCTCAGAGGTTCCTCTTTGTTGCTAAGCTGTGTTCAGGTTTTTCCAACATAAAGCGACCTAGAAGTGTTTGCACTACTGTAATGAAACTATACTCAACTTGGAGGGGACTTGTAAGCCCTACGCCAATATTTCAAGATACATTGACTGCTGCGAAGATCCTTTAATGGGCTGTGGGATATTTACAACGTTCTGCATCATTTAAGTTTGAAATCGAAGAGATCTGTCAATCTGTCTGTAACAAATCTTCTTATAGAGAAATTCCCGCCGGCGGAACTTTATCTATCACCATCGACACAATAGCTTGTGACGGTACCGACAAAGAAATCAACAAGTTGGAACACGTGACTCTGACCGTCAGCTTTCAACACCGGCGGCGTGGTGACGTTAGCATCGATCTTTTTTCGCCGAGCGGGACTAGGAACGAAATGCTGTCGACTCGGCGTTACGACGATTCAAAGAACGGCCTCCATGATTGGACTTTCATGACCGTGCACAACTGGGGAGAGAATCCTAAAGGAGTATGGGTGATGAATGTAACCGATAACATCGCTACCTTAAACAAGGGCGTAGACGTAAATGGATATCTCCAACACGATACCAGTAAACAGGAAGCGGACGTGGAGGACTTAGAGGAGGAGGTAGGTCAAAGAAGTTTCTGCAAATTCGCCTTGCGTCTCACCCAAAAAAAACATACCCTGAGTTCTAATAGCATAACGCGTCCAGATGGGATTGGATACAAGAGGATGAACTCTTACATACATTGATCATTTGTTAATGATATCTTATGTTGATCACAAACGCAAAGGTTATCGATGACGAAAAGAAAACTCAAGAGCTGGAGGCAAACAAAGGTGGAGGGAAAGTTGTTCAAGACAAAGGTGCCACTTGGGATGCACCTTACCCCGAGGGGGTCAAGAAACACAAAATTCACACACCGGATAAACCAGACAGTTCAAAGGGTACGGAGGGTACGGAAGGTAGGAAAGGGAAAGCAACTGTGCATGCGGAAGTGAAAGATGAAAAAAATAACGGTTAGTATAAGTAACAAATGCAGAAATTCGTGAAATGGTAGATGCTATCTTTCTTATTTGGTAAAAGACGACTCAGCAATATATAAGACAACTGGTAAGAGTGGACGAAAACTAATCTAGAATAAAGAGCGTATATTGAAAAATAAATGATAGTGCCAAGGCCCGTTCTAGAAAAGAAAATTCCCAGCAATGAGTAACACCGTATTTTGGGACATTCTAGGATCAATTTTTTCATTTTCATTATTTTCTATTTAGGGACCATTATTTATTCATTAGGATCATTATTTATCACCCGGGGCGGCGGGGGGGGGGTTTTTAGGGGATCACATAATTTCCAAGGGGAACTGAGGAGTCGCCCCAGGAACTATAGAAAGTTGACCACCAATTAACTGCCAACAAGAGGGGGGGGGGGGTCATAAGAACATTTCAGTGCCTTAAAGGTGGACCAGGTAAATTTTATCGTGACACTCAGAGCCCTCCCCCGGACTGGTCTCTTAGATTCACGTATTTCTTTGAATTGGACGTTCACTTTACACATACAAATGAAACTGGTGTCCTTATGAACGCCTAATTAATTTTATCATTTGCTTTAAAGTGCCTGGCAATATGGAGGCAGACACATGGGGAGAGTATGAGCCCGGGATGTTCGGTACCTTTCTTCCGGAGGATTTCCAAAAGGGGGTGGGTATGAGTGAAAACCCCGGTGCTTTTGTTGCTGCATTCGAAACACCGGAAGAAACGTCACAAGATAATAACTACCAAATAGACAGAGCCTCGAAAAAGACACTTAGTAACGAGGATGTAGGTAACGACGAGAATGATCAAGTTTACGGATACGATCGTTATATTTACACGAATGAGCCTGAGGATCAAACGAAGGCGTCCCAGACAAAACGAACGGATACTGATTATCAGGGACAGCGTGTTCAGGTTACAACGGAAGAGACTGGATCTCAGCGAGTGCAAGTCAATAATGGTTTTCAAGAGGAGTTTGTTCCAGGATTAAACCCAGAATCTGGTAGAATTAGTTCAGGGGTGTTTTTAGAATGGAAGCTAACATTTTACGGGACGGGTCCCAGTGATAGCGTGTCAGGTGATGGAGAAGATGATGACGATGATGAAAATGATTCTTCAGACATGGATATAGACTTGTAGATGTTTATGCTTTGTCGCTCTTTTTTTATTGGCGCGATCCTTAGGGACATTTATTGAATAATGTACAGCGAGTTTAAAGTCACTAAAATCTAGCGACCTTCTGTCGTCACGTTATAATAAGAAAGCTAATTTTACGCGCGAGTGGCTCTGTTTGGAAACATATGTGTGTGGAATTGGATTTTTGCTATTCCACGCCAGTTATTGACATATGCTATGGTCATTTCCAAGTCATTTATGCCCCTTATGTGCAAGTGCAAAGTTCGGGGCTCAGCGTGCAGGTTCTAATGGAGGTTGATGGCCCATGCATGATTTTACACAATGATTCAGTTTCATACAAACTTGCCGTCATAATGGTATCAGCTTTTTAATTTTGCATCTTTTAAAAATTTAGTTCAAAATCTGTTAAATTTCATAGTCTAGTAGAAAATCGATAGCAGTATGCAAAAGGTGCAAGAGGGTTGTAGCCAAGGGGGAGGCACTCTCGTGGTGAAATTTTTCTGCCTCTATTCAAGAACCGATCATTTTTAAACCAATACAACATCCTGGCATACCCCCTAAAAGCCAGGAATATGCTTGTGCAGACCCCCCGTCCTTTGTCTACGCCCTTGAGGTGTATGTTTACCGTCTTTTCTCGCCAACAGAAGGTTATGCTTGGAGGAAAAGGACAAACTTGACGAGTCCTAGAGGAGGGTTAAGGCAAAATTCGAGAACACTAGCTATTTCTATGGTTGTTAATATTTACAAATTACTCAGAAATTTTGATCTTGATGGTTCCATAGTAGACCTTTCTTCAAAATGGTTACGGTTAGACCAGATCTAGAAGGCTTAATCATTTTTGATTGTCATAAACACGTCTAGTTTCCTTCGCAGCCGTAGTGTAGTCTCGTCAAGCAACGTGTTCTCTTCCTCAGCAACAAGATCTAAACGACGGCTGCGAAAGAGACTATAAACACGTGATACACACCTACACATCATGTTCCCTTTCCCCACATGCCGCTCGGGTATCATGCAACAGCGCGATTTTTAAATGAGTGTCGAAAACAATCCGGAAAATTGCATTCAGAAGTCTCCCTTCTCTACGCCCTATAAGATTGGTATAAAAACTTGCGGCATTCTCTCAACCAATACGATGCAAAACTCAAACGATCTCGACCTGCTGAGTCATGTTTTCTTGCACCTCAGAAAGTTTCCTTGCCTGTCATTGGCTTCATGTTATTTCCTCCTTTGCTCTTATCAGCCGTTGCGGTTACTTTGGTGTTAGTTTTTCGACACTCAATCGAAAAGCGCTCTATATAGGTCCCAATTACATCATATTACAACGACCTATGTATACTTTTTTTTTAAAAATGCTCTTGCCTTATTTTAAGGTCAAAGTATAGATTGCTGCTTCTGTGTCTTATCTTCAAGATGTTTTCCCTTGCTGCTCACGCGAATATGATATGTACTTCTTGCCTGATGATTTTTTAAATGGACGCAGTTTTGATCAATAAAAGCCGTGCAATTTCGTAATCTTCTTTTCCTGCATTTATCTCTATATAGAGTGAACGTTACACTGACCATGTTACCCTGAAAAATGCTGACAGTTTCTCCATCTTGTTCTGTTACTTCTGTTATTTAGTGCTGGCGCTGACTTTTTGTCTTATTTTTACACCTGCAAGCTTGAAATGCTTCTAACTATTTCAGCTTTTTTTAATTTTTACGACGAAAAAACTTGGTAAAATGACATTGAAGCCAATCATTGACAGGCACATTTCCGCGACTCCATTTTATTTGTTATTTAGAAATGTCTGAGGATTTTGACGAAATATAGTGGCTGACCAAATCTTTTATCGACAGTCTAATCTGATGTTCTGTTGAGACTCATTATCGATTAGAAACAATTGGTCCTTCGAGGGAAAGATGTATCTACACTTAGCAGAAAAATGATGAAGACCGAAATTCTTTAATAGGTGCGCGTCAGAGCGTAACAATACCCATGTGGTGCAAAAAAAGCGACTTGCAATATAGCGGCCTCATGCCATCTCCTGACGAAGGTCACCAGTTTAGCTGTTGAAACCTCGCAATCAAAAATTGACTAGGAATTTATATCGCGCAAAAACAAATATTTAAATGCGTTTATCTTTAAAGCCACGATGAGTAAACAAATCATAGTTTACATCAAGTACATTATTTCTACTTCGTTTCGACTTTTCAAGCTCGAAACAATTTGATTCAACTTATGCACTCAGTAGCGTATCAATGTCATTTCTAACAAGATAAATTATTGGATTTAAGGAGGAGTTGATGTAGATTAGATTTGTAGACAAAACTTGCAGAGGCTCAAAACCATCTGACAGAATTACGTCAAACCAACGATATACAAGAGACGGAACTAAACACAGGACAAGTACAACGATTATCACGAGCATGTCAAAAAATGCTTTCTTTTCCCTTCTCAATATAATGGAAGTGTTTACCATCGCCATGACGTCCATCACCTTGTTGTTATGACGACGAATGGCGATGAAACTGCCAATGTGGTTAATGACTGTCAAGATAATGAAACCTACGCCGAGAATCGAGGCCAACTTAATTGGTAACACGAATTTCGACAAGTTTGTCACCAGAAGCCATGTTAATCCAGCCACGAAGGTTATCTGAATTGCCTCTGTTGATTAAAAATCACCTTATTACAAAAACAATGTATAAACCTATAAATCTAAAGTTGAACTCTGTACTCTGTTCTTAAGATTACAATGGCCTATGCAGTGTTATTTGATACACTTCGATAGATCCTATGCAACCTCGCCTCCTACACACTGCTGCACGAGTATTACCAATTACCGGGCGCGGGCTAATGACTTAGGAACTAGGAACTAACCCTCTGTCAAAGAAAGAAGAGACAAACAGGAAGCTCTTGTGTTGTTGAAAATTGTTGATAACCTAGCCTGGGTCCGCTCGAGCTCAGGAGAAATCTTTCACGAACTTTATTGGGAAATCAACATAAAATTTACAACTTGAAAATCTAGCCCCATCGACAGCTACGATGAATGAGTAGAACCAGAGCATGGCTTTTTCGACAAAAAATGGTGGAACGCATTAGGAGACCACATTCAATATCAAGATCCTTGAGAGATTTTTTCCAAAAAAATAAGAATCTGTCAATATCTACTTGGACTTCTGGTCGCGGTTGTTCAAAGAGTGGTTAACGCTATCTACTGGATAAATCCCTATCCGGTGCATGGATAGCGTAGTACGTTTTCTTAGGTCTTATCTGCTGGATAGCGATTTTATCCGTTTGATAGAGTTATTCGCCATTTAAAGAACTGGACGCGTGTTGAATACTTTATTTGAAAGACCCGGTTACTGTAACAGGCGATAGCATGTCTGCGGCTTAAAATGATTTAGAAACTCACCTTTTTTAGTAACGTTAGTACGGTACTTTACAGGCTTGGAAAGTGCGTAATGGCGATCAAAACTGATGAGAGTGATATTCACCAAAGACCACCCAACAAAGCCAATTTGACTCAAGTTATAGGCTATAAACAGGGTGGACTCTGGGCCACAAGACTCGTGGATGCGATGAATCATCAAAGCCTGTAAAACAAACAACGGCTGAGCCACCAAACCGGTCAAACAATCAGCAGTGGCCATACCACACAGCAAAATATTGCTCGGTCTTTGTAAGGATGGTGTCTTTGCAATAGCGATAATGACAGCCAGATTTCCAAGAAAGGCGAAGATGCAGCAAGGAACGTTGACAATACAAAGAATTATGTCATTTATGAGGAGATTAGTGTCGTTACTGGGGAATCGAGGCATCACGGGACTGCTGCAGATGATACTTGCAGTTTCGTTGTTAGCCATTGGTCTCTGATGAAAAGTCAAAGATTGATGTTTGAGTAATGGCGTAATGAGTAACGAATGTAATACAGGTATAACGAAATATTGTAGTCAGTTAAGTATGATTTTGTCATTTGTTTATATGAAGCGTTTATAGTTACTATTTGTATTCAAGGTCCGAAATTATTTGGTTTAAGCTATCGCTATGATTTTCCAAATTGTGACTGTCTTGTCTAACTTCCAGTGGACATGCTTAGTTTGTCTACTGACTTTGTGCTGGACCCACACGAAAGTTCTTGTTTTGGCTTACCCAGTCAAAGATTATTTCAGTTGATCGTTGTGGTCGTATAAAACTCTTTCTTTTCAAGTACAAGTTGCATCCGCTTTGTGAATTAGGAAGATTTGGTTTATGCTTTTAGCTGTGCGTATATTTAGTTATATATGTACGAGGAAAGTTTGGAGAACACTTCAAAAGCTAAAGTTGCTCTCGGCTGCTCCTCAAGCAACTTTCACGCTTCTCTCGTGCTCTCCGAACTACCCGTGTGCATCCACAACTCGATATGTGCACGCTAAGCAACGCTTAGCATGAACCAATTCTTTAACGTCTATATTAATAGGTTGTACGCCATTTACGCCATGTGACACTTTGCTTCTTCGGTCCTTCCAGGTGTAATGTTTGAACGGAAGCTGTCCGGATAAAAGCTGGAACGAAGATCAGGTTTCCAAGGAAAGTGAAGATGCAGAAAGGGACATTGACCGTGAAAATGTGGACTCCTTTTTTTTTTTTTAAAGGGACGGTGTTGTTTCTTTGTTTTTGTATTTTTTCCTATTTGGCCAAGCCACAAATTGAGTCATTCCTACTACGCGACATTCAAAGTATTTAGAAGCACAACGAAGTTTATATTATGGGAAAGTTATCTTCTTTATTTTTTCCTAATGAGCAGTACTGAAAACACATTGGTGTTTATCACTTCATATTTCGAATCAAGTCACTTTGCGAATAACCTCGAATTGATTCAAAACATCGAGACTCGAGTTTGGAAAGGCTTTACCATTTGACTTTAATGCTTGTTGAGAAATAGGATCAAAAAGTTAAATTTAAGGGGGGAAAAGTCTGATAAATTGTATTGAATGCCTTTAATGGAGCTCGGAATTCAGAAAATCCGACAGAAGTCAAAGTTTGAAAAGAGAAAAAAAATCGTCTTGAATCCAAAAATGTTTCATGTAACACGCAAGAAAAATTATCTAGGACACCATTTCAATCAGATTGTTACGCAGATATAACCTTCGCTGGCCATATTTGTTTTAGACGATACTCACCTAAATGAGCAGTGATGTTCACCGAAGACCGAGCTGGTTCGCTCTCATCTGACGAGACTCAATTGACTCCTAAGTTGCAGTCCTCTATAAAATATATTTTTTATGAATTCATATTTTGATGGATATATAGATAAACTACGCTCAGGTAAGGTCTAAGAACAAAGAATTCACTTGGATTGCCGCTATTCGGATTACTCCCATTTATATCGAAACATATGTCTCGTGTAAATCACGAACGAAATTGTCGAGGCTACCATTTCAATCAGATTATTATTCTGATGAAAACGTTTACTGGCTACACCTTTTTGATGATACTCACCTAAATCATCTGTGAAATCGCGATCACCGAAGGCTGAGTTAGTTCACTTTTATCTGACGACCCTCGATTTAATTACAAAATATAGATTGCATTGATCTTTTCGTAATCCATAATTTAATGCATAAACAAATGAAAGCCGCCCAGTTAACAGAATTGAACGAAGAATTCATTAAAAATTCCCAACTATTAGAAAATTACAACTGTTCGATTACTTTTGAACTCAACGAGAAAGACATTCAGCACGGTCTTAATTACCTTCCCCAGGCAGAACTTACATTGACTTATATGACTTTGTTCCCATCACATCTGGAAAATAAAATGTTTCATTTCACTTGGTGGCTTTCAGAAGCTGTATAAAACGTTAAATTTCTGTTCACTAAGGTGGGAAATGTTTTATTTTTAATTTCATCTCCATCAGTGCATTAGTATCGGGCTTACGGTTGCATTTGTTTCTTTTCAACCGATTGGCTCGGAATAGACACTGCCTTCTTTGATAGTATAAATGTTGATGGTAATTATATTTCACTTCCTTTACTAGCGAATCAATTTTTTTCGTTTGGTAGTTCAGTATTATCAACCAAGTCGGCGAAGTCTGTGCTTGGTCGCTCGTTTAATGTACGCTTTCCACTAAAAATACACCGATCCTTAGACAGGAGATTCAAACGATTTCTAATTCGTAAGCAATGTTTTTGATGTAAACTGCATGTGTTCCTTCCCAAGTAACTGGAACTCCAGACACAAAACCAAAGGTAATAAAGTATGGGGATCAAATAACACGTAAACTTTCTTTCATCCAAAATATTAGAAATCTTAATTATTAAGTCAAATATTAGCCGCAGGGCGACTGAAGTGACTTCAGTTTTTTAAAATGGTGGAAATGGGAAAACATAAGTTGATAAAATTCAGCCAAGAAGACTGAAATTAAATTGGTGTCAGATCGTCTCTAGGTGCATTTCAAAAGCAATCCGAAGAATGGCAAATCAAGAGAATTCTCTGTCAAATGGGAGTTAATCATCCGTTACGGCTTTCTATAAGGATTAGGAGACATTTAATTTAACTTATGCTGAAGTGAAACATTCAATGCAAAAATATTGTCTTGAAATGCAAATAAGCGACTCGATAGTGGCGAACGCCAGTTAGTACAAAAAAAACATGATTTGTTAGCCATTTTTCGCCGTCTTAATTAGTAATAAATATTACAAATTAACGCGGTGAAAAATGGCTAACAAATAATGTTTTTTTGTACTTAATTTTTACTTTGCCTCTTAAAGTGAAGAGATGATTCAAAGCGCAAATGATTCGATATGAGGCCTTCATTAACAACGTCCCTATTCGCGCCATTAATGTCCCTTTCTACATCTTCGCCTTCCTTAGAAACCTGGTAGTCATTACTGCTGTTATCAGGACACCTCCTATACAAAGACTGAGCAAGAGTCTATAAGTAATGATGCTGATAGAGAGGGGAAGTTTTTGCTCTATAATATGGGGGAAACTGGGAAACATACGCAAATAAAATCAGCCAGAATTGGGCCTCGTTTTTCGTGCCAAACCCCTTGTGGCCATCTAACCGGCTTAAACTTGCCTCTCGCCACAGCACCTGAGGGATCCTGCTCGCGAACGTGTTTTCTACAAGCTGTGATTGCGACTAAACAGACGCCCTATATTTACGAAGGTGACAGAGTGTTCTCGGGGAATATTTAACAGGGAAGGCTCATCATCAAGCTTTGAAAGCTTGTAGGATACGTTGATGTGTCCTTATCTTTTATCAACAGTGAAAATAACCCACACTTGTATTACTAATTAACCCGAGGTGGAAGAATCTTTTAAAGCACGTTACACCGGAAACACATGAATCTTTATTTCTTCATTCGGATATGTATGTAAAACCGTGAATTGATTCAATCAAAGCCCCCCAAAACGGGAACACATATTGTTTAGTAGTGTCATGCAGGCCCAACGAGCCTTAGTTAAATTTCATGAGCTCGAAAAAAAAGTCAATTGAATTTCTTCCTCTAATCTATGAATAACCAAAGGTAACTGTCATAAAAATTATCATTTAGTTCCATACAATATTAAAGTCCAAGATTCCAATATTCCGGAATTATCTTTGCCATATTTATCCGGGTCAACATAGTAACTTTTGAAAAGTTTTTCACTATCTGCTTGACGTGAGATCCTTCTCCGTTCTATTTCTTCATCTTCTTCATCAAATCCTCCACGTTGTCCTCTGTTGTCATCATCATTATCATCTATATCATCATCGTCATCCTGTGGTGTTCTGCTCCTTACATCTCTAGACATCTCATTTTTACCGCCCGTAATTTGTGCCTCTAAAAGTTCTAAGTCGTCGATGTCGCCGTGTTTGATATCATCCCGAACACGAGCGAGGATTTCAGCATTTGACTTCTCAGAGGCTGGATCCTTCGATAAACGAGACAGCTGATTTTCTAACGCTTCTTGCAAAACCTCCAAATCCTTGCCGTCGTATTTTACATCTGAATTATCTTGATCACTTTTTAGTTTACTTTTAAAAGGGCTACCCTCTGGACTATCAATGTTGTCTGCACTGTCCTCCCCAGACGCTAAATTAAGCTTATCAACTGCTAAATAATGAGCTAGGTTTTTGTCTTCTGCATCTCTTACGTCGGCACGTTTTTCCATTGTGCTGTTTTCTACACAATGTGCCTTTTGAACCACCAATGATGCGTTGCTAGAATCCAGCGAGAAATTACAAGAATCTGAGGTGTCTCGGTCAATGGAGTTGAGATTAAACCCAAATTCTGGGATAAGATCGTCATTATCGTCATCATTCTCTAGTACAGTTGGGTTTTTGTCATTTTCTAAGACTTCACCTCCATCATCAGTACTTTCGCTGTACTGGCTGTCATCTTCGTCGCCACTATATATCTCATACGCATCATTTTCTCCTCGACCTTGCGCCGTTATTTTGTTGGAAACAGAAAGGGACGCTTGCTCATCGCTGGTGCCACTACAGTTTGTTAATCCTTTACATCCCGAAATTCCAGTTTTCAAAATTTTTCCAAAGTTCAAGTCTCCGGAACCACGTTCGTCAACATAATTTCCACTTTCCAAACCTCCACTCCCATCCATTCCACTTGCAGTAATATCACTTTTGTGATCTTGGTTATCTTTGAGTATTTTAAAGAACTGAATGTGCTTGTGTTTATTTGAATTGATAGTTCCTTGTTTGGCAGTTTCAAAATGGTCTGACGTTTTGTTTCCACTTGCTATGACTGATCCGTTGGCTCTTTCAGCAATACGAGTTTCCATTTCTGAATCTTTTACATCACTTTTTGTTTTATTTTTAAAATCGTCTTTATGCTGATTAATACTGTTCATGGGTGAGCTTGTTTCCTGAATATTTTCGAGAACATCTTTGGAAGACTCAATGCCAAATAGTTTTCCTATGTCAGGATTTTTCAGCGCCTCCACGGCAATCTTTGACACTAATGGATTTTTCTGAATTTCAGATATCAATTGTGATATAAGCCTAAATGCTCTAGTCGCATTTTCAGACTTGCCCAATATACTAGCTACAGATGTGCTCTGATTCGTTGTTGCCTTGGAGGCCATATTTAAAGTCACATTTAACCGTTGGCTTACAACTTTACGAGGTTTTTTTCCTTTTTCCCTGCCGTCTTCTATTACCAAAGTGTTTTTAAGCTTTCCCTGGTTTTCGCTGAACATTTTTCTTGCATGAAGTTTCTTAAACATAGCGTGCTTGTTTGGTGCTCCTCCGACATGTTTTCCTTTGAAAGCGTCCATACTTGAATCACTGTTTTTCCCTGTCCAGTGGTGCTTTCCTTTACTCGTTTTAACTTTGCCTTTTGCCTTGGATTTCAGGTAATGCTTTTTAAACTGAGCTAATTTACCCTCCTTCACTTTCGTACGGTGAAGTTTTGCTGCATTATTAAATGGATTTTTCTTCGAAACCTTTTTGTGAATCACTCTCAGAGAAGGTTTATCGTGGATATGCTGTAATTTCTTCCTGCGAGAGGACACAGTTAATCTATTTCCTCTAAAAATTTTCCCGGCTGTATCTTCCATCGTTTTCATAATGTGGTCCTGGGCATGGTCCATCTGATCATCAGTTTGCATTTCACCATGTTTCCCAGTTTCGTCCAAGAAGATCCTGGTGACATCTTCCTCATCTCCCCGTGAGTATTTCTTCAAGTAATGTTCACGATTATTGTTATCATTGTCAGTGATTACCACAGTCCACAGTCCCCTGGGGTCTTCACCCCAGAAATGGACTGTCATGAAGAGCCAGTTCTGTGAAAACAAGATCATGTGTCAAATGGTTTCAGAGGCAATTCAAAGGTAGTTTAGGAAGTTTTTTGAATAACAATGCATTTACTGAAACCGTAGCAACCAAGCAGAAGACAATAAGTATCTTTATAAAATAATTCAAATAGTACGCGCGCTCTGATTGGCCATAAAACCATTTTACATGAGCGTATGTAAACACGGTTTTCGTTCCTCTTTCATTACTTATTTTATAAAAGAAATGTACTCGATAAGCTGGAAACCACTCCGCTTCGCGTCGTGGTTTCCTACGCTTATCTCGTGTTCTCCCAACCTCCCGCGTGTTTACATCAGGCTATATAAACACGGAAACCATTTTACATTTCTTCATTTAAAATGAGCGATAACTCAACCCCGAACGCTTTTTTCCGATGCACATTCACGACGGTCTTCGCCACCGCAGGATTCGCCAATCGATCTAACAGAGAAGTACAAATACCAATCTTTTGTTTTCATTTTATCTTAATCGGCCGAAGACACGAGAGCAACAAAATGCAGCATATTTCTCTCCTAGTTCGTACTCCTAAAACCCGCGAACATGCAAAAGCACCAAAGGCTTTGCAGTTGACATTTCATCGACACTGTGATCCCATTAACATCACAGGTAAACGCACACATTTTACTGTTTTGAACCAAAAATTGAATGGGTTGAATGGTCGTATCGGTTTCATAACTGCCATCTTATTGGTTTCCATAATCATACACTTATCTCTTCCCCGAATCAATTAGAGAGCACACATTTATTATTGTGCTAATGCGTCCCATTTTTCAACCTCGCTCATGGCCAAGTGTACAGGACGTAACTCTAACTAATAGGGGTTATTCGAATTAAGAAATGCTGTGACTGTAAAAGAGACTACCTTGAGTCCAAGTGCCGAATGATCATTCCTCCGAGTTGTAAGCATCTTACTCCGTGTCCCGGAAGGAGAGATCAAAGTAATACTAAGATCTCCCCGGTGACGGTGATGTAACGTGATGTTTATTTGCACGTGCTCTAGTCGTCTTATCTCGGAAGGGGTGCTTGAACACGATGACGTGTTTGCTGATAGAAGTAGACTACCAGAGTTTGGGATGAATCTGTCAAGGTTTGAATTAACAAAGCATAGCATTGATAAGTGCTTTTGACAACTGTTGAGACCCCGGAAGTTTGGAAAGGGAAATTCTGTCCAAAATACCGGTCCCAAAAGCATGATAGGACAAGAAGTATGGCTACAACCCCTATTTGAGATGCTGATCTATCGCCGGGCTACCCAAACTCCCCACTCCCTCTTTGACATTTAAACATGAGACCTCCCTAAGCAAATTTCTGGTATTTGTTATGGTGCATTTAATTTGCGATAGGACTGCATGTTTTGCGATTCACAGCAAATCGTGGCTACAATTATCTATCTGCAGTAACTTTACTCATTGATATTGACAAGTACTATTACTTTAAATGTTGAAAAATGATCTTTTCCAAAGTCATTTCTCCACAATTCAATCATTATCAATATGTTCGGTTTCGGCAAGAAAGCAGACCTTCTTAGACCATTATGTTTACTAAGTACGAGGACCTAGTAAAGAACGTTGACAGACCTTTTATTACTGTGGGAAGCACCATGACAGATACGCTGCCTGTTGACATTTTTCCACCTCAGCGCCGTCTCCACCATTTTATTGACATCTAATCTACCGAAGCCAAACTTATGATTGTATCTTTTTCCTGCACCGTTGGTCTTCCATCCTTCATCCAATGGACTTGTTACCTGAGAGGACTCTACTATCACGTGCTGTACATCTCTCCACGTTAGCGTGGGGCTGAAATTAAGTCCAGTCACAAGTAAGTAATTCATACGTTTTCCTCCATTACTATCGATTAGGGTGTAGGGTGTTCATGATTATGCCAATTTTAATTTTCCCTTCCCGCCCTTAATTACAACCCACCCCCTCCACCAGAAAACCTGTCTTTGAAGCGAGATATTTCGATGGAAACGACTTGTAAGACGCTATACCAATCGAGGACAAAGACGGAACGGTTGTTTAATTTATTAACCGACGTAACGCAGTGTATAACTGTCTAACACGCAAACACAATCACACATGACTCAGATCAGTAGCTTAACCTATATAACATACTTTGCTTCCAATACTAGAGCCAACATTCCTGCTGCCAGCGGCGCGGCGGAAGAAGTTCCTTTGAATACCTTAGTACACTTATGGTGCAAATCAGTGGTGACCTTTAAAGGAGAGAAGAAATTTACATTTTACATATTATGGCAATTTTCAAGAGATCCAAGTAGGTTTTGTTCACTGTGAAGTCTTAATGACTTGCCAAAAATGCTGTATCACGTGCGGGCAATTTGCTAGAAATCTTCAACACTTTTCAAGTGACTTACCACTCTGTTCTCATCACTTTCTCTATGAGATCCTCCAGAAAATGTGACAGCTAGAGTTGACGCGCAAGTCTCCGTGTAGTATGTAGAAAGTCCATGGTCACTAATGGCGCCAATCGATATGGTGTATATACTGGTAGTGTAGCCATCACAATTGCAGTCGTCATCTGTAAGACCTCCATTTCCAGTCGCCCACACGAAAATGCTGCCCTTGCCACCGCGACCCTGGGGTGAAAAATAGAACTTTTAATGAGACTCGAAATCTTCACATGGGGCCAGTAAGAAGCGCGAAGCAACGAATAATTCACTCTTGACTGCCTTTCTACCTTGGCGCGAAGCTTATTCACCACACGTCAACCCTTTGACCTTTGATTAGCTTCTAATATCTCCCTAAAGGATCAGCTAAGGTAAACTCGCCGATACCTATTTACACTCCTGGGTGGTTCCAGAGAGGTACTGTGAGAGTAGATTGTCTTAATCAAGAATAAAGTATAGTGACCTCAGGCAAAGCTTGACCTTTCCATCCAAAGTCAAGCTGACTCTCAGGTTACCGAATTATGCAAATTAGAACATTGTGAAACGAAATAACTTTACCCGTTGAGTACCAATTTGCAGGGCTTTACTTGCAAGATGACCAGGTTTACCAAATCGCTTGCCATCATCTTTTGGCCCCCAACAACAGCTGTAGATGTCGATGTATTCTGAGCGATAGCTTAGAGAGCTTCCTTCAATTGTGTCTGTAGCTCTACCGTCCAGCATCCGAATGCCTGCGTAAAATCATGACATGCAATCGATGGATTTTGTTTAACAAACCGTTCGTTTCTGTACGGGACTTTACTCAAGGCAAGCACAAACCAACGTGAACACCGCATCGATGACTCGTAGTGAGTCCCCTATACTTCAATGGTTAGTGGAATGAAGAAGAACAGCTTTCAAACTACCATCCACTCTTCTCTTTTACGACAAATTTGAATGTACGAGAACAAGCCATCCCTAAATAAAACCTTTCTTGAGCCGGGGAAGGAAGAGGCCTAGATCGTTATATAGTTATAAATGTATTCACTACCTGATACTGTTCAACAGGGAATGTACGACTCACCTCCAATACTAGCGTTGAACGACACCCCTACCCCACAGATTCCGTTATTAGCTTCAGCTGCAACTTCACCTGCACATTTTGTGCCATGGCTGAAAAAAAAAAAAAAAAAAAAGGGAAAACCTTCAGTTTGGTTCACTTTCTTGAATAAAAGTGGCAACTTTGAACAACTTCACTGTTACCAGTTTTCCGGGTTTTGGTCCCGTGGCATTGGATCCCCATCAAAATCGTTAAAATCGAAGCTCGCGTCTGGATCCTGAAAAACGAAAAAGGTGCAGTTTTTTTCAGTAACAGAGCCAAAATAGCTGGATCAATAAGAAAAACATTATGTACTTCGGGAGGTCCTGAAGGTAAAAAGAATAGACAAGTAAATGGAACTCGTCTCTTAGTGTTTCCGAATTTATGAAGAAAGGATATTTACATTCAGAGGAACAGTGCTTTACTGTAGAAGGGATTTTATTCATGGGAATCGAAATTTGTTTCAATTAATTTGACCCTGGCTGAATTATGGAACGGTCCTCTTCAATATTAATCTGTACCAAAAATTCTGATTTGGGTCTAGTTTGCATGTCACACAAACTAGAAGAGTCACAGCTCCAAAGCTGTAAGTCACTTTACGGCTTATCTATTCTTCAGAGATCTGTAGAAAGCGAATCTCCAAAGTTCGTTCGTCAACGGGTTTCGAAAAAGAATACGGACTTACATAGTTTCTCGTTAAATCCGGGTGAGTGTGATCAAGCCCTGAGAGGTGAAAAGAGTAGAACGTACCATGATCAGAGAGGTAATGAGATTATTAACCCTATAACTCCCAAGATCTCATAAGTAATTCTTCTTACTGTCTGCCAAATAATTCCCATTAGGTTAGTTTGGAGAATTTGGTGTCGGATCAATTAGCGATCCCATAATTAATATTTTTCTTTATTCTTATCACTTGTCTGCATGACATTGTATAGATTTAGTAAGGAGAAATTCTGTCTTGGTCACTAACGGGATTTAAAGGATTAAGGGTTTTTTTGTTTGTTTAATAGAAATAAAAATGGAGTACTCGCTTCTCAGGTTAATTCTCGCAGAGAATTACAGTAAAAAGATTGTCTGTTGTCTGTGTACTCTCATCGATGGGGACGCCGGACTATGTTTATTATAATCAGAGGTAAAAACCTAAGATATTCTATATTCACGGTTTTTTCTATCATTACGAAAACTCCCGCGGCGCAAAGCAAGGCAATGCGGTAGTAACTAGAAAGTGACATGAAAAGGAAAAATTGGGGAGTAAATAAATAATTCGGCATTTCATGGTAAGGCAGTGTGTAAGATCTTATTTCTTACCGTCATCAAGTACTGATACCACGACTCCTTTTCCAGAATATCCACGAGCCCAAACTGGTAACACACTGATATCGACCCCGCCGGGTCCTGAAGACTGTCCGATATTTTGCTAATGAAAACATAAGCCCAAAAGTACCAGTTTAAGGTATGGGACAAATGCATCGTTAAGATAACGAAAGAGATTTGAGCTGACCACTTTGATCACTATTAAAAACAGCTCACTTAATTTGTTTTAACAACAACAACAAAATGATTAAATAATTAGCATTGACTTTCCATGAAGTAGGCTTAAAATCAAGTTGTTATTTTTCCATGCACACTCACTAATGCTTGGGTTCATCTTCACGGTAAATGGATTGCTACTTTACGCATCTAGAGAGCTATTAAAAGTGCGATGAACTCATTCAAAAATTCGTTTCATTGCTGAGTTGCAGATGAATATCCCTTAAAATCTATTTTTGTTGGTACAACAAGCTTTTGTTTTTTTAGAAATGCCTTCTGGCTGTTTTTGAACGAATCTAGCTACGAAATATGCATTTTCTATCCAACGTAAGGGTCGTTTGGAAATAACGGAGAAGCAACTGACCCATGGTTAACTGACTACTCACCAAATACCATTGATCCTTGAAGAAGGGATCGCGGATTGTGAAAGCGGTATCCTGCCTGAGTGTAGCCACCGATCTCTGTACCAGTTCGTCTTCACCCTGTATGACGTCACGCTTGCTCCGTTCCAGAATTCTTTGCTGCTCCACCCATTTCACCTGAGAGTTAAACACTATACATTATATTTACCTTAATAACTGACTTGAACAGGGAGCTAAATTTACAGAGCTATGGATTGATTTCAGCCCAAACCAGTAAAATAACAGTTTTATCATGGGTACTCGTTGCATCTATATTTTATTAAACATATAACCTGCATCGTTAAGGTATTTTCGTCGCCTCAGTGTCTCTGTTGCCATAGACAAGGATTGTCTGTCTAAATTACCACCTTCGTTTTTGTCACTTAATTGCAGACAGCGACAATGACTTAATTACGACTTTTAGGTGAGTCAGATTAGATATAAATGAGCAGTTATACTGCAATAGGGTTGAAATATTTCAGCAGATTAAGGTCATGTTACTCTAGACGAACTTTGATAGTTTCGTTATTCAGTGGTGTTTACCGTTTGATTCATTGTGTCAATTTTGGTGAAGAAACATTAAAATATTCATTTCTGGAAATCGAATTATATCGTGAAGTATTATCAATGAAAGAGACCCTAAGACTTTTCGCGTCGAGGCGTTTTCCTTTTTTTTTTCGGTGCTTCCAAGAAAAATCATGAACCTCTTACAATAAGTGTAGCGAGTTAGTTCTCAGTTACTGTCATCGCGGAAAAGATTTGGTAATATTAAGAAAAAAAGTCCTTAAAGTAGATGAAAAGTGACAAAGAGCTGTCACATTAAGCTCATTTGCATGGTGAACAGGAAATTGAATAACTTTTTCGCTCTTTTCGCATCATAGGCTTGCCTAAGGTCAACACAATTCGTGGAAATTTGAAGACAAATTTATCAAGCTACTTCAGATCTAGACGTGAAACTCGTAGACACCGAGCTAAATATTGAAGGCAAAAATATAAAATTCTTCCTTGATAAACTTACTAGAGGATTTGATTAAAGTTAAAAAGCTAAGCCGGTAATCAGCTGATTTAAAAATCAGTTGCAATTAGCTAAATGTGCGAAATTGACTCAAGTCCAAGCAGAGTTTTCCCTGAAGGCGTACTTACGAAGTAAAGACATCTCTGAGATATGTGTCAAGAAGCCGGAAGGTTTAATCAAACTTGTCGGAAAATTTCACGAGTCGATAATTTTGCTGTCAGAAGACAGTGGTAGTAAGAGTTACGCTCTCTTAAGTCTCGTGGTGACTGCACATTCTGAGCTGGTGTTACTACAGTCACTGAACAATTTAAATTTCATTAACCACAAACCGTAAATCAGTCAATTTTTTTTGCACAGTATTAGTGATTAAGAAAGATGTTTTTAACCTTTTCCTCTCGGGATTAATAACATTAATTTTTGAGTTAAGTTACAAGTGCATGGTTTCAGAGGGTATCTTTTGAATATCCACCGGTAGCAATCTGTGATTAAATTCAAATCCACCAGTAAAATAAAGAGACAATAAAGAGATACACAGATATGAAACTTACTCTTGGCTCCGATAATAAGGTATCGCTGTGATCATCCAGGCTCCGCCGCGATCTCTCTCGAACATTATGTTTTACGAAATGGTAGTATCCCGGAAGACTCCCTATCTAGAAGACACAAAACATCAACAAGTGCAGGTTGACATTTGTTGATCCTAAGGAAGTGACATGGCTTCTGGTACCTCACTGACCTTCATAATAAAAGCAACCAGTCTTTGCGTCCGACCCAAATAGCAAAACAAATAAATCAAGCGCTTAATCTTCGCGCACAGAGATTAACGCTCGTTTAAAACAAATTTGCTCCGAAAGCGATCGAATCACTGCAATTTTGACAGGGTGGCTAAGGCTCCGTATCAACCTACCTGTCCCTGATTTACAAAGCCGTGCTTTTGTGCGATATTGTTCACCGCCTCGAAGTCGTCATTTTCGATATGAACGGCCCACGAATTAGTAAAATGTACTTCTCCGTCGCTTTCTTCGTTTGTGGTCGCTAATCCAAACCAGGCCAGAAGAAAGACGACCACAGAAGCTTGCATATCGATGTGTCAGACATTGGGGATTGCCTGATTATCCTGGAACCATTTGATTTTGACTTCCGTTCATTTCCTATTCTTACTCAATGCAGCTAGCCTCGCTTCGGTGCGGCTTGAGGAGCGATGGAAGACATTACTGACTTCCTAATATGGTAACTTCATGAAAAGGCGCGAAAGGTAAAAACAATATTGCATAGTAATTCGACGTTTTCAGAGCGAAACTCGTTCGTATTAAGGTGAATATTGAACTTTTTTGGGAGCTAAATTTATGTTTAGGAGGATATTGTGCCATTATATTTATTTCTTCTTTGTACATTCTCTTTGGCGCAAGTCTTGAATTTATCTGAAACTTGTTGATTTGTTGTTGACGGTGACAAAGTGAAGAGTTCTTTTACATCAAATCAGTGTAACATAATGAAGCTTTCTTCATGATTAATCTTGATTCAAATTCCTTGGTATAACCTGAGTATACACCAAGTTTGAAGCTTTGCTCTCGGCCAATTCAGTTATTTTATCAACCTTGGCTTTAAGGGTATCAATTACTGACCCGTTTCGCATTTCTAGGTCGGGTAATTTGTTCAGGGCGTATTCAATGAAGTAAACCGATGCGTGAAATATTTTCCACTTCTAAGCTGCTACGCTTACACGAGCGTGATACTACTAGACACAGTTGCCGGTCAACAGGTAGCTCGTTTATTTTTTCACAAACATAGTGAGTAATTTGAATGCATCACTGATGCGTTCAAACGAGAATTTTAATTTATCCCAGATAATTTAACCGTTAACCTTTTGGTTACGGCGGATTTCAGTTGAAAAGAAAACCTTGGTTTAGGGATTGTTGCAAACAATCATATCAGGGAATTAAAAAAATAACGTAGATCGCGGATCGGACGGAATTTTTGTCTCCTATAATGGATCGACTGTCCAAAATTGAAGTTCAGATTATGGATCCCATCGTTCCTGTCTTCAGAGTCTTCAGTCAATCTTGGAGTGTATATGTTCGGTCTTTTGTGGACTTCAGATTTCATTCTTCGGCGTTTAGAGAAAGCTAAAAAAAAATGAAGAAAAAACAATTTGTAATGTTATAATGCTACTTTCTTAACCGTGGGTTCGGGCCAAAAAATAGCTCAGATCGGCAAATGTGCGTAACCCTTTCCAGTCCCCCCCCTCCACTCTTATCATATGTCATCATCACTACCATGTCCAACCGAAACTTGCCATGGGCAGGTCCAAAGGGATCACTTAGAACAGAAAAATGGTCAAATATTAAAACTTCATATTTGATAACATACTTCTCCGAACGCTGCAGAATTGCTGATGGAGTGCAGTGGCTGCAGTCATTTCAATTTGGCGGTGAACCTGTCTGAGATTATTTCTCATGTGCCGCACTTCTCTCTTAGCGCATATTCCCTCTGATATAAAAAAAAAACGTTTTTTTATATACTGCCCTTATTATTCATAAGCCTAGATGTAAATTATGGAAAAGATATGTAGGAAAGTTCAACTTGCATCTTCCAATTTGTTTAACTCTCTTCTGCCGACTTGGGTTGTATAAGCTTTGGTGGAGGAGCTTTCCTTCAGAGTAAGATGAGATGAATCATCATATTGATGAGGGGAGGGGGTGGGGAGGCGGAAGAAGTACAGAAGTACATAAGTTATTAGATTGGGGGTTACGAGATGCAAAAGTATTGTAGGTGAGGCAAGAGGTGCAAAGTAGACATACATAGGGATGCATCAGTGGCGAGAGAAAACTTATTTTTTCTTGGTTAAAGGAGATCCCACCGAAGCCATTCGGCTGCCATCATATTGATATAGCCGCAGATAAACTTCTTAGTTTTAATAATTACCTAATTTTCTTACGAAATTCTTTGTTTAGGACGAATTTTAGGGATTGTGATTTTTTTTTATAGCTGTACAAGTTACGTAGCAGCTTATATCAAGGGTTCTGCAAGACAAATTTCCGCTGAGTAAAGTCATTTTTGCGGGCTCCAATATTTTAATCCAAAATGGCGTCCGGAGTGAGATTTGGTGCACGCTTTTGTTGCCGAGCTTATGCATCTTCATTTTGTTACTCCAGGGCGAGCAGAATAAACATCAATACTTCGAAATATCTTTGGAGATGTCCAACAGCTTGTGTCACTAGTACATTAGAGGTAATGTGTGTAAAATCAAACTTTTCGATTCTTGAATTTGATTCGAGTTCAATTAATTTTAAATATTTTTGATGCCGAATCGAATCGAGGATTGTCTATAATAAGCTTATACCAGTGACAAGAGTACTGTGCGAGTTCTTCTGGAGGCGAAGTTTTAAATATAGCTGGACTACCTTTTTGCAAATTTGTTTCTGATCAGCTGATTTTTTTAGTGAACTTTACACATCGTATGTTGCTTTGAAGGTTTCAAATAAAAGGCTTTATGCAGATGAAAAGTCTTCACGTGCGCCAGGTGTTTTAAAGTTTTCTCAGGTAAGTTTTAAACTCCCTTCATGTACCTTTGTTTTCCTGTGTTTTTGGATACCAAGAGTACACACTTATGCAAAAAGGGCTAGTCACGTATAAGCGATAATTTTCAGCTCATCTTTATAATTTCATGATAGAACAAATAATTCTAGTTTTTTATTGCAGCTAACTGGTAAATGCCCTACACAAATTAAGAGGTATTCATGTAATCAAAAGTGGATCAGAACACTGATGGGATCATTTTAGGTGGGCTACGGATCAGACCACTGATTGGTTAAAAGATTGGATCACTGATGGTGATCCTACATTGGATTAAGAAAAAGTAAAATGAATATAAGAAAAATTGAGTGATAGAGCTCATTAGTAACAGAAAATTTAAGGAAGCACTTACATGAAGTCAGTAACTTACAAGAACATGTGCTCTCAACAATGGTTTATACTCATATTAGACCTAGAAACTGTGTATTACCTCCACAAAAATTCAGCGTGTATCTTGTGTGGAATGACTTCCTTTATTTACAGGGAAACTTGCCAGCATTTAATGATATTTTTGAGAATTAATTAAAATTAATAATTGTGTTTTCAGTACTTGATGCAAGAAAACTTTAGGAATGCTGTAGACGGTATCGATGTCTCAAGCTCTACTGGTTCAGAGGGGGAGCAGGATGATGAAGGTTTCTGTTTTGTTTTTTAATAAAGATATCCAACACATTTCTGACACACTCCATAAATCTAATAGTTAGACAGACACTTATTAACCCTTCACACCCAAACATCAGTATACATTCTCCATAATGTTCTCTATACATTTCCTAAGTTGTTGACAAGGAGAATTTGTTTAACAATCAATATCTTATTTAGTTGGTTGTCATTTCCTTTACTCCTCTGACCACAACATTTGATTCAGGTGTGAATTTATGAGGAGAATTAGATTTTAGTCACTCCTTGGGTAAAAAGGTCAGATACCTAGTAATAGGAGAGTATCCTTTAAATGTAAACTTAATTGGGGCCAACTAACATTTTTGGTCTTATGATGAGACATCAGTTGAAAGTAAAAGAATGAAAGATCTTTTTATCTGAAGAACAATCACAGCCAAGACATAAAAAAACTTTGAACATTAATGAAACAAAGGACAAGAGTTCTTTTGGATAGTATTATACAACAGTGACCTTTTGCAATTTGTGTTTCACACCCAGATCCATCAATGCAAATGATGATTGAGAGATATGAAAGGTATCACTTATGGTTGGCAAAGTTGATGGGGAAGGATCCTGAATCGTTCAGCCTAGAGGATGCGCAGGTACTGAGTATAATATATGCTTAATGTCTGTACCCTTGGGAAACAGTTAGCTTTGTTTTCTGAGAGCCTCGATGTTTCTTAGGATGAAGTCCACGAAAATGTTGAGATTTATGCTTAAGTTTTTTGTTATACATGTAAAAGACAAATTTATTAAACAAGCAAAAAATGGATGTTTATGAACATCACAACTTTATTTGTTGTTTACACCACAAATGTACCTCTGGAGAACCATGTTTTTGTATTTACATATTTTAATCATTATTTTATTTTAGGAAGCAGTTGAATACTTGTTACCATCTGGATTGTATGCTAAGGATTGTCGTCCTACCTTTGAGGTATCAGCAACAGCTCTACCTAAAGTACAAGTGGGCAGTTATAAGCTTTCCTTATCTAGATTGCACAAGAGCTTGTTGTATCAGGCATAGGAAAATTTATGCGAATTAGTTTTGTTTAGCATCAGGTTTGTTTCTGTATGGTCAGGAAAATGGCTCAGTTTTCTTAGACCAAGTAAAGAGTAGAGTGAAACAAAACAAAAACATTTTCTGTAATGTTCAAGCTTGTACTATACCTGCTGCTCATATCTACCTCTGTTTTTACCTTCTCATAGCACCCTGTAATGTTCAAGCTTGTACTATACCTGCTGCTCATATCTACCTCTGTTTTTACCTTCTCATAGCACCCTAAGACACTTTACAGACAATGGACAGGTACAGGCATATATATCACTTGTGTCTCTATATACTTATATTTGTGGCTATTTTTTATGTTCATATTCATTTTGATATCTAGCTCTATCTTATATATTTATTATTTTCATAAATATATTAATTTTATATCTATTTTGTCTTGTGCAACTGACTATAAAGATACACTTCTTTCAATTCTTTGAAGATTACTTATATGTCTCTTAAGAGGAAAGATGACTTAGGAGAAAGATGTTTTATTCTATTTACAAACATGTTGTTATCAACATTGCTGATCCTAGCAGTATGTAGGACGCATGTCATATGTACTTTGTAATAGACCTTGCTCACCATGGAGTCTCTGTGATTCAGTGGTAGAGCATGGGGACTAAAAATTTTTTTCTTTGTCCCATGTTCACAACAAGATGGAAAACATCTTTCTCAATTTCTTTGCTAAGCTCAAAACCTACTATCTCTCTTATTCTAGTTACAAATAATCTCTTTGTCTATACTAAGTGCTTGGGTATGTCTTGGTAAAAGGGGGGCCTGTAGCTACAACTTTTTCTTCTTTTCATATTCAAAATTCAAATTCTGAGTAGTTGTCAATCTTTATAAGGAGATCAGGTTTTAAGCATGGATAATCTGATTTCTTGTGAAGTAAATTTACCATTGACAGAGTTGTACATATAACATTGATTTTTATCCCCTTTGGATTTTTGCATGTAGAGCAAATGGATAAATCTGGCCGTCCACGGGCTGCAGCTTTTTACACAGGCCAAGTTGGCTTCCATGATTTGTTGTTTGTAAGTATTTCCCTCCTTTGGTACAGCATATAATTATGCATATTAATATACTGTAGGCATATATTTTAAAAAACTCACAAGTGAGGATTTCAAATTATATTGTATTCTTGATACAGTGATGATATTTGTCCCGCAGGAAATTTATGAGCTCACAGCCAAGTTGAATGCTCTTGACAAGACTGCATCAACTGACAGTGGTGCAACAGAAAAAGAAGACATCTTGGTGTCCGGTGATGACACTGAATCACAATCCAGTGATGTAGACAGTGCAGGTTCATCTGACAGTGATAGTTCGGAGGCAGAAGACCACTCGTCATCGAGTGATGAAATTGAATTGCATGCTAGTGATGTGGAAAGTGCAGATAACATTGCTGACATTTGGAGGTACATAGCTTGTTTCTGGCGTAGAGTTAGTCAATCGGTGCGATAGTAGCGGCCGTGCGAAAACCAGGGAGGTTGGATTGGGCGACCGCGCGATCGACCCAAACCCATCTCGTTTGCCACCGTTTACTGTCCCGCTTAGTTTTATCAACTGAACAGAGGGATTAGAGGTACACGAATTCAACAAACTGATGGACAAGTATTATTTTGCAGCTGGCTCTGCGAGCTGGAAAAATTATACGACCGCTGTGACTTTACTTTGTATGGGCTAGGGTGCCTTCTTCCCCGGTTGATCCTGCAGAAAAAAATATCCCCTAGCAGACATTACCAGTGAACTTTTTTTTCTCACAAGAAGATGGTTACCGGCGGTATTTACAACTAAAGAGTCACAAACGCGTCTTCATAAAGTCAAATCAAAGAAAACCACGACAAGATTCGTGAATTATCTGCCAATGTTTGAAGTGTAATCTCTTTCTCATAAAATAATCTTTTATAAAAACTAAGCTTGTATGGTTAAATTTTTAACTCCCAAGATTTGATTGTCTAGTATCCCCTCTAGTTGCTACATATTTCCTTGTAAATTAGTTTCGAGAAATTGGTGTTAGATCAAGATAAGAAGAAGTTACGGACTTAGATTATTCTTTGACAAACGGCAAATCTATGACATCTTCCGTCTTCCGTTTTTTTTTTTCGGTATTTTTGTTTATCTTAATGCTTTGTGCATATGTTTCATAACCTCTACAATGTATTCTAGATGCTGATGCATGTCCCTGTTATTTCACAGCAAAGAGAACTGGAATCGGAAGAAGATGAGATGGATCAGCAAATTTGAACTGGAAAGGCAGATCGGTGAACTGCTCCCAGATAGAGATGTAGGTTACTCGTAGTATTTGTACCTAGCCCGCGCACAAGCTCTCTTTAGGGGTGGGAGCGTAAGAACTTTTATCCAACCCACCCTCGGGGAGAATTAGCCTGCTGTTCATAGAAAATGGTTACTGACAGTGTTGACAACAACAGTCACAAACGCGTCTTAGGCAGTCAAAATAAAGAAAACTACGACTATTTTCGTGAATGTATTTGGCAATTTTTGAAGTGTAATCTCTCTCTCCATACTGTAATGTTTTTCCAAAAGCTAAGTTTTTAGGTAAAATTTCTAACTCCCAAGATCGGATTGTTTTACACATTTCCTTTCGCTCTGACGAAGGGCTGTTGATCGAATCGTCAGCTTTGAAACTCTTCATGGTGGCCAATTTACATTATTAACTCAGTTGATAAAACCAAATTATCAGTTTATTGAATTTGTCTCTGACTATTTACTACATGATAAGTGGTCTGGTTTTTTCATCAATACAGTTTGAAGTTATTCTACATCGACTCAAGAAATTAACCAAGCACCGAAATGCAGATCACGCAATTCCTTTTTTACTTCGTTTCCTAAAAGAAATACCTCTGCCAGGAAAAGAACAAGTGATAAAGGAGGTAAGTGAATTTGACTAGTAACTAGAAGGTGCGATCGTCCGCTTGAGATTGATCCTGAACAAGGCAACCTGTTCGGCAAATTCGTTCCCAGGGTTCCCTGGGGGGGGGGAGAGGGAGAGATGTTCCTGGGAACGAATTTGCATGAGCGGAAGTCTTCATCAGAGCGAAGCGAAAAGTCAAGCGACTCTGATGATGACTTCCAATCTCGTGGTGAAAAGTTCAGGCACAGTCATCGACGACATTTCTTTTTTTCAGGATGGACCAGGAAGAAGTTCTCTGTGCTTTAAACTTACTTGTTACTTATTTACTTCAACTCAACAATTAATATTCTTTTTGATGTGGATTGCCTTATGTGATAAGTAGGTTTTACAAGTTCGCTCTTGATTTTTTAGCACACGCTTGTATGGTCTGAGTGACCCAGCAGCAACAGAGAACAGTTGGCTAGATGAGAAAGTTCCATTATTGTGTAACTAATCTTTTCCCCCTTTTTGACAGCTTAATGAAGACGGTGAAGCTTACGGAGAAGGTAGGTCAAACAGTGTTTAACCTTAGTTTTGTGGGTCAGTTAAATTGAAATGTTCTCACACCGTTTGTATTGATCACTTCAGAGTGCATCAACAAAATTTTTCGGTGTGTTGGACCTGTACTTCTTTTCCATTGGTTATTTCCTCCCCCCCCTCCCCACTTCTCATCGATGGCTTCTTTTCCTCCACTTATGGCACGAATAAATTTTTCCTGCTCTTTCCTTCGTTTCTAGCCATGTTTATCCACGATGTTCGTGGCAGCCGTTGCACGCTTTTCAGTGCGTGGCATCAAAAACGCTGGTCACTACATGATGCAAACTTATTGATGTGTCAAAAAAAGGGAGAATTTCTCCTCTTTGGACCTTTCGCTGCGATGCCTTATTGAATTCAACAGAAATAATAATGCCGATGAAAAAATTTTCCATTCATAACAAACGCAAACAAATGATTTGTTCGTCTTTTAATCCATACTCCAGGTGACCGCAAAAATGCTACTGCAAGGGTATGGATTAAGAAAGGCTCGGGAAACGTCACGGTTAACGAAGTGCCTTTCGTCAAGTATTTTCCCAGAATGGAAGACAGGTATGGTATTTGTAATCAACTCTTTTGTCGGCTTCATTAAGCAGTTGATGGCTCGAGTATCTACAACCGCTCTTAGTGAAAGCATAGCTTGCGAGCAGGCCCTCGTTATCAGAGATGTAGTTTGCCTTTTACTTTTGCTTTGCGTTCCCTTGGGCTCCTTGTAACATTTACCGTTACTGTTATTGGTTGCTCGGAATGTTTAGGTTTTTGTCCTACGAGACTCAATCGGAAAGCTTCAACTGTTGAGCGACAGGTCTCAGTTACAGCATGGATGAGCGTACAAGGCCCTGCGAAATATATATTTTGATTCCGCACCGATAATTTTCTTGTCTCGGTCGTTTTTTTTTTTACAACTTAATTCTCTCGTTATCTCCCATTTTAGGAAGCAAATCATGTCGCCATTCCTCGCCATTAATGCAGTAGGTGACTATGATGTGAGAAGTGAAGTTCTTGGAGGAGGACACTCAGGTGAGAAATTCCGTCCATTGGTTAGTCTTCACTTTGATTTTTCCCTTTGATTGGTCTAAAAAACTCGCGCCATTGACTTTCTCGACCAATCGAACGTAAGACGGAGACTAATTGCTACGTGGTCACTCGCGTGTCTCGCGCGTCAGGCAGTTTGTTGTTGTTGCAGATTTGTCTTTCTTTGTGTAATTCATCCTTATTCTGATTTGCCGTTGCGATAACTGTGACTCTGGTTTTGTTTTTTTACGACACTATATTATTTAGTTGTACAATTTCCATCCATTATCATCAGTGGAGAAAGAAGACTAACCGATGTAGAATTCCAAAGGCTATTTGAAACCAAATCATTTGTTACTGCCGGTTAGACTTCTTAACACTCAAACGGTTGGTTCCCTCGCCACGGTTTTCGGAATTTACAACAAACTGGCACTGGCTACCGTAGTCCATGATAATAAGGTGCGGAATAAGGCTATCCTTAACATTTATTTCCTGTCCGTTCGTACAAAGAAAGTGAATGACTGGGAACCCTGGGAACTAAGAAAGGTACATGTGTTTGCTAATACGCTGTAATCTCATTTTATACTCTTGATTTTATCCATTTAGGTCAGTCTGGTGCTATCAGGCTTGCTATCAGTAGGGCTCTTCTTAACTTTGAAGACAGCTATTTGGAATCACTTGAAGAAGGTACGAGGCTCGTTTTGTCTATTTCTATCTTCGATTCGTAATTAGTGCGAGCCAAAATATGTCAATTCCCCTCTTTGTTACGGGAATTTCTGTAGCTTTTCAAGGCTAAGGGTAGGTTTTTCCGTCGTGTGTCAGGACCAAAATTCGAAAGATGAAAGGTGTTACTCTGGGGCCGGGGTATCAAAAATACAAGATGCGGGTTCAAGGAGGGGGAGGGGGGAGGGGGGGGGGGGGGGACGGAGGGGGGACGGAGGGGGAGGGGAGTGGGAGGGGCAGAGGCGGGGCTAGTCATCGAAAATCGTCGGTGAGTGGATAAATCTTTTAATGGTAGTTTTTCCCTAACCCTGGGAAAATATCAGAGAGGCAATATTATGCAAGTGGTGGAACAAGGAGGGTTGGAGAGGATTCGCTCTGAAGAAGAGCTAACGATCGTAACGTCAGCATAGAAACACTTTACGATGAACAATTTACATTATCAACTCAACTGATAAAACCCAATGTTCTTGTTATACTCCCCTACCCTCTCCTCCCCTACCGCAGTTTCTTTAGAAACTTACTCCCTTTATTTAGTGTTAAAGAGGGACATGTTTACCTCAGATTGCAGATGTCTAGGTTAACAAGAGAAATTTTAGTAGAAGAGCTGCTTTTGATTATTTTTCAGCTCATTTATTGATGAAGGATCCACGGATAAGGGAGAGGAAGAAGCCCGGTCAGAAGAGAGCCAGAAAGAAGTTTGCCTGGTAAGACGCAGAAATGTTTTAGTTACTCCATATTACATTTTTTTTTTCTTTTTCAGCCCTTTAATCTGCTAATGTTACAAAGGAAGGAGTAACACTTCTTTTCCAGGCGATAAGTTTCGTCGAAGTAGGAATGTGTCCTTAATGACCTCTTCATTGAAGGTTTAAATTCTTTGTAAGATGCCACATTCATGGGGCTTAGAACATTAAGTAATTTGTGCGAGGGGAAGTCATGTTATTTGAGTATATAGAAATACCCCACAGGTAGCCATTATTTGTAGAAGCTGACTTGTCCCCCAGCCGTACCCATAGCTAAAACAGTCAGCGCGATCGACATGGTAGCGTGAAATTTGATTAGAAGAAGAAAGCAAGAGAGGGTCTCACCTTTTTTTTCCCATCAACTATTTCCCAAAAACGCTCTCCAGTGCTCTGCGTGATATGAAGACATCTGAAGACATGTTAGTGTCAGAACAAGCTTTAGACGGCCTTTTGAGTGGGAAGAGAAGGGGAGGTTACCCCTTAGATATCTTCGAAGGAGTTTGCTGCACGGTACCCCAATCGCCTGATCCTATTTCAGACTAAAACATCCCCTTTTCACACCCGTTTTCAAATTCAGGCATAGTGGGACATCCATAGCTTGTATGGGCAGTGCCTCTTGCCCCTTTCCCCATGAGTCCAGTATCAATGAAAACTACCAAGCAGCTATTCCTTAGTCTTATATTTCCCTCCCCGGCCGTTCCCCAGATAAGTCTCTTTTCCATGCAGTCCCAAAGGGAAAGCTAATTTTGAATTTATAGCGGAGCTCGCAGAGCGAAGCCCCATAATTATACAAAATAGTAGTAACCCATCAAGTCGAAAAAATTTGGTTGTACGGCCGTACGACCGTATAAGGTGCTACTTTTAACATGCGTGGTCAACTGTACCGCGGGCAAGCCAACGCCACGGCTTTGTCCAGTAGTCCAATGGTCAGTGCACGGGCTCCGAGTCGGACGACCCGGGTTCTAGTCCTGGCCGGGGCAAGGCATTGTGCCATTGAGACGTGCGGGAAAAAAAATGCGAGCTCCGCTTTAAGGCTTGGCTAAATCTATATATTATTCCAGTCCTAAATGCTTCTTCTATTTTCTCGACCACATTTTGCTGTATTCATTTTCAGGGTTAAACGATAAAGAGCTGAGCTTTGTTTTGCGCGGAGTGGCAGCAAGAAGATCTACAAAAACCGGGGAGGAAAGACTGTCTTTCCTCAAATATGTTCAGAGAATGAAGAACCGTAGGACGCGACGTCAGGAAAATGAATTCGTCGATATTTCAAGTTTTGGCTGGAAACGCTCACGAAGTCTTAAAACTCCAACTGCTGCGCGCGCAAAGAGTAGATTGTTATGGCTCAATAGATAACTAGAACGTTATCGCTGTGGAAGCAGGAGACACATTTTGAACTTTTACAAGACCCTAGAGATCATAAATTGTATATAAATGTTTCAATTTGAAAATATTTTAACTGAAGATAGTAATAAATCTTCATTTACGTGGATGTTTAGTTGGCATGTGCCGGAAAATAGCCTCAGTGGTTCAACGCATTCAGTTAAATGTCGGTAGAAACAGCAGCAACCCTCCTGTAGAGATGCTTCAGTGACCAAGCACTACATTGTAAAGGTGACTGGATATTTGCCCAAATTTCCCAATCAAGACAAAGAATTTTGCATTAACTTGCCCCCTCATGCCCACAAGGCAGAAGCAAACCCTTTGAAAACGAACACTGTGTAATTGTCTTGACAAAAGACGTGACAGTAATACTGTGATAAGGAATATTCAGGGGTACCTGCGCTTTGCCCCCGCCTGATTGAACACGCTTACGTATTTGGCAGTCAACTCTGCTTTATTTTGTGTTAATTTTTTTCCCGTTTTCGTTTTGTTTTGATTTGTTTATGCATGTTCTGAGCATATAGTTCAGAATCAAAGTGTTGTTCCCAATTTAAACAGAAAGAGGGCAAAAAAGCGAGCACAGGAAACAAACTGATCATGAAAAAAAAGATTATGTTAATGGATTTAAAGCTTGAAACAAGCTAAGAGCAGGAGTCATGCAGGGAAGTTAGTTTCTGGTTTCCTCGTCATACGTCCGCATGATTCTATTTCTTGTCTTATCCACCAGTCGTAACTTGAACGCGGTGGATGAATAAAGCGACAAGTTTCTCAAGAAGCGCAATTATTAATCGGTCTTTGCCTTATCCGGGAGGAAATAGATCAAATGTTGTTTATTTAGGGGCTATCGGTCTTCTGTTCCTGCCTGATCCGGCCCTCAAAACGCCTTCTAGGTCACGTGTCGCTTTTATCGTCAAATCACTTCTTTGGTCACGTGGTTAAATAAGGATATTGTCGGCCATCTTATTTTCTGTGTCATCAAACGAGGCATACCGAACCCCTTGTTTACTTTAATTTCTGCCTGATTATCAAGGGTTTTTTGCCTCTCCTTTGCAATTATGTCGGTAGTTGATAGATTAGACGCTGCTAAACACTCGATAACTGGCTCTTATATAGCCAAAATCGTTTGCAAAGCGTCGAGCCGCGAAGTTATGGGACCGAAAAGGAAGCACTTGGATTGTAAGTTTACTCTTTGACTAAATGTCTCTGATATTTTACTAGTTCAGAGTTGACGGTAGTTGATGAATCTTTTATTGATATATTTTGTTCTTCAGATCTAACCTCCTGCACACAGAATGACAATGTCTCGATTCCAAACCTGGCGGATTTAATATTTGAAAGATGCACGAATTCCAGTTGGGTAGTAGTTTTCAAAGCCGAATGCACTTTCCATCACTTGATGTCTTATGGGAATGAGGTAAGTTATGGATCATGCGTCTCTCTAAGAATTTCTCTGGTAAAGATATCCCTCAGTATTAACAGAATGAGGCATCTGTAATCGGTTAGACACATGCAAACGCTACGAAAGTTCGTACACACAAGTTAGCGTTTGTACCAGTATCCGATGTCACCTATAATCAGACATTGGTGTCTCGCAAAAAAAATTTCAGTTCTACTTTTGCCAAATAACTATCATATTTTATGTCTTCGATCGAAGTTTCGCCTTTTGAAAGATGTTGTTAAATTACTCAGTTCTCTGTCTGTTTTCTTCGTAGCAAGGTAACATCGATCACAATTTTCTGTCAAATTTGGCGTTTATCTTGTTGGGAATTATATAACCGTGTTTTGTGTCATATTAGCGGGAAAAATAATTTCAAGTAAGCTTGTTTATGGTAACCCCTAAAATATGGGGCTCATTGTAAAAGCAATAAAGTTATCTTGTTTTTATAGGTCTATGAAATGTCCCACGAGAAAACCCACGAAAGTTAAAACTCGTTGGAAGTTGCAACTTCAGGAAAATTCCTTAAAAATTAAACCGAACGTAGTCAGGAATACTATCACTGCCGAAGCACTCTCAATTATTGATGAGAAGAATAAAGAACTGTTTTTTTCTTTTAGTTATATTAGCTCAATCACGCCCCTAAAATAAGTTTGGGGGTTTGCCAAACCTAGTGTGAAAATAAAAGTTGCGATGGGAAAGTGTTCGTTAATTTCGGAACTTTATATTCATGTTATTTTCAGTTAGCTTCGTTTGAATATTATGCTTCAGTCAAATGGGAGACATTTTCACGGTGTCGTTTTTTTCATCGCTTGTTTCTTTCGTAAGTGATGTAACGTTCCGATGTCATTCATTTATGTAGGTTTCGAGCTTTCAACCGGTGCGAATTATGTTTATCTGGCACCTTAATTATCCAGATAGCTCATCATTTATCTCCTGTGTCGATCAAGAGATAAATCTTATTTGTGGGATTTCTGTCGTATCGATTACTTACTCAATTCTTGTTTCCATTGAAATTATTTTTGAAGCATTTCTGTTTCATTGTTGAACAAAAATTCCTCTTTGCCCATATCGTATTCCATGTCAACACAAGGATGTAATTTACATATTTATGGCGTATGTTTCTCGCCTTTCATCTGAATCTTTTCATTTCCACCTGAGAAGGTGTCGTGGAACTTTGATAAAAACGGTTGAAAGTGTTGTTATAGTGCATCAATGAATATTTGCAGTAGAATATTTCTGTATTTAAAAATGTAGTAGTGAGTTTAGTTTTTTTTCTTAAGAGAAACATTTCAAGATGTTATTGATCTTTATAAGGGTTATTTTCTGGTGCTGTCACTTTATTTGAAAAATACTAGACAAATTATAAACAATGGAAGTCATTACTAATCACATGACTAATAGATATTCATCATTTATTTTGTATTACATTCATACTCTGCTCATCTTTTTCACAGAGATTCATCCAATACATGGCTTCAAGAACGTCAAACTTCAGTCTTGGTAACTTTCTTGACAAAAGTGGTGTTCAGGGTGAGTGATATCATTGTTTTACTTCAAGTTGTATTGCTAGATTTATTTTCAATTTCTAATCTCTTTTATCAGTGAAATACCCAGACTGTGTTCCACCTTTAAACTTAAGATATTTGGCATCATCTGTATGGCTTTTTTCAGCTATGGGGAAACTACAGTGTAGTAGATATAGTACATCATAAAAATTGAAGGCATGCTAGGTGTTAAAGTGTCCTAGGCTTTGTTCTTTCCATTTTATTCCATGGTTTATTTATATAAACTCAATTGCATCATTTGATATTTTTGTAAAGGATATGACATGTCAACATTTGTAAGGAGATATGGAAAATACTTAAATGAGAAAGCTACTTCCTACACAGAAATGGGATATGACTTTTGCCGGATCAAAAGAGGGTAAGAAAAGATTCCATTAGAACATATTTTTATGCAAGTTACATTAAATACATTTGACTTTCAAAACAATTCATTTTTCTTACAGAAAAGAAGAGGGTGTTTTAAGAACAATGGATGCTCCCAAAGTAGGTGTCTTAAGTTTTTTAACAATACTACAATGTATTTATGATGCAAACTTTGTTTTTGTTTGGCCAAGTGACCAAACCAAGACTTGATCTGGTGAAGAGCTATTTTGTTGGCTAGACAGAGATTATCTTGAATTATTTGATTAAAACAATGACAATAGGAAAAAGGATAGCTTGAAATCCAAATATAGGCAACATTTTTTAATTACTTTTAGTATCTCATTTCAACCCACCCATCCAAAGAAATGATTCTTCCAAGGGAAGCATCCCTATGTTTTTAATTGTCTTTCTTTGCCTCCTTTTTCATCAACAGCTTCTCAAAGCCCTCCCAGTACTGCAGCAGCAAATTGATGCTCTTCTTGAAGTGGATGTATGTTGAACTTTTTTTGTATCCAACTATCCTCTGTTATTTTTTTTACCAGTAATTCATTAAACCATGTTTTTTCAGGGCTCCAGACTTAACTCTTTCTATTGTTTCCAAATAGCAACCTAAATCCTCAAGCAATCAACACAAATTTAGTATTAGGGGTTACACATACAAATTTATATACATTGTGCAGTGCAGGTGGAACCAATCATTTTCACCTTATGACATGCTTTTATGGTGCACAAATGTCTTTCTTACTGTAATTTTAAACCATTAACAGTGAGTGTTGTACAGTACTGCTCAAAAGTAATTTGACAGTTTCAACTCGATCCTTGATCCTTTACTCAAAACTATTGAGAATGGAGGAACAAGACACTTGGAGAACTGGATCTGGAACTGCAGTATTGAGAAAATTATTTAAAAACTATTTAATTATTGCATGCAAAACAATAGTGAAGGACAAAGCACTTGGAATGCAGCTCTTCTTTAGACATGCAGACAGCTTGCAGACATGCAAAAATTTTTATATCGGGTAAGGCTCGAGCTTTAGCCAAGCCCTGTCTTAGTGTTGATGATATTGAATAAAGCATGCGCTACATTTATTTTTACATCTACAAAGCTTAACTTTTACTGGGAACGAGGGTCGCCAATTTGGCGATTTCTTCAGCAAATCTAGTGATTACACATGGCAACCGAAATACTTGCAGTTTGGATCAGTGATGTTATGGTATACCTTATTTAACAATTTATCTGATAGGTAGCCCATTTCTATATTAACCTTACAACTTTTGGACATACTAAATTAGGTCATGCAAATCATAGCTTTACTTATTTGTAATTTTTCTTTTTCAGATTAAATCAAGTGAATTGACAAATGGTGTGATAAACAGTGTTTTTGTACTTCTGTTTAAGGTAAAAAAAAAAATTTTTTGATTTTATGGTGATACATGTAGCTTGAAAGCACCAAGTAAAATCAAATTTCCTTGGATAACTAGTCAGATTTTCTTTATTTTATATGGTCCTGATTGGCCTTTTTGATTGAAATGTCTTTAGTAAATATGTTTAAATATGCTTATACACGTTTAGCAAATGTGTTAAAAAGCAGTAATAAAAATAAAAAATAAAATAAAAAATGAAATGTGTATACTTAATGCAAAAACTGAGTAATCTGAAGGGGTAGATAGTGTGAAACCTCTTACATTAATTTTTTTTTTTTTTTTAAGGATGGCTCGTCAAAGATTATCATAACCTTGAAGTTTGTTTTCTTTTGTCATTAGGACTTAATCAGGTTATTTGCCTGCTACAATGATGGAATTATAAATTTGCTTGGTAAGTGACTATGTTGAAGTTTATATTTGATAATGTTCTTAAATCCTCCTATTTGTATCTGTATTATGTATGCAGATAAGTGATGCAAGAGTGGAAAAGTGCTCCTACCTATAATTCCTCTTTTTGCCTTTCAAAACCCTCTCTTAACATTTCCTTCTATTTTCTCCTGTATCCCCTTTGCTTTAAAGTTTCCCCCTGATGCCACCACCTCCCCCCCCAACCATCTCCACCACCACCCTCTACAGTGCAATGGAGGCATAGATCTAATGAGAACTAGCTCTTCATCAAAATTGATAGCTATTGGAGCTTTGAGGAATTACTCACTGTTTTCTTTTAGAGAAAAATTACTTGCTTTCTAGATTTGTAAATGGATATTAATAATGAATTGTACTGGTAGTTAATGAAAATGTTTAATGGATTGTTTTTTACATTTTGAATTCTTAGTGGCCATTCCTGTGTCTATCAAATACACCCTCCCTTTTTCAGATTCACCTTTATTCACATACTTTCAGAAATATTACACAACAATGTACAATTTCCTCGTGGGACCTCCATCAATTACTGCTTCATAAAAGAGTCTGAAGAAAGCTTTCAACAAAATAGGCTTTTTTATAATTTTGGATTTATTATTATTATTTTTTTACAGAGAAGTACTTTGACATGAACAAGAAATCTTGCAAGGAGGCACTTGACATCTATAAGAAATTTATAACTCGCATGGACAGAGTGTCTGAGTTTTTGAAAGTTGCAGAAGATGTTGGTTTTGACAAGGATGATATCCCTGATCTTAGTAAGGTAGTCTATCAGAAAAGCTCAAAATTATCTTTTCTTGGAAGCCATTGTGGTTGTCTTTTTGCAGAGAGGGATGAAGTGGTCTTAAACCTTTTATAAGAACATGTGTTATTTTAATACTGTGGTCCTTTCTTAGCATGGAAGTGAAATGATTATCTCTCAGTTGATAACTGTAGTGGATAAAGGTTTTTTCCCCTTTTGCCTGTCACCGTAAACAATGTTCAACTTTAAGCTTTACCATCATAATTGCTCATGGTAATTTTTTTTTCCTTTAGGCACCTAACAGCCTTTTGGATGCCCTTGAAAACCACTTGCAATCGTTAGAGAAAGGAAAGACAACTAACCCACCTACATCAAAGTAAGTGGTACTATATATAAATAAGTCTATCATGATTCACTTGACTTGATTGTTACTCTGTCCTATAGTGTCTGCTTTTTTTTTGTCTAATGTACAATGTATCTGTCTGATAATTTTGTTTCTTCAACTGAGGTTATTAACCCTGAAGCTGGCATTTCAAGGGTTAGCCCTTTGTCAGAGCTAAGGATACACATTTGTCTGGTGCACCATGTAAAGTTGTCTTTTTTGTTGTTGATGGAAAGTCCCTGTATTGGATTGCAGGCCATTGACAATACCAAGCATTACCCTTCCACCGTCAGCAACAGATGCTTTTAGTGCTGGCAAGTTTACAACTAGGTTTGAAGGAGATGATGCTACCGATGCTGGCCCAAAAGGTGATCTTCTTGAAGAGGAGGAGAAAAATCTTGAAGCTTTTAAGGTGGGCATGTTTTTTTTGAGATGCTGCTTGACATTCAAGGGTGTCATGATCATTAGTATCATCTTTATTAACTATTAATAATTGAAAATCCTTGGGCACAACTTTTTGCGCCATATTTGACCTCCTGATGTAGATTTCATGCAGCATTTCTTTCCAAGTTGCAGAAATCCTGCAAAAACACCCAAGAAGAAACCCTGGAAATAGTTTTTATTAATATTATTATTATTATTTATTATTTATTATTATTATTATTATTATTAATATTAAAAAATAGAAAGCAAAAGATTCTGGAACACAGATTCAAGTACCTCCAGTACAAGCGGCCACTCAGCCACCAGGCCAACCTAAGCAGTGGGAGTTGTTAGGTGAACCAGCCCAGCCTGCTGTGGCCCCACAAGTATCTCCTAGCAATGACCTTCTACAACTCAATGCTGCATTTGCTGCTGCTCCTTCACTGCCAAGTTCTGCAGCTTTTTCACCAAGTCATCCCTTCCCTCCCAGCCAAGGCTTTCCAGCTGCACAAGGTTTTGGACCAGGTTCAGCATCAAATGGTTTTGGTGCTCCTCAGGCTGGACCCTGGGGTGCTCAAGCCCAAGTCCAAGCTCCTTCCAGTGGTAAGACCCTTTGAGCAACACTGCCTTCAGCAGAATGATATTAGCCAGGTGTAGTAGCTGAAAAGCTACTTGAAATGAAATGAGGATGTAAAACTCAAACAAGAATTAGACCCAACACCGCATACATGTATTAATTTCAAATTCTGGGGAGTTTGCTATTGTCCTAAAATCTCAGACATATTTGTGGGGACAGTCACAGCTTCGGCTGTGAAATTCAATTTTGGTGGGTTTGATCTAATTTGCAAAAAATGTAACAACTACCACTGTCAAAAAATTTTAGAGAGAAGAGTAGCAAAGTGATGCAATCCTACTGGTTTCAGATCTCTGTCCTGCCATATTTTATCAGAGAGTGTGGCAAACTAGCTGTGACAGCAACTTGTGGTATTCACAAATTTGCACTAACATTTTCAGCCCTATTCATCAGCACTCAGCAAATCATCCTAGTCTGTTCATAGTACTGTAGTCCTGAAACCATATTATAGAAGAGGATAGTGTTCTGGAGGAGGTGTGACAACTCTCTCATACTTGTTTCAACACATCACAATTTTTGTTACTGTGCACGTTAACAGGTTTCAGCAGCAGCAGCGGCAGTACAAACCCATTTGACAGCCAAGGTCAGGATGAGTTTGCAGCAGTTTTTGGTGCTAAACAAAGCACTGTTCAAGGTCATGAAGGTCTGGGAGACATCTTGCTCCCAACAGTTCCTGGTGGAGGACTTCCGCCAACACAGGTGGAGAGTGGTATGAGCAGGGAGCAGTCAGGAACTGACCTTCATTCCAGCCTGCAGAGAGTTGCCAAGTCTTTAGGTGAGAATATACAATGTACGCAATATAAATCTGTTGATCAGCTGAGGTTATTTGGAGAGTGCCAATTGAATAAATTATAATTATTATACATGTGTACATTGGAATACAATTTCAACCCCAAGCCTTGCTTTCAAGGTACAGACGGGTTAATTTTAATAGGAAGCTATTCCCAAGTAACTTAAATCAAAAGAATTCAAAGGAATTAGCACTCTCAATTTGAAAAGGATTTTCAGAATGAACTCTCAGTGATTAAAATTAACCACCGTTGACCTTCATTAGTTGTGGTCAGTGAAATTTAGTTACATTAATAGTTATTCAAACATTGAAAGTGTGACATTTTGCAAGGTGGTAACTATTCACAGCGCCACAAAATTGCAGGCAAGAGTCTGTATTCACAATTGACATAAAGAATTAGCTGTTTAGTAGGACCTCATTATTTACATAATGAGGCACATGTTTCTCACCCTCAGGAAGATTTTAAATGAGTTGGGGCATTGTTTGCCAGGGATCTGACACTATTAATTATCAAGCGATTTGTTTTGCTCAAGGACATATACTTTCTTGTGGGAGCTGAAGTGCTGATGATGATGGCCTGCATGCAGGCTAGTAAAGAAATCAGATATGCTACATGTACATGCAAAATTTTTCAAACATGAGTACTTGATTAAAATTCATTAAATCTTTTTGTTGAATATGTGATACCTGTTAGTGACTTTTTTCTTATGAATTATAGATACATTTTCCTTAACCAATGGAAACATTATGGGTACCGCTGGTAGAACACAGCATCAATGGACAGCTCCAGCACCACAGAGTAAAACTGGTGGACCAAACTGGCAGGCTCCCATTACAGCAAAAACAACTTTACCAGCTTCAAATATGCCATCAATGCAGCAGCAGCCAACTGGATTCAGATCAGCCTTTGCACAGCCACAACCAATGGCACAGCCTTTCATGGTATGTACAGTATTAATAAGTTACTGAAATTGAGAGAAAGGAAATGTTGATACCCCTCATGCAGATTTCTCATTTTTTCATTCTCTCTCATTCCTTCCCATTGTTTTGGCTCTTTGCTTTCTAAAGAAATCTTGTTTCTCATAGATTCTTTATTGTTATTAGTATCATTAATGTTATTTTTGCCATTGTTTCGTAAATAGATTTAGATGTTCTCATTAAGCAGGGCATGAAATTAATTTTTTTGGAGGATGTTACTAATGTATGTTTAACAACATATTCCTTGCTCCAGCAAACAAAGAAATGTATGGCTATCAATTGGACAAATTACCTTTTAGATGGTTGGAGTGTAAGCAAGGATGAATTTTTGTTTACATGTAGCTGTTGTGGGGTCTTATGGCACTGTCTGCTTTTTTTGTTTTAACATGTGAAGCCACCTGGTCAGCCAGTAATGTTCCCTCCACAACAGGGCTCTGTGTTTCCATCTCAACCGTTCCAACCTCAGAGACCTGCACAGCCTGGCGACCCATTTGGACCTGTCCCTGGCAGTCAGGTAAATTGAAGCACTGGTTTGTCCTTGATTGAACTCACTAAACCTACTTAAACTGCAAATAATGAATAGATGAGGGGATGGGATCTTCATATTGTCAATGGCCTGCAATCCAATACAGGGACTTTCCATCAACAACAAAAAAAGACAACTTTACATGGTGCATCAGACAAATGTGTATCCTTAGCTCTAACAAAGGGCTAACCCTTGAAATGCCAGCTTCAGAAACTCTTTACAATGGCCAATTCACATAATAACCTCAGCTGAAGAAACAAAATTATCAGACAGATACGTTGTACATTAGACAAAAAAAAAAGCAGACACTATAGGACAGAGTAACAATCAAGTCAAGTGAATCATGATAGACTTCTTTCATTAATGGCAAGCCTAATAACTCTTCTTAAACGTTGGTGAAGTTAGCCTTTCTGGCCTTGACAACATGTCAAAAAAATAAAAGGGTACAAACTCTGTTCTAACCAAGTCCTCCTTTGTCTTGATTTTGGCAGTGATAAGAGCTGTTCATCAACCCCTCTGAATTTTGCACCACATTGTTTTTTTACTGCAATATATTACAACTATACAACAGTAAGCACATACAGTCATAGTCTGCCATTTATTTTAGAATGCTTTTCATCTTTCTTGATATAGCATTGTAAAACTTTTTTCTTTATAGGTCAGATTCTAAACTCGAAGCCTTCACAAGATGTTGGATGATCAAAGTGGTCTGTAATGATTACTTCTTGCGAATATACATTGTAAATCTGGAGAGATAATCTCAAACGGAGCTATTTTCTAAAGGACAGTTTTGTAGCTTAATTCTGGACTTTCATGTTGTTCCCAGGGACACCCTGCCCAACCAAGCAATATCGAGAGACCTGGGAACAAGCCGGCAACTAATCATTCTCACTTCGTTTTGAAGTCAATCTTTCCTTTGGCACTGTTGCGCAATTTTGTCGTCACGCGTTTCCTGCGGCCACGCAATTTTTCTTGGACGCTTTTGCGCGACACTCCAGGAAAGGCTTTCGACAGAAGGAAGATAATGCTCTATGTAAGAAGGGTTTTACGCAATTTAGGGGACTGATAGGCCAGCGTGTCAATGAATTTTATCGCTGTAATTGCAGAAGTTCAAGGGGTCGGTGTTAGTAAAGCTTTGGCACAAAGATAATCTCGTTTCGCAAAGTTTTTGTTTTCGGGCAGGGGGTAATTAGTTTCGTAATGAATTTAGAATGTTTTGTATAATTTGACCTTTAAATGCGATTTCAAGCAAAATCATAATAAGGCACATGCGCAAACCTATAACTGGTTTGGTAACATTTCCACTGAGCGAACTGTAGGGGTTGATTATGTGAGTGTTCAGAAGTTATCTTCGATTCTCCTTTTTAGCCAATGTTACCTTCGTGACACCTGTTTTTGATGTCTTCATTCCTAGTCAAACTCGTATGGACTTTACAGCCTTTTTACTGCCTTTTGCCTCCAAAACAAATGCACTTTGTTGTGCATTAACATGGACATTATCCTTGTGATGTGGGTCACATTCTCATCTGCATTATGTTTTGACGTTGAAAGCACCAGGCTGAGCCCGGTGCGAGTAATAAGCTGGTCTTTTATCACTTTGTTTTGCATTTGTAAATGTGATCCACTTTACTCAATCACTGTTCGGTGTAAGGCTCTTGTAGGTGTTCGAGAATATGGCCACACCCACCGCCCTCTCTGACTGGTCTCGTGACAGTCACCCTCTTTGATGGTCAAACACCTTTGTAGGTCAACGCGCGAAAGTAGCAACACAGTAAAACTCTTGTTCAACGCGTTAAGTAAGGCACGCCCATCTATCATCCGAGCGCGTGGTATCCAGCCCATGTATAGGTAACCTTGGTCCAACTCGCTTGACGAAATCATTACTCCTATAGTTGCAAGAAAGTTTGCAATTTTGGGACGAGTGGTTGTGGCGGTGCACCAGAAGGCTGTATGGTCCGTCCTGTATGCCTATACATGGACATTATAATTGCAATAAGTTAGTAAAGATCCTCCATAAAAATAAATAATAAATAAGCTGCTTTGCTTCGAATTCCTTATCTAGGATTAAGTGGTCGTTCATCAGTCTATCCAAGGTATCGTGATTTTCAAGGTACTTTCAAAAGAACTCGGCCAGAAATTAGTCCTTTTGAGGCGTTAAAGTGTTCTTGAAATTGGAAACTCGATCCGGATCTTTTTCCTTGGGGTGATGTAAAGGAGGTTGGCCTCTTAATTTTGAGTCGTTTGTTTTGACGGAAAAATTAGTTTTTACATTGAAAGAAACCAAAAAATATTGGTTTGGTTCGATAGAAAACACCAAATTGGAAATAATAAATAAGAACGAACAAGAACAGTCAAGAATGGAGAAGATTGAAACTGATTGCAAATGAGAAGCGTATAATTTGGAACAAATCCTTGAAACAGTGATGTAGCTACTAATATGATTTATGTCGTTAGTGGTGCTCATGTGATTAAATTTCATTGAAAAGAGAAAAACTGCAACTTAAAAGGTCAAAAAGGCAAAGCTAAACACGCAGTATCGTTGACCACTTTGATGGATATTGGATATTACAATCAAATTTTAGTGGCTTGACGCGGATCTTCTTAATTTTCTTAGAGTGAAGGTGATCGTTTCTTTCCATGATTTGTTCGGAAGCTTTTTCTCGATAGAAAATATCGTTCAATTAACGTGTGCAAGTGTGAACTTTTAAAAAATGCGACATTAAACCAATATCATTTCAACGTATCCTATTTAGTCAGTATATTATAAATAGCTGAGACTTTGCTGTAAGTTGGTACCAATTGTTTAATAATGAAATGTTAAGTGCGTTAGATACGTAAGTGACACTGCATGACATGAACAATAAAAACAATGCCGTATTCCAGTCTGTTAAGAAGTTTTTATTTATCGGTGTAGCATTTAGCGGAGCTTCCTCGACTAAAGCCTTATTTTAAAAAATTTCAGCCTCTCCCACGGAGGCTCTCGGTCAGGGGGAGTCATATGAAAAAGCGAGGGGGCGCTGGCTTGTTCTCGGTGGTTTTCAAAGTAGAGGAAAGCAACACCGGCAGAGTGGGAGTGCGAAATGCGATAGGTAGGGAGAAGGCGAGAGGAGAAGACGATGTTGTTTCCTCCTTTCCGTCTTTCGTAACTCTCCTACTTAAGCTCTGCACACATTTCACATTTTGGAGACGACTGGGAACGGGTGGTGGGGATGTTGGAAAGAAAAGATGCTGTTTTCTTTGTGAACCACACTACCAGGGTCGCCCGCTTGCTGTTTTACTCTTGTCCACAAACCGAGATTCTGAAACAGGCTAACGGATTTTGTGATTATGTCATACATACTCCAACGCAGCAGGAAATGATGTGTGCAATGGAAAATATACCCCGCGCGAGGCCTTAGCGAACGAGAGGAGCCAGAACGATGTGCACAAAGAACAAAACCCGTACAATTTCCTCGCAAAGGAGGGTTACAGCACGGTCTCACTTTCCTCAGGCGAGACCTTCATTTGCGTTTGGCCATCATTCTTCGGCAGATCATCTCGTTTTTTGAAATAACGTAGGATAAATACTACGACCACGCTGCTCATTATGAGCGAGCCAGACATGTAGAAGGCAGGTATGTACGATCCTAACTCGTCTGCAATGAAACCTAAAAGGAACAAATGAAACAACATGAATATAAACTGTTAACAGTGATTGCAGGTTACGAACACTTGTTAAGTTCTTAGATATTAGACTCAAACTTCTTTACTTCAACTACAAGAATTCATTAGAGAACAAAGTGACCTGCCTCCCTCGCCATGCTCAGCTGAGTGAAAAAATGAAAAAAACAAAACAAAACTTGGTAGAAAAGAGAAGAAAGGACTTAGGAAATAAAGGGAGAAGCTTAGCTTAAAAA